TGTTCCTGCACGGGTGTCTTGCAAAAGAAGCGCTCAGAAATGGCTATGTAGAGGCCTGGTGTTCCCGAGGTGGTGGAAGCGGCTCTAATAAATATGGTTGGTTTTTAACCCTGTTAAATAGTCTTGAGCGGGGACTTACGGCAACCACCCCCACCTGAGGTCGTTAGGCCTTATACACGCTTCACACCCTCCCCTACCTTGCGACCACGGCGATTATCTTCCCCCTTCTCTTAACCCAACTCTACGTGCGCACACCAAAGCTCTTGCTGGCTCCCAACTGCAGAATGGAGTCACCATTTTTGGGCGCTTGTAATACAGCTTCAACTCGGATATAAAAAATTTAGCACACAAAACTCCAAAGGTACTCCACAAATGCAATATTAAACTACGTAACCTGTTACCCCTCGTGCCATCCTAACATGCTCTGGTCTTCAATGTTGTTTCGCCAAATTTCAAGATAACCGACTCCACCTCTCACGCCCCTATGTCCCTCCTTCGCACCTGGTGTGTGGATTGTGACCGCGGATCATACCAGCGCACACTCATCGTCGAAATATACTTCGAACTTCTATTCAACACGTGCGAACTATCGTTTCATACCACTTGGAGATGCGAGGGAAAAAGTCCGGGAGGCAGTTCATCCCAGACTACAATCTTCCCAAAGTTCGCGGCACCGGTCAGGACCTCATCTGGGAATGTTGGCTATGTATATGCTTCCCGCACACAAACATGGAGTTTCCTCCAGTCCTGAACGCTGTTTAAGCAGAAACAGCGGTGATCACATGTGGCCTTATGTGATACCCCGACCTTGAATTGCTATCGAATGGTTGATTGATGAAACCCTATATAATTTACCCCACTTCGTGACAACAGTACTTGGATAGAACTATATTTGTGGCTCAATTTATCCAGATAACTCTATTTACGGCATACTGGATCTAAACAATCGTTGCACTGTGCGTGACGCCATGCATTACTGGTTGCAAATCTACCCCCGCCCGTCCCAACATTTAACTCTGGTTTCGCATGCTGTCTGTAGACAGCACAAATTTACTGAATGCTGTCGTACTTTCGGCTTCATTTATGCTCAACACTATCTGTTATGTACTTTTTCTGATTATTTGGCTCACTATTGCCAGGATACTTCTCATGATGAGTGACTATACTCGTGTTACTTTTCACTGCTGTTGTGCAACGAAGCTGCACTTGTTCAATATCTGTGACCAGCAATATCCAAAAGTTGCTTATACCGGGAGGCTATGTGGCTCATCGACCCATTCGTTCTAGACTTCCTCAGCTCAAAAGAGAAGAATAACCTCCAGATAACACCCTTTATTGTGGCATTTGTTCGTGTATTTCATTGTTCGAAATATGTTACCGCCAATAATGCTTGCTAGAAAGAGATTCTTGACCACTTCACTTTTGAAAAGCATCAGTGACTTTCGCATTACATTCGCTTTGGAAGAAAATAATATGAAGTCAAGAAGAGAGTTGGAAGATCGCCGCAGCTGTGTCAGAGTCAAAACTGAGAAGTTAGCAAACGAAATTAAATGAACAACGAAAACTGAGGTCACTGAGTGAATCAACGCCTGGAAATAAGATCACATTGTCGGTTGATCGTCGATAAAATTTTCAAAAACTTCCGATGACATGAGGAAATCTCCTGGTTGCCAAGGGCGAAAGATTTGTGGTGAATTGATTATTTGACTTTCAGGCAGCGCGCAACCGGCCTTAAGAAAATAGATGCACACTCGTGGCAGCCTAACCCTCACCTTACCTATGCCTAAGTTCTGATATCGAAAGGAGAATAAAACCACATGTCAGGGTAGTTATCAAACGACCAGAAGAGCAATACGCCTCTTTCTACGCAGACCAGAATCACTTTGGAGGAAACTTTATGACCTATCTTACCGTGTGTGGTGCGAAGACGGACTCTATGGATGTGGTTGTTAATTGACAAAAAGCAGACGCAAAATTACCACGGTCCATCGGAAGGTGACTTGACGTTAAAACAAACCTCACAAGACTGAAAGCCTCGGTTAGTGACTTGATAGGTGACCTACCCAGTGTTTTCGTACTTCAGGTGCCTACTTATGTAAGATATAATAGTTTTTGTCTGCCTAGAAGCTGGATTATGTGTTTTCTATTCAACACAAGACGAATGAACGGGCAAGAAGAAATCAACTGGTTTACACATGCTCGTTAATCAGGTATTGGATACTGAACAGTAGATGGTCAGTCTATCCAGTGCGAAGGACTGTCCATATTTGGTGTGCTCTTGTCTGAGAGCGAGGTCGCGCACTGGTAAAAACTTAATTTGGTACCCGTTTGGACTATCATGGAAAATGTCACCCCCCAAAAATGGCCAGAGAATTAAGACCTTACTTTTTTCCCATACGGGTGAAGAGCAGCAGATATCATGTGACTTGGGGACTACGAACAGAAACTAGAAGCGGGCGTTTGTCCGTTTTTTCTCCTTCAAGCGCCTAGAATATCATAATACCTAGAGAAAGACTACCAAAGAATAAAACCTCAGGGATGTGCTGTGAAGGTAGCCTTGATAGACGATAATATCAAGCTCCGATGCACTACACCTGGTCAAGTCTGAGAGGTGCTAGGCACTTTCGTTTGCTCCGATTTGCTTTAGTTACCACGAGCATGGAGTATTTTAATATGTATATATATTTCATACAACAGGTTACATGAATACGAGCCAGTTTACAGGTTTGAGCATTTTGGCAATGAGAATTGACCTTCATGTACGGTGTTAAGCTGTAAATTGGACACCGTTATTCATGGCATACAAGAGGTGTGTTGGAGCAGGCTGAGTTCGAAATTAGGAATTATTCGGTTATTGTTTGAATCTTCCAATATTCTTGAAGGTGGGGCCGCATCACAATCATGACCTTGGGGTGTGTGCGTTCGTCATAAGGTTTTGATGGCACGGTGCACACTGACAAATGCGATTTCTGGGGTACCACTTGAATGCAGGACTGGTTAGGTAAACCTGAAAGGTGGGTAACAAGAGCGAGCAGCAGGCGAAATTTGAAACGAGAGCACGAAAATACGCAGGAGTAGATCAACCATGATGCATCTGGGTGAGTTCTTTGTACTGACTACAAAACTTACTTGAAGAAGTATCGGGAACCAACTGTTTAGAGGTAGGCTTAGGTGAAAGAATGTGAAGGTGGGCACGACGGTAATGAAAATTAGTCTGAAGCCGAAGATATCACTACGAAATAGAAAGACCAGAGGATCTTGGACCAGGTATTCACTTTTCATATACCTATGTACAAAAGTTTGATGAAGTTCTAAACATCTAAGTGAGATTCATGGTTTTCTCTAAGTTGGCGACCGCCCTTTGTGCAGTCACTGGGGGGGGGGAATTGATCATGGTGTTTCATATTGAGTATTACCATATTGGGGCTACCGAAACAATGTGATGGTGCAGAGTACTTACATGTAAGTACTGATAACAAAGGGCAGATAATAAAACATGTTACATGCTATGAAAATGCACCGATAAAAAGTTCTTTTATCAATCCAGAGTAGAGAGATCGTTTTAAGGGAAGAATTTCAAGAAATAGGTGCTAAGTCATGAGGTCAGTTAGGTTATAGAGAAATGTGGGTTACATTTACCCAAGCACGTAGAACTCAATCTGTAGAAAGAAACTGTACTGCTTGGCATGAAGAATTAAAAGACTTGGACAATTACGATCACATTAAACTGCTTAGTTGCAATGAAACCAGCGAATTCCTCACAACAAAGCAAATGCACCATATGCATTACATACAGTTGAACACAAAAGCAAGGGATATCGGCGAAAATGCGACCGTTTACTCTGAATGTAATGGAAGGTGGATGGTGAAACCAGGCTAAGCCGCTACAGCAGCTGTTGATGCACTTTGGAAACATGTGGCTCTGTCGGCTGGAAACGGAACAAAACAAATTAGCCCGACTCCGTAAGTAAAAACGAAACAAGGGAAATATAACTGAATGAAAAACCTAGGGAGACTGTAAAGTACCCACTTTTTCATGACACTGCGCAGCATAAATGTGCCCGGAAACATACCTGGAAAAGTTTCCGGTACATCCTTGACTGAGATAGCGAGTATACTATCAGGCAAAAACATAATGACCAAAGGGGCATAAACAATTTCCCATCCGATTTATTGCTGCCAATGTAAACTTTTTGAGCGGTAATGGTCTGCATCATGAAACCCTAGCGCCAGCTTACGTCAGGGAAGATGAAGCTGACTGCATATTTGGTGTCCGTCTACCGGCTGTCTTCTCGTCAAGTGACACAGAACAGGATCGAAACAAACAATATCCTAAAGACTTGGGTATATTAGGCTGTTCCTTAGTGAATATCACGCTTCTGTTAAACTCTGACCAACACTGAGTATGCTTCCGTTTGTTACACCAACATAACTGCCAAAGAATGTAGTATTATTTGACTCACTGGCAGTAACTCTGAAATCCCAGTGAACTCCTGACACATATGCATACCAATTCTCTGTCCCTTACAAATAAAGCTTTTCTTCATTCCAAAATAATGCGAAACGTAGTGCAGTAATAGCGAGAGAGAAGTATACAATGACGGAGAAGCTGTGTAAAAAGGCCGAGTTGGACGAGGAAAGCGACTTTTTAGGAAAAATAGACAAGTTAGGGCAAAAAGAAGCGACTGTATGGGGGGGGGATGTAGACATGTAGGTTGATGGGGGTTAACGACTTCAAGGGGAAAAGGAGACAATTGGGGAGAAAAGCGTAAAAAAAGAGAAAATTGTCACTCTTACCCACGATTTTCGTCTCATTTCTTCCTTAATTTCTTTCTTATTTCTCATATGTACTCTTTATTTTCCCGTTTTTGGTCTGTTTGCGAACTTTAAAAAATGATTGAAGAATAGTGTTTTATTGCTCTGTCTTCAAATGATTTATCATTTCATCATTTTAATGTTAGATACTCCATACTATTATGGCTTCAAGTTTAAGTACGTTTGTTTTACTTTTCTCAGGGTTATGGTGTCATAACAACTCACTTTGCAGATATTTAACCGAATGACTATGAACAAATATACAAAGAAAATATACTTCAAAAAAGAAGAAGTGAAGGATTTAGGCCCATCAGTAGATTCAGATGATATCGAACAAAGGATTGCTGCTCGCAGACTGAGGATAAAAAGCAGACTAGAACTCTTGAAGCAAGTGAATGTAGTTAGACAGATTTTTCATTCCTTTTAATAGATCTGACCCAAATACTACCACAGCCAAGGAGAATACACACAACATTGGGTTAGGAAGGTCTCAGCTTGAGCAGAGCAGTCAAAGGATTGCCAAATTAATTCACGATGGAGACTCGTTTGTCACTAACATTCGAGTTGCATGTGATGCCCGCGAAAATCTTAAAAGGGCTGAGGACCATGATATTAATCAAATTAGGATTCAAAACCTTGAAAGTGATGCTGCTAACAGCTTAGAATTGTTCAATAAGGTAAGGCAGGGTTTTTTGGCATGCTTTATGAGTTGCTTGCATTAGGATACACCATGTCTAGATCTTCACTGTGTCTGGCATTAAGCTTGAACAATTAGTCTAGGTTCGCAGTGCATTTTTAATCACCATCACGCTGCAGCTGAACAGGATCTCATGCAAAAGTTGTTTAGTTCACAGTTTTACTTCTCCTAAACAAGGATAGTAGACTGATAACTGTAGCGGACCCAAAGAATGTCAAGTAAACTAAAATGACAAACTACGTACAATTTGCAAGAAAAATGAATTTTATGATACACGTGTATGAAAAGTTATACATTATAGCATAAATAGTATTGCCAATGTTATAGATAATCACTGGTTACTTGGAGGTTATCTCTTCGGTATTGTCCACCACAATTTTAGGATACTTCAGAGATCTGAAGGCGATATTTGTTGTCTCTCCTCCGTGGTCGTCGGTCGGCTTGATTGTCGTAATATTTGGAAGTAGTATGAGAAGTCCTGTAAACTACTAAGACAACCAGTTATTATGCACGACAGGCAATAGTCACGGAGGCAGAAGTCGGAATGGTTAGAAGCACATTATGTTTCCACGATTAGCAACAGCAAAAGGTGCAATTACCGCCACAACCGAAAAAGTGTATATACATAAAAAACATTCGTTTTTACGAGTATTAGGAAGAATGTACAGAATGTGTAAAAGAAACAAAGAAAAGGAAACGTTGCTCATAGTTGAAGTGGTTTATAAACAATTGTATGCAGTCTCCACATAACTCATTTCACCGCTCGTAATCCCTAGTACAGTGAAAGTTCAAACTTGTATTAGAAGCACTGGCGGCAGATCCTGATACTGATTTCCGCAGCAGCTGACTCTCTGACACCCTTGTACGTTCATGAATACATGCACGGAATGAATTTCCAGACAATTGTCTATGTATTTTTGACGATATTTCAGGAATGGCCTGGTGCCATCTTGACAGACGCAAAAGCCAATCACTAATCATTCGAACTTGCTATATACCCACGAATACGAGATCAAGGAGGAACACAATAGCGCAGACGGATGGAATAGTATATTTGAGTGGTTGTGCCAAGATACCGATGAGTTCCAACTAACTGGCTAGAGAGTGGATTACGAGCAATGCAACGTAGTACGACAGCGTATCAAATGGCGAGGATGCTTGACCGGGTGCCTTCAGCTTAGCGAGTCCAGTTAAACTATCAAGATCAGCATCAATGTTCGATCTCGTCAAACCCTAGGCTATTGATTTTGGGGGAGTATGTGATGCTACAATATCAACTTAGGTCAGCGGTTCTGAAGGGGATTATCGGATGAGTTTTCACGCCAGTCTTTATTCAAGAAATGAAGCTCTAAAATGAAATCACATCTCATCTTACAACAAGATATTGGAAAATACCTGACTAATCTAATCTTTCTTTTCAGGAGGGTTTATACACCTCTTCATATAGTTTGTTACGTATCCTATGAACCCATGCAAATGTAACAGCTCACTGAATGAAACACAAACTCACTGCCCTGATCATATGTTTTGAGTGATATGTTACATACATCGGATAAAAAGTACGAAAGTTGTCTTCACAGAGATCCTGAAAGACTTTTTAAGATATGATTACTTCAGAAAGTTGTAAAGATGTCCAGGACTAACTACGATACTCAGATCTTCGTATTTGGCTCCTTTTGGCGGAAGGATTTTATTAGTCCCTTAATCATATGAATCTCAGAGACCGATTTGGATGACTGCTCCATTACTGTTGTTGATTCTTAAGAGCCATATCACAAATCAATGCACTTATTTACACCATTCTGTAGAAGGAGCTTATTCTGATAACTGTAAGGGACTCACCATTATCTGTTACTATAAAGGACGAAGGGAAACTTGTACTGGTAGTTTCTTTCGTATTGAGTAAGTAGAAAGGCAAACCTCGGGTTATGCCTCCATGCAAACTTTTCCTCCTGGTTATTAAGAGGAAGGAAACCTATTCACTTTTACTGCCTTATGTCGAGGAGAAAGTTCTTGAATTCAAAGGCTTTCCAGCTTTTCGTTGGGACTGAGATGATAAGTTGTTTCAAAGGTTCTACTTGAGCTAACAAAAGTCCCATGAACCGAAACGTCTGATTTACGGGTTACTATCTACATCTTTTTTGGAGTCATAATGTTTACTGCACATGAGTGACTGAGCCTAAAAGCGTGGTGATCCGTTGACAATAACCCAATCTCCTCTAAGTGTATAAGAATGACACTGTGAACAGTCCATTCTAAATGCTTCCAAGCCAAACTAGTAAAACTAGCTTGGAAATAACTAGTCACCAGATGAATTTCACCACTTTCAAAGACTGGAATGATATGAGTAGCCCTTCAACTCTTGGTTTATTTAATACTGACTGAGTGACATATTAAGCAATTAGGTTAGTGGTTTAAAAGAGATATTAGCTAGCTCTGATAGTATACCTAGGTGTAGCTCATATGAACCTCTAAAATTCTCAGGGTCTATACTTTTGAGTAGTCGTAAGATAAACTTCTCATTAGGCACTGGTTGCTGCCCAACCAGGACTTCTCATCTCAGGCCGGTCCGTGGTTCAAATTTTCAATTCACTTTTAATCACCACTCTATCAGTACTAACCTGCCAAAATGAAATAAATATGTGCTAAAAGGGGACCTAAGGGGCTTCTTATAGCAATACCATCAATTTGATGAGAATATTCACCCTCAAAACATTTGAGTGCACAAAAGTAGTAAATATTCTAAGTAAGGTGGAGCGATGGCAATTCAAAAATTTTTGGTGGAGATATAATCACGCAGAATGTCAATTGTTTTGACCAAGGGGAAGTTAGTGAACAGGGAGATAACATCAAAATAATGTATAGTTTTATTACTCGAATTAATACCACCAAGGTAGTCAACTAACTCAAATGTATCTTTTAAAATGTACTCACAATATTGTCTTTTGACTGGGATGAATAATTCCACTAGTCACTGAGCGAGTTCATGTGTTGGTGATCTGTGTATCGATAAAATGGGCGAAGAGGACGATTGGGTTTATATATTTTAGGTAATCCATAAAGACGTGAGAATCTGGATTCTGTTGGTTTTAATACGTCGAATTTATCTTTAATGGTACTGCGTAAACTAAGAAGTTTCGTTAGGCTAACCAACAACTTACCCTGTAATACTTAGACATCTTCTATAGAATCATCACGATGAAATTTATTTTTATCATCAAGAGGGGAGAACATTCTACATAAGTAACCGCCTTTGTTCATGGTCACACCTCCTGAACTTTTGTCAGGTCTGAGTATGGTAATATCTAGATTTCATCGTAGTTCCTTGAAAACTCTAGAATTTTCTACCATTCACATGCTTTTCTATCTCAGAACACCTTTGCAGAACGGATAAACTGTATCGACCAGGTTAGTTTTAAACCAACCCTGGTCATCAATTGAATTTAGTACTAGGGGTTGGTTTAAGTTGGTGTGATACTTTTTCAAACTCTGTGTGGATTACCATATCTGGAAACTGCATAGGAGGAACACCAAATTTTGGTCCAAGGGATAAGGTTTTCTTCTGATGAGTGGAAAGATTAGTGACATATCTGTCCAGATTGATAGAAAAAGAATTGGTGTGGTTTTTATCATCAACTGAGTTACTGAACTTCTTTGCATATTACTTTTCGTTTTGTAAGTTATGGTACTACAAAACTGTAGGAATTTCAAATGGCATTTAATTCATCATTCCAATAAGCCATATGGTGTATCAACATGGAGCGTAAGTACTTCTTACAACTTTTCTTCTCTGTTCTTGATAGGTGATTTTATAAAACGAATTAGATTGGAAATATTCGACTTCAATTTACTGTAGTTTAGAGTTTTATATAACTGTCTGGGGAAGGTGTGATTTAAAGTACATGACTGATGGAACTCAACTTTTTCATACTCAGCAATAATTTTATACCTAAGGCTAACAATTTCATTTAACCTTTGAATATTATATGAAGAGAGTTTACAGAAATTTAAATTTTGAGGTCGCTTCATTGTGATTCGTCCACTCATTTTGTTCGAACCAATTGATGAAAATAACCTTTTTCTGATTGGTTGACACTTTTGTTCAACTACATTGAGGCAGGTTGTTTTGATCTTATTGGTGGACTGTTATGTATTGGAGGAAGGATGCTTTGCGTTGACTGGTTGATTTGCTGGAATTAGAAGAGTATTCATTGCTACTATTTGTCGGTTGGATTCTTATTGTATTGACTACTTAATTATAGTAGTTTGTAAAGAGCGAAATAGTAAAGCAATGTGAACTTAACATAATGGGTACACTCATCAACCAAATAATTCTTCCTAATAGTGGATTGATCGGACATTACCAAGAAGAATAGTGATATTAGAATTATTATTATTTGTCCCTTGAGTTACTAGTGGAATATACGGCTTCACTAGCACGCCTCCATTCCACTCTCTTCTCTGCAGCCTTTTGAACCTGGCTCCACGACTACCACTAGGCTGTTATTTCTTCCTCACACAATCTCCTGCATGTCACCCTCGCCTCAGACATCCAACTCGTTGTTTCCCCTTTGGATTTCACTCGTGTATCTGGCACGTGATGTCCCGGAATGGTCTTCTCAGTGTATACCCAATCCATCTCCACCTCCTTCCACTGCATATTTGTTGGGTGATGGGTTCTTGGTTGATCCGTTTGCAGATATACTTGTTGTTTATTCTTTCTGGCCATCTCATCTGATATTCAGTATTGAGTGAGTGTAGACAGCTGTTGATGAATGTCTTTAGTTTGTTGGAAATGCTTTCCGTAACGTGCCAAGTCTCTCAACCATCACAGAGAAGCACTGACTTAATTGACATTAGTGTTGAAAGTCTGAATCTTGTTCAAGCTTTATGCTGAGTGCAGTAGACCTTCACACTGATTTCAGATTAGTGAAGGTCTGTTTTTCTTTTCGTATCCTGACTTTGACCTCCTCATCTAAGCCGCCGCCTGTAGTTGAGACGATACTGACTATGTAGGTAGGTAAAAGAGACAACTTCCTTTAGGTTTCTCCCGTTCACGGTGATTGATGCTTCTTGTTGTTGTTAGTTGGGTATCTTCATCATCTCTGTCTTCTCAACGTTTGCCTGGAAGAAGTCCCTTCTTCTCTGCACTGTCTCTTCTGCCAATTTGTTAGTTTCTGCCTGTAGATTTTGATTTTGCGCGATATCAGACATTACACATAAATCATCATCTTTAGGGAAATCCAAATCTTCTATGGTCTTTTCATCGCATCGGTCAAACAGCGTATGTCCATCTTCTCAAAGCTCCTCATAATTGTCTGTTGCATGATCCCATCCAGTCCAGTCCAGTCGACCACAATTAGCAAGATGATCGGTGATAGTAGGCGGCAACCTTATCTTGTCTTACTCCTGTCTGTCTTCACTTCGAAAGCATCAGCGAGCTGAGCTTTCCATTGTGAATCATTTGGCATATAGCATCATATAGCATATAGCGGCTGCTGAATGAAGTTGATAGAGGTTAGTGGCACTCCGTAGTGTTGAAGCAACTGCCTGCCAAATTACTTCTCAATCGACGCTGTTGAATGCCGGCCTTTTCAAAATCGATGAAATTGAGGTTGCAATTTGATTCGCATATGATTTGTTCTTCCTGAATCCAGTCTCTGTAGAATGATATGGTTTAATACTTTGCTTGGTGTGGACAGTAGCATGATTCCACGCCACTTTTAATGATATCAAAATAAAAGGGAAAAATGTACTGAAGATAATACTTTATAACACATAGGCAGAGAATAGAAAAGGTTTAAATCATCCTCTAAAGTGAATATTCATGTTTTCATCATCATTTACACATGAAGTTTAAGATATGTTCACTAGAATTATGGTGAAAATCGCAGATCTATCACCACTGGATTGAGGTTAATCCAAGGTACATCCTTCAGCTTAGATACAATGGCATCATAGGCATCACCTATGAGTATAGCTTAGCATGCATACTGACTATTGAGATATATGTGTTTAACTGAAAATGATTGAAGTATGATAGAAACTACTTAAATGAGTTTTTCCCCTGCCTAATTTTTTATTATCTTTATTTATTTATTCATTATGAAGCTTATTTTTTCAAAGATAAAATGATCAATTGCATGTTCCACATTGAAATTTCCTACGGATGAGTAATTTTTTCTTTTTCATAAAAAAATTATATTTTTAAGTAGTATATTTCGCTATTATTAAAAACTTATTTATAGATAACTGAGCAATGGGAAGTAGCACAAGAATGTGAATTATTAAATGAAACTAAAGAGGTGAGATATGATCAATTTTGTTGAAATGAAGTAACAAAAAAAAATTAGCTAAAACAACGCCCACGCACACACATACGCGCGCACTAAACAGTCTTTGTACATATCTTAACTTTTGTTATTGAACTTCTTTTACTCTATGTGTGTGTGTGTGAGAGAGAGTCTGGATGTTTTTTTTTGATGTTTACTTTCAGCTGTTGGATAAACAGAAAGAATTGTGTACACATTTGATAGCTGAAAAGAATAAACTTATCAATGAACTAAACTTGGTAAGTGAACATAGTTATACAAGTAATGAGTTGGAATGAACAGTAAATTCTTTGAGATTATAGGAAAGATATTCATTTTTTTTAATGTTGTTACTTACTTGAATCAAATTAACCAGTCTCTATGGCCTACTGTGTGTAAGTGCTTGAATATTACTTGTAGTTTTAATTTGTTACTTATCATGGATAGTATCCAGAACTGGCTTTCAGCTGACAAGTCCCAAATAGGAAGAAACTTGAGTCATGAACTTTCCTGTTAGCCACTATCTATCATTATTATTTACCTTCTGACAATAAAACGGGATGAATTAGCAGTGGTACTGTGAAAATATTAGGGTATTGTCTCCAACAGTTAAACTTAATCACATAGGTTCGAACTCCTCCTCTGCTAATTTAACCTTGACATCTCGGTAGTATCATACGTATTCATATATATACTATGAGGCTAGTTCGTAGCCACCTTTGATGCCATTTTGAGTCAGTAATACAGTATGTGTTATCTCTAGACTGAAAGTACAATTAATATTCGTGTTAAACAAGACGATTTCCTTTCTTGTCATCTGAGAATATCTAATGGAACATAGTTGGTTCTACCCAGCCGTCGATGAGATTTACCAGTTCAAAGTAAACATCAATACAATACTACAACTATTCTTTCTGAAAATTACTCTAAAGTATTTCTTATGAATACAAGAAGGTGAATAGTTTATGAAGTTATTCCCTAGTAAAAATTCAGGCAGTTAGGGTATGTTGTACTCATCCCTCTTGTTTGTTTATCTTGAGAATTATTGATCTTACAGTGATATTTACCATGAACTAGTATCAGTTAGAGAGGAGTTAGAAACCTCGGAATACTGAACACTCGTTTCCTCCTTGTAGACGACTTCTCAGCTGTAAGCATCTACGATGTCAATAAATGCATCCATTAGAGGTTCAAATAGGTTTTTAAGGAATTTTAATCATTGGGTTATAGTTACACACACCTGACGAGTTCCATACAAGGTCGAAGCAGTCATCTATTCAGTCTTCAGGGGTTCTCCACAATGAATATCAACGTGAAATCAATCAATCCTCGCAAATTGCCAAGCTGAGGCAAAAAAAAAGAAAAATCTACACCTGAAGTCTTTAGTTCGACAAATCCATTTACCTTTTAACGATATCCATATATATGGCAATTCATAGTTCAAGTTTTGTTTATATCGTCATTTGATTACTTTTCCTTGATTCCCTTGTTACAGAGAGTTTCCATTTTATATTCGGATTATATAATATTTGTGAAGTGGTTTTCATCACGAGGTTGAGCTCAGTATTGTGTGCCTCTATACGTTGTAAAATTCACTATGAATTTGCCTCAAAATCAATCGACCATATATCTAAAGTCGAAAACATAATTTATATACAGTTTTCCCTCAAAAATAAAGCCATTAGGTCACAAGTTGGACATTTATTCTGATTGGTCACCTGTGGGACAAAACTGTCCAATAAGGTTTCTCCGCCCACACGGAACCACGGTTGTAAGCCAAAACTTCTACCTTGGAGGTTGATGACCTTGAATGTTTCATCTCATCTATTATTGGCTAGTTTTTACATAACTAGTTCAATAATTAGTAATATTCATCACTGAACATGAAGAGAAGGGTGAGAATAACCGACTCAAATATGATCCTAGTGATGAGTTAGAAGAAGATTAGATGATCAGATGTAAACTAGTTAGTAAGGTATACAAAAAATGAAGCCTAGGAAACTTGAATTCACAAAAGTTCGCGCTGAGATTTCACAGTTGTCTTTCTATTTCAGTGGTTATTAGGATAGCGTTTACAGGTAAAGTTTAATTAACAGTGTCATTCGGAATTATTGGTGAAGAATCTCAAGGGCTGGTATAAGCTAATCAGTTCAGTTATTAAATTACTAAAATACAAAATACTTTAGGGATAAAAGACATTTGCTTAGGACGAAAAGACTTAGATTGTCCACTTGTTGAAATAGTTTAACTTACATGGGGAAATACCATCATCAGTAAGCATTTGTATATAGTCAATAAGTTCTGAATAAAACTAACCACCAGTGTAGTGATGACCACCATTGGAGGACCCCTATCGGTGTATTACACTTGATGATGCCTGAAGCCAGTTATCATGTAATGAACAACAGAGTACTTTCTCTCTATTGGCACTCCAATTGGTACCTAGTCGTGGAATGTAGGACGTGTGTTCTGCCCTGTCTGGGACTTGTCAACTGGATATGCCTGCCCCTCCAGTGAGATTCGAATCCAAGGTCCATCGTTTCAAAGTCAAAAAGGTTATCCAATAAGTCACTTTTTCTCTAGGTTTGTCCAGCTTCAGTCTAGTACAGAGGAAGTTCATTGGATGCCATAGTTAATTGACGCAGTTACACCATTTCAAAACTAGATTAGATAACTTTGTTTAGGCCACTGGAATAAGGAAAATTAATAATATAAAAAACAACCAATAGGAAAAGGCTAAGACATACAAGAGACAAAAAGGAATAAAAACCATAATGGCCGACATTTTTGGCGGGAAACTACAATTTTAACTTATAGGATGTATTTTATCTGGAGGTTTATGGGATTTTTTGATGAATTGACATCAGTTAGAGGGACATTGGGAACCGCAGAGGACTGGAAAGTTGTTTCGTCCTAGTATAGGACTCCGCAGCAGTGGGCACTCATGACCCCACCCCTCCAGGTACCGAACCCAAGACCTTCAGGTCCCATGACCAGCGCGTTAACCATTGAGCCACTGTGTCGGAATCCACTGGTCGACATTTCCTGCTTCTGTCGGTTCACGATGTCGTGCGACCTACATCCTTTGTCATCTTTGAGTAACTGTCCTCATGTTTGACTCGGTTGACTCCACTGGTCATGATTTCTCATTGGAACTTCAGGAATCATCTCTCGAAGCTAGTTACCATCATGGATATATAGTTGACTAACGGTTAGTTACATTGCTCCTTGATACCACCAATCCCATGAAGGCTGAAATCAAAAGATCATCCAATTTATTGATTATAAAAAATATTTTCTCTCTTCATGATTTTTTTTCTTCAAAAATTTTATTTCAATATTATCAAAATGAATAGGAAGTTAAAGCAAAAGATGATCATTATGTAAGAGAGTTGAAGAAACGCACAGAAGATATTGATTTATTGGCTGAACGAATGGAATCACAGATTAAAGCAATGCAAAGAATGTATCGCGAAGAAATTATTGCTATTGAAGTATGTATATCATAAAATGATTGATTAGAATGGTTTGTTTAACTTATTAAACTTCAATTTATACTTTACTTGTTGGGTTTTCTACATCAGTTGGGTATCAATGCATCTTTAATTTCTGTTCATTGGTATCTATCTCTGAAAACTTTAACTGTTGATATAAGCCACACAAGGAAGTATAGTTCACTCAACAAACAAACTCACTAGTCGAAGACTCTCATTGACTTGTAACAACTTCTATGCGCCTGTATCATTTCAGTTGCTCTTGTGAAAGCTAGACTACTACAGACTATTTGTTCAGGTGCACTATCTCTTGACCGTATTGTGTTCTCTGAGTTGGGTTGTTTAATCGTGAAGCTTTCATCGTCCTTCTCCTAGACATCATCACCACTAACTTCAGTAAGAAGTGAGGTGTCAATATCTCTCCGTCAGTGAGTGATTTAGTGGCTTGCTCTGACGATGTGGTCTGTGATTGGTTGTTTCCTTCGATTGTTGTATCGTTGACTGGATAGATTTTCTTGTTGGCTGTTCCTCTGCTTCACCTTTGACCTTTCTGTCATTTATCATTTTTCTCAATGATTGATAGATTGGGTCTATGTCTATACATCTATTGATTGCTGACTGACTGACCTGAATGCCAAGCTTCTAGGAATTCAGACCCAATCTATCAATCATTGAGAAAAATGATAAACGACAGAAAGGTCAGAGGTGAAGCAGAGGAACAGCCAACAGGAGAGTCTATACAATCAATGACATAACAATCAAAGGAAACAACCAATCACAGACCACATCGTCAGAGCAAGCTACTAAATCCCTCACTGACGGAGAGATATTGACAGCTCACTTCATATTGGAGTTAGTGGTGATGATGTCATCTAGCAAGGTGATGAAAGCTTCATGATCAAACAACCCACCTCAGATAACACAGTACAACTAAGACCATCCACCTGAGCTGCAAATATCATCCACTATTTTCAGGTGAACTATCTAGCGTTGTTACAAAGGGGTAACAGTGGATCGATAAAAAGTGCTGTAATTGAAGACATCGTAAACACGGATCACTATCGTAAGAATCGCCTTATTCAACAAAAGAAAAGTTGCTCAACCTCTTCTCCTTTCATGTTTTTACTTTTCAACCTTTAAAATTACCTCATTGTTCCTTTTTAAACTATCCCCCTCTTATATAACTCACTGACTACATTCTTCTTGTTTCTATGCTGTTTCTGATGACACTTCAGTTTTCAAATATCTTGTAATGTTACGAAACTTCTTATGCAAACAACTCTAGTCATATTCTAACTTATCTTCACTATTTATCACAGTTTTTTTCAGTTCAACTGTCAGGTCACTTATTTTTTGAAACAATGTAAGAACAAAGACATTTGTACAATACAATCAACTGATTTTATTTCATAGTCTTTCATCAGCTGTAAACAGCCTATAATCGAGATGAAGTATTATCAGTAACAATAGCATAACATACTTTAAATATGTAGGAATAAATAAGGAATTGAAATCCAGGACTAACAATAAGAGGGTGAGTCAAGGAAACACAGGATTATTAATTACAAATTTTAGTCAAAATCAATAATAATTTATATCTGATGAGATAGAAAATTCTGGAGATGTGAAGTGAAGTGTGGAGGACAACAAACGAAAATCAGTGTAAAACAAGGGACTGTTTAACGGTTAACAGGTTAAGTAGTTGCATGAAAAAGTTGAAAATCGTTAATTGATCAGTATTCAGTGAGTAATTAATGAAGAGATGATGTCATCAAAAGAAAAGGGAACACTCTATATACATACATATGCAAACATATATAAGCATTTACTAAGATATTTTATTATTGTATTATCATTAGTCCCTTGGGTTTCTAATGGAACATAGGGTTTCAGTAGCACGTCTCCAGTGAACTCTGTTCTCTGAGATCTTTTGAACCTGGTCCCACGACAGCCCACAACCTCTCATTTCCTCCTCGCACGATCTCCTCCATGTCACCCTCACCTCGGATGCCCAACTCGTCGCTTCCCATGGGGATTCGACTCGAGTGACTGGCCTGACGCGCGATGTCCCCAGTCGGCCCTCTCAGTGTATGCCCAATTCATCTCCACTTCCTTCCAGTGCATATTTGTTGGGTGATAGGTTCTTGGTTGGTTCGTTCCCAGAGCTCCTTGTTGCATATTCTTTCTGGCCATCTCATCTGATCTTCAGTAGTGAGCGTAAGCAGTTGTTGATGAATGTCTGTAGTTTATTGGAAATCCCTTTCGTAACATGCCAAGTCTCTGAACCATACAGAAGCACTGACTTGACTGGACTGGTGTTGAAAATCCGTATCTTGTTCCGCATGCTGAGTGCAGAAGACCTCCACACTGGATTTACCAAGATAAAGAAAGGTTAATTACAATCTCCTTCTGAGTACATAGGTCAGGTTGAAAATGTTTGATGGTGAAAGCTTCCTCAAACCATAATAAATATGGTGTTCTTTGTTTGCTGATTATCCTGAAAGACTGAGAAACATCTCTTTGATGTCCTGTTTCTATCAGAAGCCTGGTGATTACGCTTTTAAAGACCTTGCTACCATTCAGACACAGATTTCTTGGAATATGCTCATAAAATTGAGTAGACAACTTCTTTTCGGTCCATTCTATGTGCTTGCTTCCACATTATTATATTATTATTATTATTTATCCCTCGGGTTCCTAATGGAACATAGGGCTTCAGTAGCACGTCTCCAATGCGTTGTGTTCTCTGAAATCTTTTGAACCTGGTTCCACGACTGCCCAGAAGCTTTGAAGTTTCTTTAGCGGTTGGATTTTTTTTACGGGGTAGGGTTGCTAGCCCTATGCCCAACCTTCCCTCTTTACTCGGACTTAGGACCGGCTAGTAACTGGTGAACTAGTTAACCAGGCGAGGTTGCTTGCTTCCACAAGCACAGATGAATTGATATATGTAGTTGGAGGTGACATGAGATGGGTATTTGCCTACTTTCGACTGTCTGTTCTTTCAGATGTCTCATCACCTTAGAATGCCAGATGAAAGGAAACAGGCTTCTTCTCAACAGTTGAATAGTTTGGTCTCTCAATAAATCCTTCTCCATATTTTATGATGAGAACCTTCTCAATCACACCGAATTCTTCTTCTTGGTTACCTTTTGAGCACAGCATTTTTATTCTAGTGAAGAGCGTCTTGACTAAACCAGAAGTTTTTCTCATTATACATTGTATCAGAAGTATAAATAAACTGGATCCTATTGAATAAGCATCTTACTAAGCCTTTCTTTCATTGGGTAAAATCTATATAAACTCAAATTACGTCTTGTTCGAGTAGGCTTTCTATAGGTTGATCGTCTGATAAATGCATCTTCCCTCCAACACAAGAGTATATCAAGAAATCCAAGTTGATGATTATTTTCTTCCTCACATATCAGGCTGTTATGATCTTTTACTGTATTAAGCGTTTTCAACAAACCCTCATAGTATCCTCATCTGTGTCACATATTACAATGGTGTCATCAGCATACCTTCTATAGAATATGACCTTGCTAATTTAATCCATAATCATAAGTTCAATATGTAACATATATATACATCTGGCTATAACAGTCCTAATGGGTTCCCCACACTAACATTATCAATATGTTGAAAGTGTTCAGTTTTGAAAGTGTAATGAATCTTCTTCAAAGGCATCGGAGAAATACGGTGAGAAGAATAATTCGAAGGTATATAAACGCAAAGAATATTAACTACCTTCACTAGGCGTAGTTTTGTAAATATAAAGTTGACATCACCAGAGGAGATTTTCTTGTCTTTGATATTCATATGAGGAAGAAAATCAACAAGTTGTATTCGGTGTTGGTTGATTCGATAAACAAAGACTAGGTTATCAATCTATCCTTCCACCCTGTTAGTTTTAAGAATTTTCACCCCATCTCATCCTATTGTGTGGTTGTGTGTAATCGCATGCATAGCTGTGGCTGAGCTTTTCTCTAAATTCCTTACCTTATTACGATCTACCAATTTTGACCTGACTAGGTTTTTGTGTTTCGATAGCCTAACTGATTCTGACTGGTAGACTACTTTGACCTATGTATTTGACCTCGCAATGACACAGCACCTGTTCTGGATACATAGAAAATTTTACTGCCTATCTCAAAAAGGAGGCGACGAAATTAGGACTATATAAAGGATATCTCAAAGTTGTCTAGTTATCTTGCTTAATATGACTATGAACAATAAATTATATCCGAAATATAATCCAGTAAACAATACTGTTCCTTCACCGTATGGTATATCCAATAAATCAATAAAAATGGAATTATATTGTGGGCAGTGGCTACCAGTGGAATCCAGGATGCGCATTTCCTCTTATTTGGGACTCATCAGCTGAATGTACCTGCTTCCCAGTAAGTGATGTTATTCCCACCGGGACTCGGACTTCGGGAGCGATCGCTTCAAATCGCTTCCACTGCTAGCCACTTCCCATCATTACTATATATAATTGAAACACAGGCAATATCGAGGCATCTGCACAAAAGCCCATATGCCAACAGAGACTGATCAATTCTCTCCAATCAACGACGGTGTAATACAAGCAATAATACTGAAAATGGGATTCTTCCAACGGAATTATGCTTTCGTTAACTTCATGCAATGAAACAAGTGGTGAATAAACACCAATAACATTTGTAACAGACAAATTAAACTGTGTAAGCTCAGAATCATAACAAATGGTTCACCTTCTCTACCCGGTAACCTTAGTATAATCATTGAGATTTACTCTACACTTCTTGATTTTAATTGAAGTAAATCTTCAACTTGTGTTTAATATAAAGTATGTACTTAAAGTTTAATTTACCCTTGTATATACGCATAAATTTTATTCATTCTAACAGAATGCATTTTTAGAGCAAAGGGAGAAATTAATCAATGAACAAAATAGTGAATGGGAGATGCTTATGAAAGAAATTAGACAGAAACAAGTAAGTTTACCTTATTTACCATATTGATGATGATGATGATTTCAAAGGGACGATTGGAATACTAACACTCATTAAGATATAAGTGAATTAGGCTGATGGGTCCATAGTAGGACGAAATTTGCTTTCCAAATTCAACCCTTAGGCATTATTCATTTTGGCATTCTGAGGTGTTTGTTCAATAGCTCATGTACTCAATGAAGTCAAGCATCTCTGTCCAAAATCAGTGAATAAAACTGAAAATTCCAAATTCCAATCATACTAAGTAGGCGTAATAGTCTCAGCTACAAACGTTTGAAGTTAAAACGGTGAAACTAATGTGGTTAGCAGTTTGATTGAGTAAATAATGTTATATTTTAGTAACTAATAGCTTTAGATATGAGATGATTGAAAAAAGGAGTCATCTGCGTTGTTAATGATGGAAAGTGCCTAGCGATCGAATTCAGGACATGGGTATCATCTTATTTGAGACTCGTTAGCCGAATGTACTGGCCTCCCAGTGAGTAGTGTTGTTTTCACTAAAGCTTGAACTTATTCTAGCCACTATCTACCATTATTATCAAAACTTAAAATACCAGTAATATGTTAGTTGGTTGAAGTCAATCGGTAGGAAGCCCTGCCTGAACTAGGTTTCGTGCTTGTTGGCACTTGTCAGCAAGGCGTATCTGCAACCTCGATGGTACTGATGTCCCGCCTGAGATTCGGACCCACGTCACTCAGTATTGTAGTCAGTGACTTTACCACTGAGCTGTTCGGTGATGCAGTCGCTGACTACAACGCTGGGTGACGCGGGTTCAAATCTCAGGCGGGACATCAGTTCCGTCGAGGTTGCAGATACGCCTTGCTGACAAATGCCAACAAGCACGAAACCTAGTTCAGGCAGGGCTTCTTACCGATTGACTCCAACCAACTAACATCTACTAATATGCACCATGATGCTGAGCTTCCAAGCTTGGTTGCCACATTGCAAATATGATCGATAGAACTCGGTCTGTACTCAGGACTACACAACATGAAATTGGTTGCACTCCCGTGACCAGTCAATACATACGAGCAATATCCAAGCTTCTGTGTAGCTCAGAGACATGGCGCATTACGAAAAACGTTTCTAACAAACTGCAGACATACATCAACAGCTGCTATCTACACTCACTCGATACCGAAGATCGATCAGATGACCACAATAATAAGAATAAGCAACAAGGAAATCATTCTGGCAACAAATCAACTAAGGACCCATTGCCTAACAAATATGCGGAGGAAGAAAGTGGAGAAGGATTAAACTGGACATACACTGAGAAGACCGTTTGGGGACATGACCCGCCAGGCTAAGCCGTCAAGTGGAACCCAAATGGGGAACGGCGAGTTAGGCATCCGAGGCGAGAATGAAAGTTTGTGGGCAGTGGTGGAGCCAGTTTGAAACGACTGCATAGAAAAGAGTGAAATGGCGATGTCCTAATGAAGCCCTATGTTCTACTAGGAACCCATTGGACAAATAATGATGATGATAATCCAAACATCTAAGCACAAGCCCCGTCTACCGGCTTGAACACATGTGACCTCTGTAATGAAGGCAAACTCTAATCTCAATAGGATTTTCATCTTTTTTTGTATATGATAGTTTTAAATAATCAAGATTACATCCAAGTGTTCACTTTCAAGTAGTAATTACTCACTAATTTTGTTAAAATAATGATTTGAAATATGACTTTTACTTTTAAAAACTTTTTCCCGCGCAGATCAATTATTTAAAACAACACGGAGAACAAGTATTTGAATATGAAAAAGAATTGAACAATTTACTTACTAAATATTCTGAAGAATATAATGCCTTAAAAATATCACTGGGTTCTGAAGTAGAAGTGAGATGATGTTTGATTATTTTTATTTGTAAAAAACTCAAAATAAGTTAACATTTCATATTGTACAATATAATGATTTACACAAGTAATTATAATCTACTCATATCAAAGTTAGTAGTTATTGTTAAACAGAATAAATTTATCTAGGCATTGAACTGTATGTAGTTTTGTTCCAGTTCACAGATATGTATCATTCGAACTGCCTGATTTTCAGACTATCAGCTTAGAGCAATGGTCTAATTTACCGTATAAGCAAGTAAGTCAAAAAATCTAAATAAGTGATGGTGATAGTGGTTGCAGCAATATGCGTAATAAGGAATTCAAATCCACTGTCATGTTGTCGTATCACAGTGGTCTACTTGAACCTTAGACTACCAAATCTATGCATTGAACATTTGTCATTAAATTCTTTCCTTTCAATTTGTTTTAATCACTTAAATATGTCCTTCATGTACTCTTGGACATTTTTAAACTGTTTTCAACTCTATATTTCTCAAGTAAATAACAAATGAGAGAAAAAATGTTATGTTATATGGAAATGGACTATTGGGTGCAGAAAAATATAGGGTGGTGGAAAATATGAATTATCAAAGTTCTATGATGTCTCTAATATGTTTATAAGTAAAGAACGGTGTACAGTGTTACAGACGGAGAGACAGAATCAAGATAGAACCTTGGATACAAGTGTATTGGTTCAAGTTGCTACACTTCACGGTAGTACACAAAGAACAAGTGGGTAGAAAAGGAGTGTTATTAAAGTAGAGAAAGTTATGTGACAGAATAAACAATCTGAACGTAATGGTTAATCCAGATATTCAAGCCACAGAAGATGTCAAGTAGTGATTACATCTACTTGAGTGTGATCGTTTTTCAGCCATATCACCAAGGATACTAAACCACTTGTCCCTTTCATCTCAGAGATCCCAGCCAGGCAATCCATACCTCCCCAAACAACTCAGACAAAGTCAGAGCTTTCATGAACTGGTAACACATTTCTACCTAGTCAGCCTGAACCCACTTCCAAACTAATCCAACTTCCCACGGCATGGAACATCGAGGTAGGGAGTGTCTCGCCATGCGCAGTACATACCAACAGGAACAGTATTGTGTTATTGAGCATATGTGTGTGTGTGTGTGTGTGTGTGTGTACGAGAGGAAGAAAGTAGAATGACTAGGGAAGAAAAGTCACTCGGATAGTTATACTTTAATGGAAATTAATCGCCAAATCGAGGCATGTGTACAAGAAACCCTATTGTCAACACTGACCCATCAGTTCAATCTGAACAAATCAATAATTGGAAATTATAAGTCATTATGTCAAACTATATGCCTTGTACAAGCAATGACTGTTCTAAGTTATTAGAAGGCTCCTAGATAACAGTGGTGTTTTTAGCAATGAGTACTAGATTTCAGTTTCAGTGAGAGATAATTCAATTGATAGTTTGTGAGGGTTCATTGATTTCAAGTTGGTTTTCATCATGGATTGACATCAACTGGAGAACCCTTGAAGACTTATAAGTTATAGGCAGCTATTTACTCCTAGTGTGATTTGATGACACGTCTTAGTTTCGCCTCCCTTTAATCTACTTCCAACCTAATCTTACTATAGTTAACTTCTTATATCTAGATAGTTGAAGGTTCAAAACTAGTGGTTGTTGGCATTTGCCAACTTGCATCATCTCTGGGGCCTATACGATGTTCAACTGTCTATCAAAGGACGAGTATACTGTGCTGCAGTTCATTATGTCCTGTTATACGGCTGTGAGATATGGACGTTAAAAGTAGACATTAAGCAGTTATAGGGTTTTGAACAAAGGTCTCTTCGTAGGATTGATTGTGTTTGGTGAAATCACTGTGTTAGGAATATTGAAGAAGAGTATTAGGTAAGATAGGCAAATCGATTGATGAGGTTGTGAACCTCCATCGACTGAGATGTACTGAGCATACTGAGTCACCCTATACCCCGACATGTCATACAAAGACAGGTTAGGTTACTTTAGAAGAACGCTCATGGTGACCATACCAAGATATGATATCGGTCGATAATTCTCTTACTGTTGGTTTGGGCCGTATAGGGAGGTGTAGATTGCCTGACGAGGGTTCTCCGGGACAAAAGGAATCAGTAGTTAAGTATTGTTGATGATATGGCTGGAAGTCGGTAGCCGTGGTGCAGATGTATTCATTAACTGACGTCTTTTAAAGCATGAATATTTGCACTAACCTTTATCTTTTCTCACACAACTCTGTTTTCTTCCGATGTCAGTCTTTTTCTATCCACCTGTTCTTTCTGTATTACCATGGATTGTAGTCAGTTTAGCCGATGAACCTGTTTACAACGTTCTACCATGATTTTATCAATCGTTCAGTCAGTTAGCTTGTGTTGCATACGTATTCTGTTCTCTCTTCTAAATTTGTAAAATCATAACAAGGCAGTTGCATTAATTTTCAGATTTTTGCATTTCAATTTCTCTTCTTTAAGAGTGACACAATTATTTGTTTTCATTATAATGTTATGTAAATCATAACATGAATATAAAAAAACAAGATTATGTACTCTTTCTATGTAAATTTCTTATTCCCTAACGTGCCAGTGTTCAAAACTATTAGCATTCTGTTTGACTATATATCCTCTAAAAACTTCCCATTTCCTATTACTTCAACCTTTCTGAAGGAGTTATTATTTCTGTGTAGCGACAAAGTTCACTTCACATTTGAAGGTGAACACTTTCGACAAGTTGATGGTGTAGCTATGAGTAGTCCATTAGGACCACTACTAGCTGATATTTATATGTCATATATTGAAAATCTGGCTGGTGATCTCATCATTAAAGTTCCTCTTTACAAGAGATATGTTGATGACATCATAGTGATTTGTGAGAAGCATGAGGATATGGCTTGTCTACTAAATAGACTTAACGCCGTACAAACACACATCAGCCTAACATGTGAGAAAGAGAATAGTAATCAACTGCCATTCCGAGATATACTCCTCAGTCAACAAGAAGATGGTTCAATAAGACGGTCAGTTTACAGAAAGCCTACATGGACAGGATAATACCTGAATTTCCACAGTTTTTATCCAATACAAGTGAAGTCTAATAAAGCGCCTGTTTAATAGGATCTATCGTATCAGTACACCAGATGCGATGGATGAAGACATCAAATTACTGAGCAAAGCACTTATGGAGAATGGATATCCGGTGAAGTTCATAAACCTTTGTAGAGGTCAAGTAGCACAAAAGCCAACTCTTTACACGGTCCTTAAGAAAAATGTCCATATCACTTTACCATACAGAGGAGAGCTAAATAGTATCATTTTGAGGCGTAGGCTGACATCAACCACCAGGAAAACATATTACGCAGCGAATCTTACCATTATGGAGAAAACAGAACACATACTTCACCAAAAACCTAAACACTGCATCAGTGATTACGTCACATCTCATTGTGTTTACCGATTTACATGTGTGTGTGTAGTCACATATACATAGGGAGGAGTAATCGAGTCATGCAGTTGAGGGTGGGAGAACATGTGCCTAAATGGCTTCAAAAACAAATGGAGTGTGAAACAGTGATAAACGCTGGTGGGAGACGACCCTCTTCATCTATAGCTGAACATATCATAGAAACAGGTCACAAAGTTAATGTTCAAACAGCTTTCAAAGTTTTATGTTCTGAGATTTGCGGAAGCCATAGCCATACACAAATCATAACAGTGTTGTGCAGATTTGTTTTATATCAAGATGAGTCGGTCAGTCAGTCAGTCAATTAAGTTTCAGAACGTTTACGTTTACTTTTGCCTAAAATTGAAACATCTAGTTTATACACACTAGTCAATTCAAATTATTACTTTGTATGGTAATTTACTTGCTTGTGGTTAGCAGAGGAATCCAAGGCGAGCGATTCGTCCTATTTGAGACTTGTCAACTGGATGTATCCGTACTGCAGTGAGTGATGTTATTCTCACTCATATCCGAAGCTCGTGACCATCGCTTCAAATACCAGAGAGTTGTCAACTAGGCCACAGAGGCACGGCATCCACCTGTTGTACAGTGGGCATTGGTCATTATTATTTATTCATATGCTTTTAATTCTCTGTTATTTTAATGAGTCAAATTGTCCATGGCTTATTGAATAACACTTTGGCATTTGAAGCGATGGGTATGAGATCCGGGTTTCAATGGGAACAACATTACTCACTGAGGTATAGGTACATCCAGCTGACGAGTCCCAAACAGGATGAAATACACATTCTAGACTCCTTTGCTCTCCACAACCAAGTAGATTATCATAATAAGTAATCAGGTGATATCGTAACATCCGTATAGAAGCCCAAATCTTAACAGAGTTCAAACCATTCAGTCGAATAAAACAAAGGAGAACTTTAAGCATATCAATAAACCTTATTATTCTATATATTGCCTTATACTGACTATTATACCTTTTTTGTTTTAAACTTAGACATTGGAAAGTCATCTGCAAAAATTAAAATCCACATATCAATTGAATTTAGAAAAATTAGAGTATAACTTTCAAGTTTTAAAACGACGTGATGAAGAGAATACAGTGATTAAATCAAATCAAAAACGAAAAATTACACGTTTACAGGATACACTAAATAATTTGCATATTAAATCAGTAAAACAGGAGAAACAATATAGGTTAGTCTACCATTATCCAACAATAATGATGAGTTGTCAAGTTTCACCTTACTTGTTGATAGATTAATATTCATTTTTGTACTTCATGAGAAGAGTTCAGCTATATTCATGTTGGTGTTTAACACAGTGGAACTCAGGATCCACGTTTCCTCCTGAATGTATATGAACCATAGTGCATGATGTTGTTTCAACTAAGACTTGAGCCCAGTTCCCTTTCACTTCAAACGTCATAGCGTTTACCACTGGTTATTGTATCAAGAACCAATTCACTGATAGTGAATAAACTCTGTTACTAATAGGTTGGGAATTAAGAACTGTTGTTATACATTCACAACACTGACACATGACAATGGATAATGATCACTGAAAATAATCTCCCTGCACTTTTAAAAGACAGAAAACAAAACTGGGAGAAAAAGATTTATTTCCCTGGAAAAGCGCGAGACTAGCTGAAAATATAACCGTGTATACAGTTATTTTACTGGATCAATAATTGTGAGTTTAAATAATGGACCAATGAAATATAGATATTACATTCTTTGGTCAAGGTTAATAATGGACCAATGAAATATAGATAACACATTCTTTGACCAAGGTTAATAATGGACCAATGAAATAAAGATAACATATTCTTTGATCAAGGTTAATAATCGACCAATGAAATATAGATAACACATTCTTTGACCAAGGTTAATAATATACTAATGAAATGTGAATGATACTACCTTCGATCAAGGTTAAGGATGGATATTCAGTCTACATTTTACGTAGAAAATAATGACCAATCAGGTGTTTGTCTTTCCACCTTGTCTCGCCCTACCGATTATAACCCATCATCGAAACTTCTGGGAATGGATGTTAAAGCAATTAGGTGGTGAGATATAATAATCTCTCATGAAGTCATGGCTGACTACTAATGAGGAGTCTCATTCTAGGATGAAAGAACTGTTCATTTCTCCCAGGTTTACTATGTTCCTCCAAATGATGCCAGTCAGTGATCGATACCAACTCGAAAAGTCATTAAATCCTCACAAACTCCCAAATTCAATTGATCTAGTGCTTATTGGTGACTAGCTTCGAGAGGTGATTCCTGAAGTTCCAATGAGAAGTCATGATCGGTGGTGCAAACCTGGTGGCCGTGAGGATAAATAATCACCGATGACATTGGTTGGTAGTCGAGCTGTTTCGTGAACTGACAGAAGTTGGAAATATGAACCATTGGACTTCGACCTAGTGTGGCTCAGTGGTGACTTGCTGGCCACGGAACCTGAAGGCCCTGGGTTCGGTCACTGATAGGGTGAGGTCATGGGTGCGCACTGCTACGGAGTCCCATACTAGTGGGAGGGGACAGTTGTCCAGGTTTCCAACGTTTCGCCATCTGATGCCGGTCCATCATGGATATCAGTTTAAAAAATTTACAGTATGATTTAGCTATTATTTTGCATATTCTGGAAGATGATCCATGTGGAATATGTTATAACCGTTCACCGTTGTGTCTACCTTCGCTCTCAACAGTCCCTGTTTATAATGCAGTCCCACTATCCCCTGACTCTTTCTGTGCACTCATTATGAATCTTACTCACTTATACCTTTCTGCCCTTTTGTAACCGTGACCTTCATTCTGACTGGTTGTCTTTGTCTTGATGGATGGTTTTGTGTTAAGACTGGTCTTAATCACTTGGTTAGGGCAGTGAGCTCCTAATTTTATTTGTGGATTATTTAGTTGGATGTTGTTGGGTTTTTTCGCGTTGATTCAGCGATTTTCTTCACAGAAGTGCCACAGTTGAAAGTATTCCAGGAATAGTTCCAATTTACAGTACTGTCCTGTTACTAAACCACAATAATTATGTTCTGGACTTCTGATGTTCCGGCGTCACTTTGACTGAGGTCTAGTAGTCACTAATTTGGATATAGAAATGTATGTCATTCATTGAGTCAGTGAAGCTGACCAAAATCTATCGTTCAAGTGTGCACTACGTAGCTTAAGCTAAATGATATGAGTTTAGTATTATTATTACTACTTGTCCTTTAGGTTACTAATGGAATATAGGGCAACTGTAGCACGTCGTCATTTCACTCTCCTCTCTGCAGTCTTTTCAACTTGGCGCTACGACTGCCCACAAGCTTCCATTTCTTCCTCACGCAATCTCCTCCACATCACCTCTAGACGCCCGACTCGTCGTTTCCCATTTGGCTGCCACTCGAGGGCCTGACTTGACGCGTGATGTCCCCAGTCGATCTTCTCAGTATGTGTCCAATCTAATCCATCTTTACTTTCTTCTGCATATTTGTTGGACGATAGGTTCTTGGTTGGTTGATTCGTTGCCAAATAGCCAACCAGCCAGCCAGAGTTCCTTCTTGCTTATTCTTATTATTCTGACCATCTTATCTTCAGCAACAGTAGAAGCACTAACTTGACTGACTTACCGTTGGGAATCCGGATGTTGTTCACTCTTTGTGCTGAGTGGAGTGCAGTGCAGTGCAGCAGATCTCCACACTTATTTCACAGTAATGAAGGCTTGTCTTGCTGTCCTTCTAATCCTTGCTCTGAATTTATCATCTGTGCCTGTGCCGTCTGTAGTAGATACGACGCTGCCTAGGTAAGCACCTAGGTGAAAGAGACAGCTTCCTTTAGATTTCTCCCGTTTATGGTGATTGGCGCCTGTTGTTATTGCTGTTGTTAGTTGAATATCTTTCTCACCTCTATCTCCTCTACGCTCACCTAAAGGAAGTCCCTTCTTCATTTTCCTGCCTCTTTTGCCAGCTTGTTAGTTTTCGCCTGTAGATCTTTGAGTTTGTGCAACAAGATATCAGACATAGATCATCATTGGTGAAATCCAAATCTTCTTCTGGCGTCTTTTTACCAGTCAAACAGCGGATGCCCCTCTTCTCGCTCCTCATAGTTGTTGCATGGTCCAGTCTAGTTCAGTCGGTCACAATCAGGAAGATCATCAGTGATAGTACACAACCTAAATAATATAACTTCTTAATGGAATATGTTTTTAATGTTAGTAGGTCATTGGTAGGAAGAAATGCTTGACAAAAGTGTTAGGTTGTTGTAGGCAGTCGACAGGTGGTCTTTCTCAACTTATGTTTCATGCTTGTTTGCGCTCGATAGTAAGGCATATTTAAAAGCTCGGAGGAATCAATATCCCTTCAGAGATTTGAATGTCAGTCGAACACGTTTTCAGTGAAGACGTCAGCATAGAGATGTTTAAGCTGTGACTGACGTCATTCAGGACTGGATTAAATATATTGATTAGTTCAACTAGTGATTAGGACTAGGCAACACAGGATTGGCTACTTTCTAGTGACCAATCAATATTTGGCATACGTTTCGTGATTCTTGCCACAATCATCATCAAAGTGTATCGACGACACTATGACAGATTATCTTCCTACAAAGATTTGAAGTTGTATAGCTCACTGCTGAAACCAAAGAGTATTCAGGATATGATTGCTCCTTCCCATTGTAGGAATGGCTGGTGCACTCAAATTGGAAAAAAACGATAACTGAATTAGCAGGCAAGCACATAACTAACAGAATTCAGTCAGCATTATCGAAGCGACAGGTGGATAATGTACCATCACCTTACGATTTTCGGGCACATAGTCCAGTTTAGTAGACTATTAGTCATGGCCTGAATAGGAAACCTGCACTATTGGGTTGTGAACTAGTGAATGAATAGGTAAGCTTTCAATAAAAAAGCTTACTGCCTTTTAGTCTATGCTGCCAAGTTTTCAAGGGTTCTATGGATGGTATCGATTTGTGAGTAGAACTTTTGGATTCGATCTTTTCTCCACAAATTCTCAGAACTCATTAAGTATATCTTTATTGGTTTTGTTTTTATACTATTAAAAATAAGGATTCAGTTATCAAATGCTAATGTGACTAGTGAGAGATTGAGACTGTGACATGGGTGGACCTTACTATCTATCTGATGAATTGTTGATTGTGTCCATGATAACAGTACAAAGTGATACCGTTTAATTTCACTTTTTATTCTTCATAATACATAAATGTATCTCTTCAGGTACGCTAATTAGATTTTTAATGTATATAAATCAATTTTCAGTGCAGAAAATGAACAATTATCCGAAGATTATAAGAAGAGAATGGAGAATTACCGTAGTTTACAAAAGAAAGCCAAGTATACAAAATTTCTCTTTTATAAATATTTCTACTCAAACACTTTAAAAGTAGTAAAATGTTTAGCTTAAAAATATCCAATGTTTTTTTATCAGGTGGTCATTTTTGACGGGTTTGTGGGTTGGTGATGTCATCATATTTCTGGTACACCCTGAAAACTAACCAATTGATTTATATCTAATTATCGGAAGAAATATTTGTACTACCGAGACTTGAACAGTTAGTGGAATATTTTTATGACAGTTTATGCTGCCTCAGTTACTCGTATTTGTACTACTGAGAGTTATATTCAGACAGACTTCTACTGAACTGTTTTAGATGAGAAAGAAGGACCAAAGAAATAAATAAAATTTTTGAATATTTAAAAAGTGAGTAATGAATCACACTGAAACACATTGAATCATTGATAGTCATTAAATATCAACATAAGACCTGATATTACTACGTGGTAGTCGAAGTTGCCACTTCTCATATCAGAACATCAAGGGAGAATGTGTCGAGATGAAAGTTGAAGAAGTAAAGAACGAGAACATGTACCAACTGGGTTTACAAATGGGTGAGATCAAATCCACTAGAAGTTCTATACCAGCATATCTGGTAAGCACAGAATGCCAAAGAGATGTCAGGACAGCTTCGGAATGTGTTACATTGTATTCAAAGGACCCTACCACCTGTTATCCTTTTACTAATTCTTTACATAATGAAAGCTATAAGATCAGCTAAGACTGAAGTTTGTAATCATAAAGGGCGCTTTACCCCTTCCATAGACATCAAATGACTAAATATCATTCTTTCAATCTTTTTGCTTGTTTTTCAATCTATTTTTCTTCTTTCGCTTCCTCTGTCTTGTTTTATGATGATGAAATTTAATAGTTCGGACTGAATGCCCATCTTGCTGTAATATGGGAGTCTTCAACAGTAGGCATTCACAACCCCCATCAGAGCTCCAACCCAGGACATTCACGTTTCAAAGTGAGCACGTTACCATTAAAAGGGTGGATAGGAATCCAGTGGTTCATGTCTTATACTTCTCTCAGTTTGCTATATAGTGGGACCTCCATTAAATCTCGTCGTTGAATAAATTTCCTCTCGCGCAACTTGGTTGGCCACTCTGACCAGGACTTCTCATTAGGAATTCGGGAATCTCATCTTGAAGCAAGTTACTAATGAGCATCTGGAAATGTATGGGGATTTCTTCATTAAACTGACAGAAGTAGGAAATGGAATCAAATTTGTCTGGTCAATAGTAGCGTGCTGGCGACGGAACCGAAAAGTTTTGGATGGTCACTGCCAAAAAGTTCCATACCAGGAAAAAACAGCTCTCCAATACTCTTTCTTTCCCTCTTGACCTATCACCACGGTTGATAAGCATGTAAAATACTAGGTGATGATTGAAGGCGAGATGAGAATTTTCTCCGCGGTAGGATTCGAACCAGCAACCACTAGGTTTCCTGCCCAGTGCTCTCCAGACTGGACTATGGGACCCAACGTTTTGATCAGAATTTCACTTCAATTCATTCTACAAGGGATCTGCCCGAAACTCCTTGATGTTCACTAGTTCGAGTCCCACTGTGGCCCAAATTTTCATTTCATCCTCAATCATCACTCAGTATCAATACAAATCTGCCAAATCACGCCCATCTCAGATAGTCAAAGTGGAAATAATAGTTATTATCGTATACATGATAATAGTGTTACTATTATTATTATTATTATTGAATACTTCAAGGTTATTGATTGATAGTGAACGTAGAAATTTTCGGGATATTTGGATAATGAATGAAGAGAACTTGAAGAAATCAGCTAATCGTTTATTAGATGCTCATCGAATTATAACTGAACAACAACTTGGATTAACATGGAGTCCACCTGACACGTAAACTAAAAATATTTTTCTCTTTTTCTTTGAAAAATGAAGTGACATTTCTTCTCGATGTTTTTTTCTCATGTTGTAATCTGCAAAAAAAACAAGTGAGGTATACTTCCTGGCACTTGACTAATTTATGTATCAGTATGTGCTAATCATCATACACTTCCATTAACTCAAATGTGGGAGACTTGGTGAGATAAATTTGTATCAAGATCATGGGATTTACTCTTTAAAATGGTCTTTCTCACTAGGAGATTATCAATAATCATAGAAAAAAAGGGGGGGTATAACCTGAATCAAGTGATTGCTAAAGAGTGACCCTAAAGGTCACCTCAGAAACCACTAAAAGAACCAATCATATTCCGTGTTTTTGAGTAGGTAGGTAAACCTGATTGAACATTTTTGTAGTTGTTGGGGTGACCTTGAAAGTCAGTATTGTAAACTTTGATAAGGTGACTTTTCTAAAGGTCATTCTAATGAAAAGTGAAATTACGAATTAAACGACTGACTTTAAAAGGCCATTCTAACAACCATTACTAAAGTGACCTTGGGAGCCATCCAATTAAATTTTTCCTTTTGATGAATATTGACCTTTCCAGACAAAATAAAGAAATGTTATTGGGTATTTCAGTTGTTCTTATAATGGCCTTCAAAGTTATTCACTTTGATTTCATCACATCATTCTGACTTTCAACAAACCTTTCTATCTTGATATTGGAGTGACTTTACTGGAATTAGTCTATAGCGTTATTCATTACAGATTGACATAATTCACTTATGATCACTAATGCATAGTTTGAACAGAGGAATGGTGACTTATCAGTTCTACTGTAAAGACTCCTCTCCGCTAATCATCTTCGTAAACTATATTTCTGAGGATGATGATAATGATTGATGCGAAGAATCTCAGCATAACTGTCACTGAATTTTAGTCTTGGTTAGAACATTTCTGGTTTTTAAAAAAAAACTAAACAAGAAATGTACCTTTAAGAAAAAACGATTTATAGTTTGAACTATCGAAGATAAAGGTGGTATGTAGTTTGTACAGTAGAAGATCAAAAAAGTAATTGTTTGAAGAATCTTAATATTTTTAAATTACCGTCTTAGCGCCATTGTTTACGACACTTTTCCTCCCATTTTCAAGGTAATTCGCTGATTCATTGTTGCTTGCGTCTACTTCATGCATCCAGATCAACCTAGGACCAGGCATTACCGCGTAACAGTCCCACTTGCCACACCTCATATCAGTACGTGAAGTACAAAGGTAGTGAGGTGAAGGATGAAGATAAGAGAATGAAGTCAAAAGAAATATAAAGAGAGAGAAACGAAGAATGAGAAAGTGGTGACATTCGGTATAGCGTTGTTAAGATGAGGATAATGTATGTATGTGTGTGTATGTGTATACATCTGCACCAATGACATCGGTTCTGAGCCATGTGATCACCTAGAGTCAGTCTCCAACCACTCGTTCCTCTTGTCCTGTGGACCTCAACCACCTAGTCTACATCGCCCCACATGTCTCAAACCAACAGTCAAACACTACATACATCGATGCCATGTTTTAGTCTTGCCACCTGGGGCCTTTTTCCAGACTGGACTTACTTCAGCCAACATTGTGTGATGAGGTAATTGGTGACTACACATACGTAGTACGTGTCCCAACCAGCCATCTCAATCGATGAAGGTTCATAACCTAGTCAACTGATTTACCTCTTCTCCCTAAAACTCTACATCTGAGCCTGACTTCTGCATTACTCACATGGTGACACCATGGGATACGGCCTGTACTACGAAGGCAACGGTGGTCGAACACCTGAAGCCAGCCTTCTCATGTCTTCCACCTTGAATGGCCATGTTTCACAGCCATGCAGTGGGATAGAACTGACTGGTGTGCAGTACACGCGACCCTTAATAGACAAACGGATATCATGGCAGCGCCATAGGTGACGTGAGTTGGCGAAAGCCAATCGAGCCTTGTGTATCCGTGCAGAGATTTCATCGGCAACTAAACCACCAGGGTTGATCCTACCGTCCAGGTAAGTGAAGTGGTCGACACACTCATCCACTACACTCTCCATTGTTAGTCATGGCATCGCTGAAGACCAAACATGGAGCAACAATTTGCATTTGGGTGATGAGAAACTCATCCCAAACATTCTCAAATTGCTACTGAAAGTGTTCAGAAGACTCTGCATCTCATTAGTCAGAGTCTTCACCTAACAGGACAATGTCATCTGGATATTGTAGGTCTAACGAAAATTCTCCTGTGATCAGGTGAACGTGTGTGTAGTCAGATGACGAGAGGGAGACCTCCATAAGAATATCTATGATAAAAGTGAATAAGAATGGAGAGAGTGGGCACCCTTGAGGGACACCACTCCATGAGTACAGCTCACCTGCTTCTACTACGTTAATGTTTCAAATTTTGGACAAGGTCATTTGTCATGAGCAGGTAGGTAGTAAAGTTTATTATCCAGTCCAATCTTCTTCTCCATTTCTTCCTTGGTTGAAGTCATTGGATCTTGCCTATGAAGTTATCTGTCAGTCAAGCGTGCGCGTTATATCCTCTCGGGAACATAACATAGATAAACTGGAATACTCCATAAAAGCAGAAAAACAGGATATCAATGGGAATCAAAGGTTATTCTAGAGGGAACAACAATGAACCTATGATCGTGATTATATAGTAGAAAAAAGTGAAATGTGGAGCATAAAATGATCATGATCCACTGATTACACAGTTTTATTTAAACATTTTTCGACAAGTGAAAGTAGTTTTGATCATTGGTTTTCATGAGTTATAGAATCATGGTCAAACAGCTGATGAAACCTTCGTTAAGACGAGACAACTTTTCATTGCTCTAAAGTTTTTGCTGATTTAGTAGTCACCTTACTAGGCAACAATTTCACTTCTCGGAAGTTATGAACTGTAGAATTAACTAAGTTGGAAGTGATATAGATACGCCAACTGATGACAACTGATGGTAGTTATGATATATTGTGAAGTGACAGAATAAGAGAGGTGTGGATCACTGAATCCTGTCAACCAAAGTGACATAAAACACGTCTTCCCTAGGCTAAATTACTGATTGGGGTGGACACCGCTAGTTCCCAGGTTAATAGTGGTCTACAAGGTGATGATAGAATCTACTTTCAAATTAGTCACTCTCAGTAAACCATCGAGTGAATTTATACATGTATATATCCTTTTACTTTTTCAGCTCATTCATGTGCAATATTGGACCTATAACAGAATCAGCGAATAAAATCATTTGTAAGCCTCCAGCTGTAATAGCAATGGAATTAGCTATGAAATCTGACGTAAAGTAAGCGAATATCTTTTTTTTTTCAGTTATAAGAGTTGAACTAGTAATTCACTTAAAGAATTACTGATAAAATAGTGAAGAATAGAGCTTATTCATCACTAGCTTCGAGAAGTGATCTCTGAAGTTTCAATGAGAAGTTGTGATCTATTGAGTCAACCGAGTCGAACATGAGGACAGTTACTCAACAACAATAACAACAACACTGAATGTAGGTTGCACTATCTCATGAACTAACAGAAAGAAGCAGGAAATATCGACGATTGAATTCCTAACCAGTTTGGCTCAATGTTAGGGTGTTGACCAGGGGGCCTGAAGGTCCTGAGTTCGATCTATGGTGATGTGGGTCATGGGTGCACATAGCTGAAGAGCCTCATACAAGTGGGACGAAATAGCTGTCCAGTGCTCCCAGACTTCCAATGTTCCTCCAACTGATGTTAATCTGTGATGAGTTCCAACATAAAATAATTTTTCTTATTTAATTGTTAAGTCATCTAATTGAATGATGAAGCTTTCATTTATTGTTTTTATCGATAAAATCATGAATATTACCACTTTTAAAGGGAAGTTAGTTGATGAACATTCTTCCATGAATGATGTAGCAACTTGTACTCATTAAAGTAGCATATGTTGAACTTTGTTGACTTGTTATTCCATATTATATTCCTTATTCGATGTAGTAGAGCATAGTGATACAGTATTATTTACTGGATGATATTTCCACCAGGATTTATTGTTCATATTCATACAACAATCCTTCATTCTTTTGACCATCATGGTAGTGAAATTTTTCATATATCTCCTATATGTGATGAATTATTCGTGTTATATATGTTAGATGATGGTTGATTGAATGAACAGCGATTCTGTGATCTATCTCTCCCTCCCTCCATGCCTCCACCTATCTAACTATATTGAATTTTACAACTATTATCCTATCCCATCCACCAACCTTATAGTTTGTTTATGGGTTAGTGTATGCAGACTGATAGTCGAAATTCCCTCTGAATTGCTCATCTTACTAAGTTAGGCCTGACACTGTATGTCTATGTTATATATATATATATATATATATATATATATATATATATATATATATATATATATATATATATATATATATATATATATATATATATATACCACTTGACCACACAATCATGATATGTTGTTTGATGGAATAGGTTATTTTGTTAACTTGAAAATATTAGTTGTTCTAGCCTGTAGAGTTTATGTCTGAGTCAGTTTTGTAGGTTTAAATGCCACCGTAATCTCAGCATTGTTAAGAATTCTACATTTCTACATTTCTACATTTCCTATATGCCTTCTTTATAATAGTAATAATAATAATCGCTTTATTCCTAACAATATGTATGACAGTATGGAATTCTCAGCATGTAATTGTTCCAGAAATCCACTCCCAGTACAATACTTTCAGATGAAACGGTTATTGCATCTGCACGATGTTAATAATAACAGTATTCAAGACAATAATGTGAAATAGCCAGCTGGTTTTGGATGAGCATCCAGTCTATAATGAGGAATCAACAGAAATCCAAGTGTAATTTGGATGGTGGTTCATTCAGACGGTACAAATATCTACAACTCAAGTTAAGCATCTGACGGATAGAAATATAATATACATTTTTGCACCGAATAATCCATTTTCATAGAATGTAACATTTTTTTCTCTCCTTTGTTATTGACTTGAGATATGGAGAGTTGGAAACAGTTTTAAAATGTTCAAGAGTACAAGAAGGATATATTTAAATGATTAAAACGAATTGAAAAGGAGGTATTTAGAGATAGTATTCATCATGAACTGATATCAGTTGGGGAACCATTGAAAATCACTTGGGAGCACTGGACAACTGTTCCGTCTCATTACTATGGGACTCCTCAGCAGTACGCACCCACGAATCCACCTATCAAGAATCTAACTCAGGAATAATGGAAATGATGTAATCACTTTGTAGGAGTGTGACTACATTCTGAAGTGGTGGGAAATCTGATAAATGAGAAGAATAACATACAGATGATCTAATGGTAGAACATGTTAAGAAATATTAAGATGTAAAGAAGTATAACAAACTGAAAATGATGGGAGAAAGAAGTGTTTAAGACTGATGTATGAAACTGTAGGTTGAAATAACAAAGAATAAAATATTCTGAAGATAGTATTCATCTGGAACTGAGAATCATTGAAAAGCTAAGGCTAATGGAGACCTGTTTAACCATAGTGTTGAACTACTTAGTAGTATATACTCATGACTCTACCGGGGATTGAACTCACGACCTTCAGGTCAATATAAAGTCATTGGAAACAAACAGTTCATCGAGACATTGTAACATGAGACAGAAACTCTTTTCATACGCATCACTTTGGTTTCACTCGATAGATTGTTGCTATTTCTGCATAACTTAACAGTTTGTTGTTTACTGATTACAAGAAAAACTGTATTCAACTGAGTGGACAGCGTAACATGCGTCGAAGATATATTCCCCATAATGAAGCTACTAAATAACCTTGAATCTCATTCGTTTGAATATTCTATTTCCATGTCTTGAGCTTTACACAAATGAAAATGATCTTTGATGACTTCTTGTAAATTGAGCATTATAGTATACAAAGAAGACGAATGCTTATATCATTATTATTATTATTACTGTTATTATTTCGATAGGAAGATTCATGATCCACAAGATGGTATATCAGAGAATACTATACCGAAATCATTGAAAGAAGTTTCACCAGAAATTGTACAACAATTTTTACACCTACTCTGTTATGAACCTGTAAGTTGTATCATTTCTAAGGATTCATATTAACGTACAGTTTTTCACAATAAATATTTTGATATGTCTACTTGTTTATATCATTGACAGTGTTTAATAGTTTGTAGTTTTGTACCTAGCGTTTCTCGAACCTATAAACACTGACTGACAAAATCAACATGGAACATCCCACCATTTTACAGTAGTATATAAAGAACAGGTGGATAGGATGAGATCAATATCTGAAGGAGAGGGCGGCAGAAATCATAGACAAATACTAACAATGGGTAAGGATTCTGTCCAGAGGAACTCAAGAGACAACGCCGGCGTATTAAGAGCAAATCAAGAGATAAGCAGAAGAGGAAATGAAGCATATTGTGCAGATGACTATCTTATTGGAAAAAGTACAATATTTGATGAATACTTTACAAGAAGGTTATCTCGTTTCTTACAATTAGGTGTCGCTGCTTCTGGACGTGATGAAGATTCCATGGACTTCAGTGTTCAAGGATGAAGACATCAAGGTTTTCCTCAGAGACTTTGCATTGGTCGCAGAGCTGCTGGGTGTCCGACATCCTGTTAGCGACACCAAATATAGGAAACGACAAGACTGAGACGCAGTAAAGAATGTATAATATTGACATCTTGTACTATTATTATTATTAGTCCCTTGGGTTCCTAGTGGAACATAGGGCTTCAGTAGCACGTCTCCAGTGACCTCTGTTCTCTGAGATCTTTTGAACCTGGTTCCACGACAGCCCACAAACTCTCATTTCCTCCTCGCACGACCTCCTCCATGTCACCCTCACCACGGACGCCCAACTCATCGCTTCCCATGGGGATTCCACTCGAGGGCCTGGCCTGACGCGTGATGTCCCCAGTCGGCCTTCTCAGTGTATGCCCAATCCATCTCCACTTCGTTCTGCATATTTGTTGCGTGATAGGTTCTTGGTTGGTTCGTTCCCAGAGCTCCTTGTTGCTTATTTTTTCTGGCCATCTGATCTTCAGCAGCGAGCCAGCGTAAGCAGTTGTTGATGAATGTCTGTAGTTTATTGGAAATGCCTTTCGTGACGCGCCAAGTCTCTGAACCATACAGAAGCATTGACTTGACGTTGGTGTTGAAAATCCGGATGTTGTTCCTTATGCTGAGTGGAGTGCAGAAGATCTCCACACTGGTTTCAGGCTAATGAACGCCTGTCTTGCTTTTCCGATTCTGACTTTGACGTCCTCGTCCGTCCCGCCTATGGTTGAAACAGTGCTTCCTAGATAAGTGAAGGAGGTAACTTCCTTTAAGTTTCTCCCGTTGATGGTGACTGGAGTTTGTTGTTGTTGTTGATGGTGGTGGTGCGGTATCTTCATCACTTCTGTCTTCTCTATATTCACTTGAAGTCCCGTCTTCGCTGCCCTGCTTCTTCTGTCAACTTGTTAGTTTTTGCCTGCAGATCTTCAAGTTTATGTGACATTAGGCACAAGTCATCGCGGGAAATCAAAGTCTTCTAGGTTCTTTTCCGCCGTCCAGTGTATCCCCCTCTTATCGCTCCCCACTGTTTACTGCATGATCCAGTCCACCACAATAAGGAATATCATGGGGGATAGTAGGCAACCTTGTTTCACTCCTGTCTTCACTTCAAAGGCATCACTGAGCTTCCCATTGTGAATTACTTGGCATATGGCATCTTCATATAGTTGTTGAATGAGATTGATAAAGGTTTGCGGTACTCCGTAGCAGTGAAGCAGTTTCCAAATTACTTCTCGGTCGACGCTGTCAAAGGCCTTCTCAAAGTCGATGAAGTTGAGGTAGGGAGCTGATTGCCATTTTATGCTCTGTTCTATGATGATGCGTAGAGTGGCGTTGCAATTTGATCTGCACATGATTTGTACTTCCTGAAGCCTGCCTGTTCCGGTCGCAGTTTTGAATCCAGTGCATCTTTAAGCCTCTCCAGGATGATGCGGCTTAATATTTTACTTGGGGTAGACAGGAGAGTGATTCCGCGCCAGTTCTTGCAAGCACTGAGGTCTCCTTTCTTCGGCAGTTTGACAAGGTAACCCTTCTTCCAATCTACTGGCAGGTACCTTCTCTTCCTTCCACACCTTCTGCAATAGTGGTGTGGTGTGAGCATGTTCGCTGTTGTCTCTGCGTCTGTTCTCAGTGCTTCTGGCGGTATTCCATCTGGTCCTGCTGCTTTCCTGCATTTCAGTAGCTTTATGGCGTTCACGACTTCCATTTTCGTTGGGGGATTTATGTTCACTTGTAATTCAGCGGCTGCAGGTGGTATTTCTGGACGAAGTGCAGGTGGTGGTCGATTCAAGAGCTTCTTGAAGTGGTCGGCCCATCGTTTCCTCTGTTTCTCTTCTTTTGTAATTAAATTTCCTTCTTCATCTTTTATTGGTTTCATCTGTGTTGGTCTCTTCCCTGATAGCAACCTGGTTATTTGATACAATGTCGTCAGGTCTCTCTTACCTGCAGCCTGTTCTGCTTCACTTGCCAGTGTTTCGTAGAAGTGTCTTTTGTCTTTGCGTGCACTCTTCTTCACTTCTTTATCCAGTGTTTTATACATTGTGCTCAGTTCCTCTTGTCGTTGAGCATCCTTGCACTGGTTTATCTTCTGCTTCACCATCCTCCTCTCCTCTATCAGCTTCCAGGTATCCGTCGAGATCCATTCCTTCCTTGTCTTCCACCTTCTTCCTTCCTAATACTGTTGTGCAGGTTTCTTTCCACATAGCTTTCAAAGACTTCCAGTGTTCTTCCACACAGGTTTCTTCAGGGATGTTCCTCATTTTGTTCTCCCATTTTGTCTTGATGTCTGACTGACGTGAAGATTTCCTTTGCAGTTTCATCCTTCAGTTTCCGAGTGTTGTACTTGAATTGAGGTCTATCACCAGCTTCCTTGAAGGCTTTTAACTTGATTTGGAAGGTTCCTTGCACTAGATAGTGGTCTGAACCTACATCTGCTCCTCTTCTTTACCTTGTGTCATTTAGGCTGACTGCGTCTCCATTTTCTTGAGATTGAGATGAAGTCGATTTGATTTTTAGTGTGTCCATCTGGTGAAATCCATGTCGCTTTGTGGATATCTTTGTGCCTGAACACACTGCCTCACTCCAATTACCAAATCGTTGAATGCACAGAATTCTGCAAACAATTCTCCATTCTCATTCATTTCACCTAGCACCTCTCGACCCATGGTTAGTTCTCTTCCCGTGTTGTCCCCTCCCAGTTTGGCATTCATGTCGCCCATTAGAATTTTGATATCGCCAACTGACATCTTGTCCAGTGTTGATTGAAGTTGTCTGTAGAAATCCTCCTTTTTCTCTTGATCTGCATTATTTGTAGGTGCATAACATTGTATGATTGTGACCTTTCTTCCTTTTGAGTTGAATCTTGCTGTCATGATCCTGGAGGAGATTGGTGCCCACTGGATGAGAGCCTTCGATGCTGTTGGGGACATCGTGATAGCCACTCCAGAACTCAGTGTGCTCATGGCTGTCGTCTGGGTGACCGGAGTAGGTTATTGATTCTCCAGTTGACAGTTTGAAGAGTCCACTTCCATTCCATCTGCTTTCGCAAATTCCAAGAACTTCGATGTGATACCTTCTCATCTCGTTTGCAATCTGGGCTGCCTTACTGGGTTCAAACATCGTACGGACATTCCGTGTCCCCACGTTTACTTTCGCTTTCATCGAGGGAGAGAAGACACATCGGCCAATTGGCTTCCCGAGGGCAGGCTTTCACCAACTGGCGTCATTTCGCCTCTCCGATTCCAGCGGGGAATAAGTTTGTTTTCATTTTTTATATTTTGTTTGTGCTTTGAAGTTTGTTTAGCGGTTAGATTTGTTTTACGGGGTAGGGTTGCTAGCCCTATGCCCAACCTTCCCTGTTTACCCGGGCTTAGGACCGGCTAGTAATTAGTAAACTAGTTAACCAGTCGAGGTTGACATCTTGTACAGTAGTCATCATATATTGTACACCTTGCACTGAGACAGTCATTTGCTTAATGTTCTTCATTTCCTCTTCTACTTCTATCTTGATTAGCTTTTCATATGCCCACCTTGTCTCTTGCGTTTCTCTGAGCAGAATATTTACTGATCGCTGGTAATTGCCTATGACGTCTACCGACCTCTCAACATATACTACTTATATCCATTCTTATCAGTAGCAACCACAACACTATAACATGAAAAATCCCTTAGAACTAGTAAATAATACGAGATGATATATTATTTCCTTTAATTCAGTTGAAATTATTATCAACAAGCCTGTTTATAAGCTTATGCATAATCAGTGAATTAATTTCAAATATTTTAAACTTCCAAGAATACTTAACAATCACCTTCAACCCTATTGGTCATTTCATGGTTGTTCGGTAGTTGGTAAAGGACAGAGAAATTTTATAGTCCTACGATGAAATACCTGGAAACTATATAATATTAGTTTGCATTACATTCACTGATTGAAATTTATTTCTTAAAACAAATTTCTCTCTCATATGAATAGTAATAATTTATCTATTCAATCCAGCTGTAGAATAGTCGGTTAGAGTTTACGTTTAAAAAAGTTACTTTTCATATATAACTTATACAGAAGAATAGAAAATCTGTACAATTTTTCATTGTTTTAATCTGTTTTATTTCAATTGATTACAGGAATTTTTAATTGATGAAAAGATGAAACGTATTTTAAAACCATTAGGACATGAAGAAGGATTACTATTACGCTTAGATACAATATTAACGGTAAGTGTACTTGTGATGTATATATGTAATTTGAAGTGAATAGCGACTTCATTTTTAGGATTGTGTTCATTGTAGACTGACATCAACTGAAGAGCCATTGAAAATAAACCTGAGAGCGTTGTTTCGCCCTATTATAGGTCTCATCATCAGTACGTCCTCACTACCCCGTCAGCAATCGAAACAGATAATGTCCTGTGTTCCTAGGTTTTCAGTGGTTCTCCAAATGATGTCAGTCCATGATATATATACGCAGACAAGTTTGTAACTAAGCACATGAATATTACAAGGGTTAAGAAAACAATGCCAACAGTTCCTAAGAAGCAAATCTTCTTGAAGCTGCAATTTAAGAGTGATATTGCCAGTGAGATCATCACACAACGCATAAAAAGAGTCTTGCATAAAGCATTCCCAGCCGCTAAATTATGTCCCGCCTTCTACAACCGCTCGATTCTAGGTGCAAGAAATAAAGACAAACTGCCTGATTCTGCCACTTCTACGTGCATTTATCAACTCAACTGCTCCTGTGGAGCGAGTTACATTGGGCGTACAATGAGGCAGTTCCATCGTCGAATTTCTGAGTACCACCCATCATGGTTGAACAAGGGACAGAGTAGGAGTATGTAAAGAGCTCCATGCTTACACACTTAGTTGACACAGGACATCAAGTGGTTACTGGAAAAGCCTTCAAAATTATTCATCAGATTCCAATTAATTTACCTCATGGATTACATACTCGGTTACTTCACGTAGCAGAGGCGATTGCAATCCACCTTTACAAACAAACCTAACCTTTGTATTCAAAAGAAGTTTGTTCGACCACTTTCATTACCGTGACCGTCAACATGATGTAACTTCTAGGATTACTTTGTACACCTCTTCCCCTTCCCCTTGTTTCTATCAATATTCATGTTTCCTATTTTAGTAACCCGTATTGATTATTGACATCATTATTTCCGAAATATCACCACATGATTGGTAATTTGGTTAAATTGTAAGACGACTATGCATATTAATGTAGAGCCCATTATGAAGACCTAATTGATAAGGAATACATTTCTTCACTCAATCAGTCTTTTTCTATATATGTTGTTGACAGAGTTGGTATTAACCACACAGACATATTTCTATAGTTTAAAAATGCTTAGAAGAAGTATTGACTTGGAATTAATTGATATGCTTTCGATCCTATGATGTATAACCCAGTTTAAACTTTGATTATCAGATGTATAGTAGTCACCCTGAAGTCATCCATAACACTGTGATGAATACCATAGAAATCTGAATGATTAGTGATACAACTGACTGATGTAAGAGTATAAACATCAGTAAAACTTGGCAGAATATTTGAAAACGGTTTAAAACTCTTATAAAGCTTAGACTATGCACAAAGTTTACTATTCATATATTTCTGCTTGATGAATGTACACGAAAGACATAAAGTTACAAGAAATAGTTCCATTAGATAATGAAAATTCAATAAAATACAGTTCAGCGATAAAAAAAACTTTCTTAACCATGAATCATTTTCAAAAGTTATACATTTTATCTAAACTCATCACCAAGCACTATCCTCCATAGTTGTCTAAAAGAGAATGTAAAGTCGTTAAAAGCTTGGTTCTTCAATATTTAGTTATCACTAGTCATTTCAAAAGGGTGTGTGTATTTGCCGCCCCAGCACAGCAGAGGCTTTCGCAACCTAGAGGTATAAACAATCTCTAACATAGCCTTGGTCATAATCTCCCTAAGACACTTTATTCATTTCTGTGTTTATTTACTATAATCTTATAAGGCGTTTCCGAGGAGGTTGAGTTGACCTTCTAACTGTAATCATATTGTGACTTTATTGAACTTTGTTGATGACTTTTCACATTTTATTATAACTATGACTAAGATTTTATATTTTCTTTGTGCTCTGGGGTTACTTCAGCGGTTGAATTGGTTTTACGGGGTAGATTTGCTAGCTCTACACCCAACCTTCCCTCTTTACCCGGGCTTAGGACTGGCTAGTAACTAGTGAACTAGATAACCAGAAGTGGAGACAGAAGTAAAACAACGCTGCCACCTACCATCACCCATGATATTCCTGATTGTGGTCGACTGGATCATGCAACCAACAGTGAGGAGCGAGAACATGGGCATACACTGGACCGGGAAAAAGAACCTAGAAGATCCAATCACCATGAACGGGAGAAACTTAAAGGAAGTAGCCTGTTTCACCTATCTAGGTAGGCAGCATCCTTTCAACTACAGACGACGACACAGGAACACATGAGGACGTCTAAGCCAACCAGGATCGGAAAGACAGCAAGACAGGCGTTCATCAATCGGAAACTAGTGTGGAGATCTTCTGCACTGCACTGCACTGCACTCAGCATAAAGCTTGAACAAGATCTGGATTTTCAACACCAATTCAGTGAAGTGAGTCAGTGGTTCTATGTGATGGTTGAGAGACCTGGTGTGTCACGAAAAGCATCTCCAACAAACTACAAAGATTCATCAACAGCTGCCTACACTTGATACTGAGGATCAGATGTCCAGAATAATAAGAATAAGCAACAAGGAACTCTGGTTGGCTGACAACGAACCAACTAAGCAAGAGCCTATCACCCAATAAATATGCAGTGTAGGGAAGTGGAGATGGATTGGGCATGCATTGAGAAGACGTGTTGGAGACATGATGCACCAGGCCAGACCAGTCCGTGGAGTGGAACCCTGATGGGAAGAGACTGAGTTGGGTGTCGGAGGTGAAGGTGATATGAAGGATATTGTGTGAGGAAGAAATGAGAGGTTGTGGGTTGTTGTAGAGCTAGGTTGGAAAGATTGCAGAGAAAAGAGTGCACTGTAGATGTGCTACTGTTGCCCTATGGTTCCATTAGGAACCCAAGGGACAAATAATAATGATATAATTGACCAGTCCAAGTAGGTTTGTGATAAATTCTGTGTAATACAGAACCATCTTTATTTTTTTTTTATACTCAAGAAATCCAAGAAATTTATTTCATCTAACATTTCATGTTCACATGTGAATTTCATGTCTGAATGAACTGAATTGAAAGATCTGAGTACGTTCACTGTATGAATTTTTCTCTCACATATGATTAAAGTATCATCAACATATTTGAAATACAATTTTCTCTCTTTGATAGCATAACTTAGTTTTCTATTCTTTAAGTGGCCTAGAAATATGTCTGAGAATATGGTACCAAGGAAATAGAAGTAGGAATTAGTGAACCGTTGGATTCCAACTCAACTGGAAAATGGTAACGCATTCTCTATGAGATCTGTTAATGATAGGCTCAATGATCCATCAGGTCATGGATGCGTACTGATAAGAAGTTGTACAGTGTGAAAAACAAAAACTCTCTAAGGTTACTTAGTTCTCAATGATTATCCAATAGTTGTCAATCTGTGATGGAAATTCGGTTTAAAACGCTTGTTTCTTTACAATCTCGATTCTTTCTCCTTTTTTTTCATTTCAAGGTGTTAGGTGTACAAACAGAAAAGGATTTAGATGATTTATTCACCTATTTTATCAAAAATAATACGCATTTATCATTGGAAAATGAACCAATTTATGGAAAACAATTTTTGTATACAGAGGAAAAAACTCATCCTGAAGGTATACCGTCAACAATAACTGAAGAAACAAGTAAGCATTACTTTATAACAGGCTAATAGAACAATCTATGATGTTTGAATAGTTTAGGCCTTTGATCGATAATCGACAGAGATATATACATACATATATTATTATTTGCCCCTTGGGTTCCTAATGGAATATAGGGAATCAGTAGCTCGTCTCCATTACACTCTATTCTCTGCAATCTTTTCAACCTGACTCCACGACAGCCCACAAGCTCCCATTTCCTCTTCGCACGATCTCCTCCATGTCACCCTCGCCTCGGACGCCCAATTCGTCGCTTCCCCTGGGGGTTCCACTCGAGGGCCTGCTGCATGATATCCCCAGTTGGCCTTCTCAGTGTATACCCAATCCATCTCTACTTCCTTCTACTGCATATTTGTTGAGTGATAGGTTCTTGGTTGGTTCTTTCCCAGACATACATATATACAGACAGACAGACATGAAATAATGAAAACTAATGTTGTTCATCTATGATGTACTCAGTGATCATTCCTGTTTACCTTTGCTATGGACGCGTTGATGTATAGAACCCTAAATACTTCTGACTTTTCAGGGGTTGGTTTGCAGTACGCAGGTGACCTAGTCCTGTTAGGTGAGGCTACCGGCAAAATGTAGAGTCATTTGAATACTTTATGTAACAGTCGGAATATTTTCGGTGAACCTTTCTTATTTACCTAGTGTCGGTTGATGCCTAAAGACTACTATACATCAGCTCTTAGCTTATGCATGGCAAGTGGAATAGTGAAATTCATTTGCAATTCCGGTTACCTTCTGTGAACCGTGATAAGTCGAACTGTTGCATTTTTGTTGAAGGTCCTACTTTGATTAATCGATTTATTCACCTGTCCAACGAATAGGACTTAATTGTCAGTAGCTGTTCCGTCCTTTTATTGCGACCTCTCAGCAACGTACACCCATGACCTTCAGTTTGCGTAGTGAGCATGTTATCATTGAGCCACTGAGTCACAGTCGAATGATCCTATTTCAGATAATTCACGATATAGCATGATATTCAAAGATTACCATCGTTGAGTAACTATGTTTGAAGGTTTGTGAGGAATTATTGATCTGATCCGTGAAGTCAGTTACCTTGGTACCGAGTATAAATCACCACTTGGTGACATTCCATAAAGAATATGTGATCTGGAAGGATTTCATTTGGCGGTGAACTTAGTAGTTTATTGGCTAAAAACAATTTTATTTCAATATCATATAACTTCTTCAAGTAGAGTTTAAAAACGATAAACTGAAAGAAAAAATCTCCTACTTCCATTTTATCACAATTGAGATGCTTTAATTGAAATCGATTGTTGAATAAGAGATAATTATCTTTTCAACTGCTTCTTATCATAAATGTGATGTAATTCGAACAGTTATGTGAACTTTAGAATGTTAGAAACAGTTGTGTTACTCGTTTACAAACGAATAAACAATGACTTTTAGTAACCTCGCCTTCGACAGCGTCGACTGAGAAGTAATTTGCCAACTGCTCCATTACTATGGAATACCACAAACCTTTATCAACATCATTCAACAACTATATGAAGACGCTACATGCTAAGTAATTCACAATGGGAAGCTCAGCTCAGTGATGCCTTCGAAGTGAAGACAGGAGCAAAAAAAGGCTGCCACCTACCATCACCCATGATATTCCCGATTGTGGTCGACTGGATCATCTAGCAGACAACTGTGAGGAGCGAGAACATGGACATACACTGAAACCGAGGGAAAGATACTAGAAGATTTCGATATCGCCGACGATGATGACTTGTGTCTAATGTCATGTCACACAAACTCGAAGATCTATAGGCAAAATGTAACAAGTTGACAGAAGAGACGGGGCAGGGCAGGGCAGGACAGGACAGTGCAATGCAGTGAAAACGGGACTTGTTCCAACTGAACGTAGAGAAGACAGAGGTAGAGGTGATGATGATATCCAACCAACACCAACACCATCACCACCACCACCACCAACAACAACAACAACAAAATCCAATCACCATGAACGGGAGAAACTTAAAGGAAGTAGCCTGTTTCACCTATCTAGGTAGGCAGCATCCTTTCAACTACAGACGACGACACAGGAACACATGAGGACGTCTAAGCCAACCAGGATCGGAAAGACAGCAAGACAGGCGTTCATCAATCGGAAACTAGTGTGGAGATCTTCTGCACTGCACTGCACTGCACTCAGCATAAAGCTTGAACAAGATCTGGATTTTCAACACCAATTCAGTGAAGTGAGTCAGTGGTTCTATGTGATGGTTGAGAGACCTGGTGTGTCACGAAAAGCATCTCCAACAAACTACAAAGATTCATCAACAGCTGCCTACACTTGATACTGAGGATCAGATGTCCAGAATAATAAGAATAAGCAACAAGGAACTCTGGTTGGCTGACAACGAACCAACTAAGCAAGAGCCTATCACCCAATAAATATGCAGTGTAGGGAAGTGGAGATGGATTGGGCATGCATTGAGAAGACGTGTTGGAGACATGATGCACCAGGCCAGACCAGTCCGTGGAGTGGAACCCTGATGGGAAGAGACTGAGTTGGGTGTCGGAGGTGAAGGTGATATGAAGGATATTGTGTGAGGAAGAAATGAGAGGTTGTGGGTTGTTGTAGAGCCAGGTTGAAAAGATTGGAGAGAAGAGAGTGGAATGGAGTCGTGCTAGTGAAGCCACATTTTCCAACAGGAACCCAAGGGAAAAATAATGATAATAATTTAGTAACGTCATCAGTCATAGTGTCATATGGCAATCGAATAATGAGACATGGCTGATAAAATTAGGAGTTATAACGAGATTACAAGTTGTCTAACACAAACATCTTCTTAGCATTAAATGATGGGATCATCGTTTGATTGACATGGAGGTCGTGAACCTTCGTTGACTAAGGTAACTCGGACGTGTGTTTAGCATACCAAACCACATGCAATGTTAGATGAAGTTGAAAGAAGGCCGAGGGTGGTCAGACTAAGACATGGTAGTAGCCTATGAATTCATTGATTTTTCTCTTAACCATATAGGCAGATAGGTGTTCATGGCCTGTTTGAGGTCATCAAGACGACAGGAATCAATGATTTAAGCCAATTGGTGAAATGCCTTAAAATCAGTCACAATAGCTTAGATCAATTCACTATGTGACTACTTCTAAAGCTTATACATTTTCCTTAACCTTCATTTTCAAACTACTTGTCCTCATATGCACACATTAGCCTACTGTGATGTTAGTCTTGAACCAATCCACTTTTATATGGGGTTTTATATTGATTCTGTCTGTCTGCTTATCTAACTGTCAATGTTTACAATATTTTTCTTATTTTAAATAAATAAATATTACATATTAAAAATGATTATTTTCTTATTATCATGACAATAAACCAAAACAAATGAATGAATCAAATCCCAATATAATCGAAACTTGACAATTTCAACAGATCAAATTCATGAAGTCAATGAAATTGACAGTCTTATACAAGATGAATTATTTAATAAAAATGAAATAAAACCGACTGAAAGTAGATGTTCAATTAAAACAGAACAAGTTATCGGTCAACAGGATGAAGAGTCTACGCATCATTCGAAGACTAATGGAGTAAGTCATTCACTGATTTAACAAAGATGTATGCATGTATGTACGTATGTATGACCGTATGTATGCATGTAAGTATGCATGAAAGTGTGTATGTATGTCTGTATGTGTTTATGGATGCAAGTAAATAAACCTTTATCCATGCATGTATGTATTATTACTATTTAGAAGTAGTATTCATCATGGACTGACATCAGTTGGGGAACCATTGAAAATCTCAACAACAAAAAATATATTATTACTGTTGTTATTGTTATTATTAATAATAATAATTATTATTTGTCCCTCGGGTTCCTAGTGGAAAATACGGCTTCACTAGCACGCCTCCATTCCACTCTATTCTTTGCAATCTTTCCAACCTGGCGCCACGACAGCCTACAAGCTATCATTTCTTCCTCACACAATCTCCTCCATGTCACCCTCGCCTCGGATACCCAACCCGTTCCTTCCCCTTTTGATTCTTGTCAGCTGATGAATGCACACACATACACACACACATACAGAATATCAAGGACTAGAGTAGAGTTACGCCATTTCCAATAACTTTCATAGAAAGTTATTGGTGCGGTTAATAAGAATACGCAATTCATTTCATCTGTAACACACCTCACTTCTGTTCATCATTATTATTGTTGTAAACCATAAGAATGAGTGTTTAAACAGTATGCAGGCGTCCCCAAAAGAGACCGTCTGTTAACAGACATCGATCAGTTTAACCCAGTATAACAATTGGAAATCACTGGTATGAACGAGTAATAACTGATACTCATTAGATATAAGGTAGCTGTCATACCTCAGCATCCAATGGATAAGACTATGGCGTTTATAAGTGATGACTGCTGGCTTCGATGCTTAAGGGCAGCACTATCACTCACTAGGTTGCATTTGCATCCTCCTGACGAGTTCTATATAAAAAGAAACTAGCGTCCTGAATCGCAGTGTTAGCAACCATCAAGTAAATTATATCTTCTCCCTTCTTCTGTATCCATAAATTCATTTGGTCAAATGAAAATGGAGAAGGTTATAGTTAAGAAAGCTACGCTATATAGCTAGACTTCACAATGCTAATTAGAGCCTTTTATAAATTGGCTCATGCTACGACAGAGGTTCTTGGCTCAATAGAACCAAGCTGACTTATATATACTTTGTATTGGTAAGAAATATTCAAAATGGATACACTGATTAAAGTGATCACTAAAAACATCTTAATTGTATCACCTTCTTGATCGTGGCTGACAGTCTAACACCAGAGATGCTCACTTCGTCCTAGTGACACTCACTAACCAGATGTGCCTAACTTTCACCGTGACTCAAACCTGAGGACTCATCGCTCGTTTACTCAGTCATGTTACTCGCTTCCTCAACGATGTGAATAGTTTGATGTCATGTTGTAGCGTCACATATTTCCCAAAAATCAATAGCCTAGGGTTTGACGAGATCGAACATTGATGCTGACCTTGATAGTTTAACTGGACTCGCTAAGCTAAAGGCACCCGGTCAAGCATCCTCGCCATTTGACACGCTGTCGTATTACGTTGCATTGCTCGTAATCCACTCTCTAGCCAGTTAGTTGGAACTCATCGGTATTTTGGTACAACCACCCAAATATACTATTCCATCCGTCTACGCTATTGTGTTCTCCCTTGGTCTCGTATTCGTGGGTATACAACAAGTTCGAATGATTAGTGATTCGCCTGTGTATCTGTTAAGTTCACACCAGGACAATTCTTAACTTGTTTTTCAGTTTTTCGTATGTACATCTGAATGTTCTTTATAGCATATAAATAGACTAGTCATTCATAGGAACCTGTGCTTATCAAGTGTAAAGTTGAAAGGGAAACTCTACGTTCAGATCTATTGATAAGTAAGATCTGTCCATCAAAAAATATCATTGAACTTTTTCTAATATTAGGGAGTAAGAAATTTTCAATAGAAAGCCTTATACGCATGTTTTGTTATTGGGATCAGTCATCAGTAAAATGAGCCTATGAGGTTTTGATTGGATCTAACAGAGAAAAACATCTTGTCTTCTTGTTTGAGCGCATTTCTAATTCCTGAATATGGAATATTTACGGTGCAGTGAGATCTGAACCGAGATCTTAGGATATTATTATCGTAATCCATTTAAAACTACAAATTCATTTCAATACTGAGTTAAGGTGTTGTGCATGAAATTAATCACCAGGTGCTAAGTCATAGCCATTCATGCAGTCATTTAGGTAATCACTGTACTCATCACTACTATATACCCCTAATTTTGCACAGCTTTTGCCTGTTGTTTTGTCCATGACCTCAAAATAGCCTACATGGCTGTTTTCACACTGTTACTAATTTTTCTTCTCTCTGCTGTCAAGCAAGGCTCAACTCTCATTAGTTGTTAACTATTTTTACCCGTATGTGGATTTAGTACTGTCAAGGTCATTTGGAGATGTATATATATATATTCAGCATTGTGAGAGGAATGCCAATGGGTAATTTCGTCCTTCAGTTGACCAATGAAAATAAGTGTCGGAAATATGGCCTAGTAGCTTTATTTTCTGAAGAAAAGCTATATGTGAGTGATGTGTTTTTTGTCGACTAAGGTGGTTTTCCTTACAGTTGGAGGTTGGTGTTTGTCTTTTAATATTCATGCCTCAGTGAAGTATCAGGTTTGAGGGTGAACAGTGACTATTTGTTTTTATCCAGTCTAGATATCTCATTTCGTTGCCAGTGGTTTCGAATTTCGTCGGTCACTGCATATATATAATTCCCCTTTCAATATGTATGTATGAGTGTCCCGAATTAAAGAATCATAAACCAATGATTTTAATGGATATATGATTACCTGACAAGAATAAATCCATGGAATTCAAATGTACTGATTATAAACTAATTTGCATAAGGAAACTGATGTTCCTTGAGTAGTATGAACTCGTTTCACTTAATGGCGGGTGAAATAAGAAACTGTTGAAGTCATGAGTAATCAGCATAGGAAGTGGTCACGAGTGGATGACTTATGTATCTTTCAAGTCCATAGTGATGCTTAGCGCTCATCGAAGTCTATCCGACATGTTTTACAGGGTATTTGGTTTCGCATTTGCACCTAATATAGTATCATCCTGTGGTAGGAATTGCCTTTTAGTAACTTTAATTATCATGAAAAGTCATCTGAAATACCTTTGTCAAGACTTTCCAAGTTCTTATGTAAAGCTTGAGATAACAATATAGTGCAAGACTTTCATCATAAGATCATCATTATACTTAACAGTGTAATCTTATCAGTGTGACTATCTGAGATTGCCATGGTCTCCAAGTTACTGCCTTGGTTTTCCAAAAACTGAACTACGAGGTCCATTTCTGCTGGTTCGAATCCTGCTGAAATTGAGATTTTCGCTTCCCCTGCATTCTTCAGTACAAGAAGAAAAATTCAGTGAAAGTAGGATTTAACGAATTTATAATTTCCGGTACAACTGCTCACCTGAATACTTGGTTACATATATACATTGACGTAATATAGGGTGAGAGATACACATACGCATTTACATCTGGGACACTGAGTAAGGCTTGACAATCTGAAGATTTTCGGAACACTGACATGTGAAGAGGTTGGGAGTGGTGTGGCCCATAGGTTTAGGGAGTTGACTTTCCCTCATTGTGTAGCACGTCCCAACACCAATCCATCTATTGAGGTTTCGGCAGCGGGGTAGTATCACTAGCTCTCCGATGCAGAAAGCGTTGTTCATTGTCTGTATATACAAGATTGTCGACAAGTGATTAAGGAGTGAATACGAGTAATAGATCTACTAATAAGATGGACAAAGTAACTTAGTTGTAGGTAATCGTTAGGAAACTCTGTTTGAACTAGGTTTGTCCTAGTTGGTACTCATCAACAGGACATATATACAACCTCGAGATTCGAACCCTTATCATTCAGTGTTGGGGTCAGCGACATTACCACTGAGCTACTCGAACCTCAACTGCCCTCTTGTAAGACTGGATTACAAACATTGGTTGGTCACTAGAGAGCAACTAAACTCATGTTGCTGACCGACTTCCACTGATCACTTTGCAAAGTGGCCACAAAGCGAAGAGGCTCAACATCACGAGGTCGTAAACACGCCTTACTGACAAATGGCAAAAAACACGAAACCTAAAGAGGTCAGAGTTTCTTTATGATTGCCTCCAACCAACTCACATCTATCAAAGTGCACTGTAAGGGCGAGCGTCATAGCTCGGTGGTCACAATCCAAATTGATCGACAGAATTCGGTAAGCAGTCAGGACTAGACATAGTGAGATTGGTTGCTCTCCTATAACTAATCTATGTATTCCATTTCCTCTTCAATACAGTTAATTACTCAGTAGAGTTAATATTATGCCTAAAATCTAGGTGGTAAATGCTCAACTACATGACTAGACAGTCATCTCTTCATTACGACCTACGTATTTACCTCTATAAACACATTCGAATTAGTGAATGCAGTTAGAAAATGTTCTAGTTTTCCACAACTGTTCGAGTACTCGAATCGTAGGGGTCAAGTAACATCAGTTACTCAGCAAATTAAGTTCTTCTTATATGGAGGCTTTATTTGGTTATATCGCAAAAATCATTCAGTTTGCAGATTTTATTCGTCATCCCAGTTTTGTTTGCATGTATGTATATATGTTACCATGTAATGCATACTAGATACAATCAGGCATGTAGAGTACTCATCAGCTGGAGATTTCTACGGTAGTTTATGAATTTGTTAGGTTCTGCTCTCTTCACATTTGTTACTAGTTTTTAATGTATATATTATTATTATTATATTATTTGTACCCTGGGTTCCTAGTGGAAAATACGGCTTCACTAGCACGACTCCATTCCACTCTCTTCTCTCCAATCTTTTCAACCTGGCTCTACAACAACCCACAACCTCTCATTTCTTCCTCACACAATATCCTTCATATCACCTTCACCTCCGACACCCAACTCAGTCTCTTCCCATCAGGGTTCCACTCCACGGACTGGCCTGGCCTGGTGCATCATGTCTCCAACACGTCTTCTCAATGCATGCCCAATCCATCTCCACTTCCCTACACTGCATATTTATTGGGTAATAGGCTCTTGCTTAGTTGGTTCGTTGTCAGCCAACCAGAGTTCCTTGTTGCTTATTCTTATTATTCTGGACATCTGATCCTCAGTATCAAGTGTAGGCAGCTGTTGATGAATCTTTGTAGTTTGTTGGAGATGCTTTTCGTGACACACCAGGTCTCTCAACCATCACATAGAACCACTGACTCACTTCACTGAATTGGTGTTGAAAATCCAGATCTTGTTCAAGCTTTATGCTGAGTGCAGTGCAGTGCAGTGCAGAAGATCTCCACACTAGTTTCCGATTGATGAACGCCTGTCTTGCTGTCTTTCCGATCCTGGTTGGCTTAGACGTCCTCATGTGTTCCTGTGTCGTCGTCTGTAGTTGAAAGGATGCTGCCTACCTAGATAGGTGAAACAGGCTACTTCCTTTAAGTTTCTCCCGTTCATGGTGATTGGATTTTGTTGTTGTTGTTGTTGGTGGTGGTGGTGGAGGTGATGGTGTTGGTGTTGGTTGGATATCATCATCACCTCTACCTCTGTCTTCTCTACGTTCAGTTGGAACAAGTCCCGTTTTCACTGCATTGCACTGTCCTGTCCTGCCCTGCCCTGCCCCGTCTCTTCTGTCAACTTGTTACATTTTGCCTATAGATCTTCGAGTTTGTGTGACATGACATTAGACACAAGTCATCATCGTCGGCGATATCGAAATCTTCTAGTATCTTTCCCTCGGTTTCAGTGTATGCCCATGTTCTTGCTCCTCACAGTTGTCTGCTGGATGATCCAGTCGACCACAATCAGGAATATCATGGATGATAGTAGACTATTATATAGGGAAAGAAATATTTTCTGTTTAGTAGATGACTGGGGTTTCTTATTAACACCCAGTAACCGGAACATTCATAGCCTCCTATTAATAAAGATTTTCACTGATAAGTTCACGTTTCAGTAACTCAAATAAAAATTCTACTAAAGTTGATTACCTACGCAATATACTGAAGGGAACAACAGAAATGAAAACTATCTAGAATATTTTGAGTATCAGTGTTTCATTCTCCGTTTTTCTTTTGTTTTCTTAGTCATCTATTTGTCAAGAAGCTATAGAATGTGTATCCAATATAACTTGTCATGATGGAAGTGATGAATCAATTTTAAACGTTAACAATGAAAATATTCAATCAAAATGGAGTTTAATCTCTCCAATTAATGTAATCGATGCAATACACCAATTCACTGAGGATATGCATCGACATGAACTTCAAGATGGAGTAAAATCAATTGGACAACCTATTCAATCAGAGGATACAGAAGAAAACTTTTTATTATCTAAGCAAAAGATATCTGCATTGAATACATGTGATTGTAAAAAAGAATCAAGTCATTTCAATGAAACTGATACAGATATTCGTGATGATTCATATGATTCAGAATACTGGAAGAAATATGAGTAAGACAGTTAGTTTTAAGTAGGGAAAATAATATTCATTATCATTTATTTTAAAGGATAGTTGTCGAAGAAGGTAAGTCAGTCGATGAGATTATGAACTTTCATCGTCAGAGGTGGTTTGGACATTTGCTGTGCATGCTAAACCATTATCTACCTAGACGTGTCATGCTAGACGGAGTTGGACTAGGTTGGTTCAAAGTGGCCAGACTGAGACTTGAAACCAGTTGATGAAGTCTCTTACTGTTGATTTGAGTCGTGCTGGGAGATGTAGACTGCCTGGTTAGGATGCCTAAGACGAAAGGAATGAGTGATTTAGGATGCTTGGTGACGTGGCTGAAAACTGGTCACAGTGACGCAGATCTGTTCACTTCTTGACACCTACGAAAGCTTGAATATTTGCACTAACCTTTATCCTCAGATTGTTGATTCTCTTCCACAACCTTGTCTACTATGATCCCAGTCTTTTTCTATCCATGTATTTTTTGTATGCTACTGTGAAGTGTGACAACTTGGAGTGATTCACTTGTGTTCAAGGTTCTAAATTCTTTTTGTCGATCTCTGTGTGCTCTAAAACAATTTTTCCCACTTAGTTTCAGCTGTTGACCATGGAGAGGTCTTTTCAATTGACGAGTGAGGTGTATGTCATATTGGAATATGCTATTCATTTCACATATAGGTCACTCTATCTAGTTCACGCATGTTTGACCCAGTCACTATCGTGGTAAGTAGTTAGTTAGCATGATATAAGCTGACACACAGCAAAGAAACTTAGCTAAATCGAAAGTGATTAAGCGTAGTCACACAAAGGATTCTAAAAAAAGCTCAATTATAAGTATACATTCAGTTACACACAAATATTCCTACTACTTCTTAGCTAGACTACAGATCCCTATATCTAGTAGAAAGGTTATTCTACAGGGGGGGGGGGGGTGTATCTAAACGTTAGGGACAAGCTACCTTTTCAGGCCACTTCAATGCTTGTTTACATGTTTGCTTACTCATATCAAGCTAGTTATATAGACCGCACGCACACACACACACACACAGTGTACTCTTTCCAAAAGCATTTTCGAGTATTATCCCACATGGCTATCGATTAATAATTAGTCTGACTCTTTAGCATTTGATGAAGTGTGAGCATACATTTCCACCATACGTCTCTTCTTTGAGTTGCGGCAGAGTGGCTCAATGATAGGGTGATGGCCTCGGAACCTTCAGGTCCTGGGTTCGATCCCGGAGAGGGGGACGTGGGTGCTCACTGCTGAGGAGTTGAATAATAGGGCGAAACAGCTGTCCAGTGCTCTCAGGTTTCCATCGTTTCTCCAACTGATATCAGTCTATGATGAATACCAACATGAAATCATCTAAAAAGGTAAGTGGGATAGATTGACAAGTGTGTATCGTTGAAACGTGTAGACAATGGAGTCACTGGCAAGTGACCACCACCCTTGATCTCATTATGAAGATGAGGTAGATTCAGTTGATTCTCTCAACTTGTTCCTTTATTTATCTTTGTTAAATCTACCGATGATGTTTACATTGTCAGATTCTTAAATCCTTCTTTTTACTAGTATAGTATGACAGAAGTTTTTCTCTCTAGAAACTAGTCACTTTATTCTAGTCTTGATTCATACTGCAGTGAAATGAAACTTGAATCAAAAATCAAAATTTATGGCTCCATACGACCAAGTGAATACTTATTTGACCATTTTACTATTCCTTATTGAGTTGAATAGTGCTAACCTGTAAGAAATTAGAAATTACTTTTCCTGTATAATGCCATGCTTTACTCTTTTTTTCTACAAGAAATTCGAAGCCAAAACGTTTAAATGATTCTTAAGCAAATAAACTGAACGCTCAAGTCACGGATGAAGTTTAAAATACAGGATTTGTCTGGAGTTCGGTACTGTAGTAATAAACGATCATGAGTGATAAATTACAAACCTCGAGTAATGACGTGTCTGTAGTCTTATCGCCATTGGAAGCATCTTATAGGAAGTGTATCAATAATATAAACTTGTCATTCTGACTATCTGAGATGGCCGTGGTTTCGCAGACTAGTATATATCGCGTTATGATTGAAATTTTGGACCGCGACCGGATTCGAACTAGACACCACTAGGTTTCCGGCCCGATGCCCTACGAAATAAGCTACGACATCGGATTGCTGACCAAATTTCTTTTTACTTCACTTCAATCACAAGGTGGAGTTTCGCTTGACTACCAAGTGAATTCATGACGTGTTACTACAACTTGATCGTATTCACACAGCAGTCGAACCTTGCAGCTCACTTGCTAGAGCACTGGGCCGGGAACGCGGTGGTCGCTGCTTCGAATCCGGCCACGGTCGGGATTTTCACTTCACCTTCAATCATCACCCAGCATAAAAAAAGCTGTGTCCACAGAGAACCAGAAGTGAATAAGAAACTCGCGCGGATTTCCATGTAGAAACATCAGGGAACATCTGAAGGGAGCTCGACATAATCAAAAACTGTATAAGATACTTATATCTAAGGATGTTAAAATGATGAACAAACAAAGCAGTGGATGAAATAACATTGTAGGAGGACGTGATTTATACTACTAACTATTAATAAGTAGCACGATGTTTTGTGCATAAAAAAGAAGAAGCGTAAACTAGAAACCGAAAGAATATCCGTACAAACAGGAAGGAAATACGTAGATTATGATTAATGTTGTGTTTCAACATTCGTTTCATCATCAGGGGCTGACTTCATGAAGAGATGTCTTAAATTCAAATACTACACGAATGTTTGGGTATTGTTTTGTTGAAGTTGACAGTCGTTCAATTGCGTGCTGGGAGAAGAGATTTTTCTCACACTTTGACATCTCTGATCTCGTCAGATAATTCAGAAGGATAGGTTTTTCTTCATTCTTTTTAGACTAAGTTAAAACTCCTACTCATGATTACAGACAGTTAGGTAGACTATCAGTTCCTGAGATTGTTTAACCCTACTTTTGAGAGATGGTAAAGATATGTAGATGAGAACAAGACATATAAGCGAACAATATTGTTTCCAGTTAGATCCTCTTCAGGCTTTACTCTAATACAAATAGCTTAATATATACATATACAATTAAACCAATCATGTAGATTTGTCGGTTGATGTGATAAATGTTTCATATAACGATGGGGATAATAATACAAATAATAATAATAATTAATAATAATAATAATAATAATAATAATAATAATAATAATAATAATAATAATAATAGTAATGAAATTGATAAAAGTGATAACGTTGACTAAAGGACATGCAATGCAGATTATAACGATGATAAGAACCTAGGAAGCAGCATGAAAATGTAGACACTTCAATGATCAAAATAGGTCAAAAGCTTGTGAAAATAAAAGTTACGTAATAGTGAAGGGTGAGGTAAGTGGATAAACAAAGCCTAGACAAATACAGCAAGTGTACGACATGGGTGAAGAATCAGAAAAGCGGTAGCAGAGAATAATAATAATGAAAACTGAGTGATAAAGTTATTAGCTAAGTAGTCACTGGCCAAGGGATGTACAAACTTCTTTTGAATACAAAGGCTAGGATTATTAGCTCGAATTCCCACAGCTTCTGCTATGTGTAAAAGACGAGTTTGAATACCTTTTGAAAGATGAGATGGTATGCGATGTATAATCGTAAAAGCATTTTCCTTATCTACCAAGTGACCACTATCAACGAGGTGAGAGAAAACCGAACTTCTGATGAATTTTATCTGTCCCTTTCCCAACCATGAATGTAGATACTCATCAACTGTGTAGAAATCGGCAAATCTTGACAGTTTCTTTATACCTATCAAACAAGTAGTATGTGAAATCCACTTCACTTGCAAGTTAGACAATGAACAAAGCAAATTAGTTACATTAAGTTGCATAGTAAGAAGAGGAACAGATAATGGTTGAGACATTTCTATCTAAAATCAGTGAAGGTAAGTTTGTATGAAATACAGTTAGGAAGATCATTAGTGATTTAAAAGACAACAATAAACAATTGGCTCTAATTGATACATTGTCATGTAACTATGGGTCGGTTGTTCACGATCTTCCAACCAACTAGCCTATACATTTCAATATATTGGTTGAACTTGAAAAAAAACTACGTTTCCTTGCTTGGTCTTACACTGAAGGGTATTTCATAAGTACGGAGAACTGGTGGTTAGCTTCTGTATTCATGGGGATTGCGTATGACAACTTCTACAATCCTCTAGATTTTGTGAATATATATGAATTGAAATAATACTTTTACTATAACATAGTCATTTCAATTGAATTTTGAGGGAGTTGTGGAGATTTGGAAATATTTCAAGTTGTTATTCATCGTAGACTGACATCAGTTGGAGGAACAAAGGAAACGTGGAAGCACTGGACAGCTGGTTCGTTTTAGTATGGGACTCCTCAGCAGTGCGCACCCACGACGCTGCCCCCCAGGGATCGAACCGGCAGTCTACGATGAATAACAACTTGAAATATTTCCAAATCTCCACAACTCCCTCAAAATTCAATTGAACTCGTGCTCATTGGTGACTAGCTTCGAGAAGTATTCCCGAAGTTCCAATGAGAAGTCGTGACCGGTGAAGTCAAAGCCTGATGGTCGTGAGGACAGTTACTCAACAATAAAATTGGGTGGAGTTTGCGCTATATCGTGAGCTAAGAGAAGTTGGAAATATGGAGCATGGGATTGTGACCCATTGGCTAGCTCAATGGTAACGCGCTGGCCGCAGAACCTGAAGGTCGCGGGTTCGATCGAAGCTAGTCACCAATGAGCACGAGTTCAATTGAATTTTGAGGGAGTTGTGGAGATTTGGAAATATTTCAAGTTGTTATTCATCGTAGACTGCGGGTTCGATCCCAGGGGGGCGGGGTCGTGGGTGCGCACTGCTCAGGAGTCCCGTACCAGGACGAAACAGCTGTCCAGTGCTCCCAGGTTTCCTTTGTTCCTCCAACTGATGTCAGTCTACGATGAATAACAACTTGAAATAGTCATTTCAGTCCAACTAAGAAGAAGTTCAAGGTGTCCATTATCCTACAGTGTATAGAAAGAACATTACAAAACTTTGTGTAGAAGCTTTCAACAAGGGCTGAAATTGGGTTGGCATTCAAACCTACAAACCTACTGAGAGTAACCTTTTGTCCAGTTATACAAAATAATTTAACCTACCGGAAACTATGAAATGGTTGTGGAGTCACACAAATAGATGAAACATTTCAACCGATCAGAAACAATTAAATTATCAGAGCATAATAACTTAGTCAGACCCCATTAACATCGGTAATCTAGAAGAAAAACTCAGCGATCGTGATTCGTGCACTCTTGCATAATCATACAATAGGTCAGGACTAAGTAACTGTACTAAAGGCCAATATCTTTTCAGGTAGAGTGAGAGAGAGAGAGAGAGAGAGAGAGACTGGTTACAGAGTCTTTGTTCGTCGAATAGCTACTTAACACTAAAAACAAGGAGTATGGATTGATAGAACTATTCAAACTATTCGACGAAAGTTTTTTGATTATCCTGATATGTCTAGGAGAAATCGTTTGGGCTAAAAATTTCATCCAGTGAAAAAAAATACCGCATCACTGTATTATATATCGAATAAATTTAACAGAATATACTACTAAACGACTTGAGTAGTTGGAGACCATTCAGGATCGTCTAGTCATATTCATATTATCTGAACAACTCAGCTCTCCAGATTGAATTCATCCAGATACTCGGCTGATGAGCCTAGCCGAAATCAAGTGAAACTTCGGTTCGATGTTTACTGCAGTTTGGCTGGCGAAGTCAACAGACCAGCCTGATTCGTTTCTAACTACTCAAATTGTTCAGCAGTAGTATATTTCGTTAATTCATATCACTTTGGTGTGTTCTTGGCTGGATCGTTTTCAACGGGAATCCTGTTGACACCATAATGGGGCAGTTGAGAAACTACTCACTTATGGGAAAAGTCAGTGTGGACCGTACGGCATGCAGTTTGTAAGTTGGTCATCCTATAAAATAAACTTACTGAATATGTGACTATGAATGAGGTGAGAAAGAAGCTCTGTAAGTATTTTTAAGGCTTGCTAGTGTCTAGTAATATGCTTTGTTTGTAAGCACTATGGAAGTGAAGTAACTTCTTGGATTTTTTAAGGTTACGCTTGTTCTGACAGCATCTGTGACTGCTTTTGAGAATGTTTCGTTTAATTTAGTGTGATGTATAACTGATTATATATTGGTTACCTTTTAGTTAGACCATTCTATGCATAGTATCATACTCCAAGTTTTGAGTACTAGCAGGAGCAGAAACTGCTCAGCGGTGCCAATGGCTTGCTAATTATTACCATAGCGGGACGAATACTACTTTGGAACAGATCGATCCACACAAACTACCAATTAAATCATCTCAAGTGATAACTAGCCACTTGCTTCGAGATGAGATTTCTCGAAGTTCTAATGAGAAGCCATTACCAGTGAGGTGAACGTAGTTGGGTTTGTGGAGGAATAATCATAGATAAAATTGTATCGAGAATCGCCAGAAGTTGGCGAATGTTAATCACTGTATTCCAACTTAATGGTTGGATACTAACGCGCTCACCACAAGATCTGACATTCCTGGTTTCTACCAACCTCAGAGTCATGGGTGCACACTATCGGAGAGTCCCACTGAAAGACGAAGCAGTTCTCCGTTGGCTTCAGTTTTCTAGGACTCCCCTAACTGATGTGAATTCATGATGAATTCTGCCTTGAAATCAACCATTGTCTATAAACCTCAACTTCAAACGAACATTCGATTTTTTACAGTTTTATTATTACCTATCCAAAAATTTGTATTTTAAAAAGGTGACTTACGCCTAAATCATATTTCAGTGGTTAATGTGTTGGACATCTAGAGAACAAATTTTTATAGAAATAAAGATATAGACCATGAAAGTAAACCTATCAGAAATAGTGTTGTTCGATATTTGTAGTTTGTCGTTACTATACAGTACCGAATTGCTCGACCTCTGTTGGAAGATGGGCTTCTACTTGGATGCCTCGATGCTACCGTATATTCATCACGTAGTATTCATCTTGATGATTTGCGGTGGAATCCAGGACACGTGTTTCATACCCTAGTGGTCTAAAAGATGACACTTTAACGTTCGAAGCAATGGACACTGGGTTCGAATCTAAGGGGGAACAACTTCATTCACCCACTTTCAAGTATATCCAGCTGACGAGTCCCAAGTGGGACAAAACAAGCGTTCTAAATTCCACGGAGAGTTACCAAAATCAATACACTATCGCAAACATCTTTCAACAAATCATATCTGGAAGTTAAAGTTTATTTTAAACTACTTTATACTCCTTATTCGTTATTGTTTTCTTATGCCAAGGGAATACTTTTGTATTTTTCAATTTGTATCCTTATATAGACAGTGTATCATCACTAAAGAATGGGAATCCGTATGGGATAGTTTATATGTGGCTATGGAAAGATACTACAATATCCTAAAATATAGAGCTAAGTTAATACATGACACAGAGGGTCTAAGAAAACAGAATGCTGAACTACGACATCTATTGGAACAGTATATGAATTCAAAGGTGAGTACACCTCATATATATGTATATATCTATGCATATATATATATATATATATATATATATATATATGACAGTACTTTATGATCGTTGTTGGATTACGATGGGATTCGAGCCAGGGACCTATAGATTAGTAGTTTTGATACTCTACTAACTAAACTGTAAAATCTAGTTGAATAAATATTCGATTTAAACAGCATGATTAGAAGACGAAGATTATTTGAAACATGTATGATGTTGTATTACCGCTATACATTTCGAACAATCTCATCAAACATGAACTAGTCGAACTGTTCATATGAAAATTTACATAAAGGGTCAATAAAATTAATACATAATGTAAACATAGGAAGGACAGAGGAAAAAAGGCAAAGGTCTTAAACACGTTAATCTTGGTATGAAAATTAGAATCAATACACCACCAAGGTAGATTCAATGTGAGTACAATTTAGTATGATTACTTGTATTTCATCGTCATTGATTGATACAAATTGATCGATCTCTATTGGTAAATGGGCTCCTGTGCAGATGCCTCTATATTACCTGTGTCCTAATTATAGTAATGATGAAACAACATCACTCACTGGGAGGTAGGTACATCAAGCTGTCAAGTCACAAATAGGACGAAATGCATACACTGGATTCCACGGCTACCCATTATCCATCATTACTGTGAGTACAAATTGTCTTTGTATAAATAAAGCCAGGGATATGAATTTACGGATGACAAGAGCTTCAATACATTTAAGTACTCGACTCTGACCAATTTTATATGGTACTTTAAATGGTGTTTTCATGTCTACTCTGTGGTCAGTTTCTAGTATATGTTTAATGATAGACGAAGATGAATGTTTGTCACCTGTACTTGTGTGTTGATCTGTTGGGGTGATTTGTTTATGAAGTCAGTTAGGCGGATGTTCAGTCATTTTTAGCTACATATCACGACTAGTCCTCCTCTTCCTCCTCATATGTGTGTGAGTGTGTTCACACATACATGTAGATTGATAAACACAGGGGAATGTGGTGTAATCGTTTATGTGTAGTAACATGAACTTTGTCTTCTCTTCAATGATGATCTTGGCTGCATAACGTGTTTTACAGATGCCTGATTTAAGCCTTTTCTTCACAATAAAACTATGTGAGTCACCTTTAAATGGTAATAGGACATAGACATTTTTCTTAGCGATGGAACACCTTGTACTTTTCGATGCAGCGAAACGTCTACACGTGTCGATAAAATTCAATGGGTAGTCATTGTATATGAGTGTTGTCATCAATAAGTTGGTTTCTTTCTCTTTGGTATAATGGGTGTAGATGGGGCTTATCCAGTTGAATAAGCACCTAATCAAACCGCATTTGGACTGGGCACTTAGTATGGAGATTAACATATTGCCCCGTCCATGTAGGTTTCCTATAGATCTTCCCATCCGTAAATTCAAATGCCCTTTGTGTATATATTAATGATGGAAAGGACAAAATGCACATCGTGGGTCCCATTGCTAGCCAATATTCATCATTACCATGTGTAATTAAAACAGGCAATATCGAGGCATCGGTGCAGGAGCCTATATGCCAATGCAGATCGATCAATTCGGTCCAATCAATGGTGATAAAATACAAGTAATTATGCTAATTTGTACTCACATTGAATCTACCTTGGTGGTGTATTGATTCTAATTTTCATACCAAGAGTAACATGATTAAGATTTCGCTTCTATTTCCTCTGTCCTTCCTATGCTTATGATATCCATTAACTTCATTGACCCATTTTGTAAATTTTCATATGAATAGTTCTACAAGTTCATGTGTGATGAGATTGTTGGAAATGTATAGGGCTAATACAACATCATACATGTTTCAGACAAACTTCGTCTTCTCATTACGCTGTTTAAATTTATCAAAGAGACCAGTTTCTTTAAAATATTACATTGACTGATCATTGGAGAGAAGTGAACTTCATGTTGTCTAGTTCTAATTTCCGACTGAATTCTATTGATCATTTTTCAATGTGGTCATCAAGCTAGGAGGCTACCAGTTTCAGGACACTTTGATGGATTTTAGTTGGTTTGAGCCAATTGACAGGTAGTTCAATGACACTGGGTTTTGTGTTTGTTGGAACTTATCAGAGAGGCATACGTGCAGTCTTCAAGGAACTGGTTTTTTGCCTGCAATTTAAATCCATAACACCCAGTGCTGTGATCAGAGACGTTATCAGTGAGCTATTCAAGTGGTGACTAACCTCCCGTAGGACTGAATTATTATACAATGTTTAGTCATTTGACAGTAATCAATTTCATTGTGTCTAATGTCTAGTATTGATTGGCATCTTGACTTCATTTCACTCCTCCAGAAGGCTAAATATAAATTTCAGTGACTTTCAGTGAGTTTGAGATAAGTTTAACAGTTGATTTTCGTAGCTGAGTAGTTAGTTCGATTGCCGAGTTCGTCATCTAGAGATTTTTGGTTTGATTCAGTTTCATTTTACATTCTAGTAGATAAATGACAGTCTATATGATGCAACTGCTTAGTTCTTAGTGTTCAGTGCTGATTGAAATCTGTAGAACAGTTTTTTTTAAAATTTGTCTATTGAGCTTAGTGATTCACAATATCCAACATCAAAGTACAATACACTGTAGTATCGTGTCACTCAGTTTATTGGCTAAGTTCCAAAACTTGATCAATTCTCTTCGATCAGTTCTAAACATCGAGGACCAGACAGCTACAACGATTACTCACTAGTGACGAACTGGCGCGCTCAGTTATTTACTACTGGGTGGCTCAACAGCCAGGTCTTTAACTTAAGCACTGAGTTACTCAGATTCGAGTCATTGGGGAGGGGGCATAACAGTCTACTCATAGTTGATAATACACCTTGTTGATGAGTGCTAAGAAGGAAGAAACCTAGGGGAGAGAGGGTCTACTGTCGACTGAGTCTTAGCATATGACACCTAGATAGCAGTCTACCAGTGAATAGTTTCTCATACGGTTTTATTAACAGTGTATGTTAGTGCATATGAATAACCACTTTAGATTACATTGTGATTTTTTGCACCATGAACCATCATCTTTTCTCTCTCAACAAGATTTATGGATAAGAATATGAAATTTAATAGGAGTTGATGAAGATAAGCATTGAAACTCATATAAATAAACATTGATTCCATGAAACAGATAAAAATGCAACATAGAAACTTAGCAGATAGTTTTGTAAAGTATACTTTCTGTCATGAAATAACGAGTATTCAGGCAATGCCAAGGCATCTAGATAAGAGCCCATCTGCTCGTAGAGGTCAATCATTTCAGTCCAGCATAACAACAAGAAATCATAAGTATGAATGAATAACGTCGGATACCCGTATGCCCTCGCATATCTCTGTAGCCCAGGGGACAACATTTTGATGTATAAAGTGATGGGTGCTGGCTTAGAGTCTTGGTGGGAGACATCTAGGTGATCCTTTGCAGATAAGATAAAAAGTACGTGTTGAGTTTCACTGCTAGTCATCAGTGAACAAACTACAAAATCATAATTATTCAAGTTGTTGAACAGTGCAAGTTTCTTGCAAGATGTCATTATGCTGAGGTTTACAGTCTTCTTACAGGACTGTGAAATATACTTTCTTGAAAATCATTTTAAAATGGGCATTTCACTTACAGAGGTCTCTTTTCATTACTACTGTTATCTTTTTTATTTTGTATTCTGATTTCATTGATATGATATATGAACTGACATATTTGTCTATACATACAATCATTATATAAATACGGAGAGTTTGTTTCATTGAGGTGTCGGATAGTTATATTTCCCTGTCAGTATAACTAAGAATGTGATGAGATCACACTGATAACTATTTCGCTTCATAAACCTTTATCAAGGAACCACTCTCTGCTTTCCACTTCAGACTCTTTCTATAGTAGTGTAATCCGTCATACCACTATACGAAATTCATTCCAAGAAACTTGAAACTAAAACAACCAAGCAATCATTCAATAAATAAACCAAACCCTCGAGTCAGAGGGTGAAGTTTAAGACATAGGATTTGCCTGAAGTAGGTCATAGTATTGTTAAACAATAATGGCTGATAAATTACAAACCTCGAGTTATGAGATATCTGTAGGCTTATCGCTGTCAAAAGCACCTCGCTGGAAGCTAGTCGGTAATACAAGCAGCACAGCTGAGTACACACTAAACCAGAGGTGAATATGAGAAATGTGCGGGCTTCCAAGATGAGGTAAAATAAAGGAGATAAACAAAATGTTCAAGGTTACATGGAACGTCAGGGAACAACTGGAAACAGATCAAAACAATTGTGAACTGGGAAAGATACTCATATGCTGTTGTGTTAAATGATGAACAAAATGTGATAATAATTTAAATGAGCGACCAAAGCTATAGATAGGATAGCATTGTGAAAGAACACGAGTTACGCTACTCATTATTAGTAAGCGACTGAAATCTTTGTGCATGAAAGGGTAGAAGTGTAAACTGGAGATGGAGAGAAACTAGAACGGAGCTAGAATATATATATATATATATATATATATATATATATATATATATAAAGGAGGAATCTTTCAGTAGGGTTTTCAGTGCGGACAAAAGTCAGCCAAAGAACCACAAAGACCATGGTGCGCTGGACAACCACTTCATCCCATTGTGGAACTACTCACCAGTACGCCTCCATTATCTCACCAACAATTAAAAACTGAGTGCCATCAGATTTTATGATGATCACGTTAGCATTGGGATAATAAGATGGAGTGCTTTGACAGAGCACTTTTCTCGTGTCGAACTTGATTTGTCCCACTGGTCACAACTCCTCATTAAAAATTAGGGATATCTCATTTAAAAGCACGCCAATAATGAGAGCTGAGCAGTAATTCAATTTCAAGGTTTGCAGGGGATTTATTTATTTCAACTTGTATGACGAACTGATATCAGCTGAAAACCTGCAAGTACCTGGCAGCTATTTCGTCTTGGCATGGAGCTCCTCAGTAGTGTTCACCCGAGACCTCTCCAGGGGCCAAACCCAACCTCTTCGGGTTCCTCAGCAAGCGTGTTTCCAGTAAGCCAATAGGTGAGGGTCTAATGGTCCACAATTTCCTACTTCTGTCAATTTGGGTTATAACATGACCTTCAATCAATGCCACTGGTGAGTGCCTGTCCTCAAGTCCGACCTGGTTCACCCCACCAGTTACGACTTCTCAGTAGGACTTAGAGGAGTCTACCCTCAGGAACAGGATTGTCACTTGATGGGGGGTAGGATTGGGGGTTGGATTATCACTCAATTTAGAGGTTTCTGTTGGGATCATAGTGACTTTAATGTGGTTTTCATCACAGAATGACACGACTCATACAGCTGTTTAAAAGCTAGGAGAACTGGACACCTGTTTCGCCCTAGTCTTTGTCAACAGTTTACTCGATTCATTTAGCTGAACTCAATAGTTAACCAGATTTTTTTTCAATATATTTATTGGGCTTACTCAATTGTCTACTCCAAACCGGTGTATTGTCGCTCTTTCTTCTTTCTTTTTTGGCTAACATCGCCCATCACTTATTATTAAGCAGGTCAATTATGAGTTGCAAATCCCGCCGTCAAAAACAATGGAAATCGCGTGAAGGTTTCATAGCTGTTGAATGTTCGACACATATATACATATAATGTTTATGCATGATTTTTTTTAAATGAAATGAAAAGAAGAGGTGAAATGAAAAAGTTATAGTTTTCTCAAAAGAAAAGTTATTTTTCGAAAATAAGTCACACCTTTCCGCTTGCATTTGAATGAATTCCTTGCTATCCAAATACTTGTCATTCATCGCGAAATATATTCAAAGTAAAATTGTGTCATTGTGGCAATAAGAAAAGACGGAACACTTTACAGTGACAGTGTTAGTTGGCATAAGTATTAATCCCAAACAAAGATGAAAAACCTGGAAAAGAAGTCTAATTGCACAGATACTGCAAGACACTACTACCATTCACGGTAGTAATACTATGTGCTTGTTGTATATTTCAATTTCGTTGTTTTCTTCATTTTGCCACATACACAACAAAAAACAAGTCAAACAGGCCAACAGTTTGGTTGAAAATCCATTCTCAGAAGCTTTTTCCCACAAAAGATATGCATGCGATATAATATTTATACGCCACAGGTCGAAAGTTCCTATACTGACTGTTGATTGAATGGATAAGCCTCACAGCATTATTATTATCATCATTAGTAGTAGTAGTAGTGGTAGTAGTGTGAGTAGTAGTAGTAGTAGTGTGAGTAGTAGTGTGAGTAGTAGTAGTAGTAGTAGTAGTAGTAGTGATAATGGCAGCAGTTACGGTAATTGTGGTAGCACTAGTAGTGTGGGTAGTAGTAGTAGTAGTAGTAGTAGTAGTAGTAGTAGTAGTAGTAGTAGTAGTAGTAGTAGTAGTAGTAGTAGTAGTAGTAGTAGTAGTAGTAATGATAGCAGCATCCTAAGACGCAAGAGCTTAAAAATGACCGCCTACTATTCTTAGACAATCTTATAGCTCGTCAGCAAGGTGGGTCGATAAAATGATCCATCTATTTGAGATCTACATGAACAGCATAGTATTCAGACTACCATCGTTTCTGTCCCTTTTAGTATAGAGAGGCACTGATCGAGTGCCCGTTCAACAAGATTCAAAACACATGCGCAGACGATACTTTGCGTAAAATCAGCGAAAGTAGTATTTGACAACCACTTTCACTTTGAAACTTAGCAATTATGGTTGAAATGCGGAGCAAGGAAGAACCACTGTTCAGTCAGTTCCAAAGAAAGATGTTTATGCTGCTCTGTCAATGAGCAAGAGGCCTAAACTGATCACAGCTTCTTGAGGATTGAGTCTCTACATGTAATACATTGCACCAAGACCTGCATTATAAATAGGAATTTCAGCTGTAGTTCAAACCAGCCCCCCTCCTGAAAGGCCAATGAAACCGTTTAATTTCAGTTCGGTAGCTATCATAATTTAACCCAACTGCGTATCAAGCAGTGAAAAGACTAGCTGCGAACTTCCTACTATTGGTTTTGCGATATACATATTTTACTAGGAAGAGGATGACAACCCATACTGAAAAGTACATCCAAAACAATGAATTCTTTTCAACTAGCGATCAAATTACTTCACCCAAAAAACTGCTGGAAGCCTGGAGGTAATGAACAACAGTTTCATTCTACCATGGGACCTCTCGGTAGTACGCACCCCATATCCCCCTCTAGGATCGAACTCAGAACCTTCAGATTTCATGGCGAACGTGTCAACCATTCTGCCACTAGGTCGGAGTTCAGCGGTCCACAGTTTCCTACTTCTGTGGGTGCGTGCTGCTTAGAAGTCCCATTCTGGTGCAAAACAGTAGTCCAGTGCCTCCAGGTTCTCAAGGGTTCTCCAAATGATACCGGTCCGTGATGGATCCCACCTCAAAAATAAATTTCCCATACACCTAAAAATAAATTAAATTGCTACTAAGTGTTCGTTGGTGACTTGCTACCAGATCGATTTCGCTTCTTCTTGCGACAACTTATCATCTGTAGATTTCATCAAGTCTGATGTGGTGGCATATCATCGCCAGTCATGCTTCACGGTGATTGCATTATCTCTTGAACTGAAACCAATATAAAAGTGCTGAATACTGTGTTCCTGCTTTTCCACTTAGTGGTAACATGCAATCCGATAGACCTGGTGGTAATTGGCTAAATCCTTATTGGGGTCCTGGGCTCGTACTGTTGATGGGTCGCAAAATAGGGCGAAACAATTGTATATTGTCCTCTAGTCACTAATGCTTCTTCAAGTGGTACCAATGCATGATGAGGACTAGCATGAAACCAGTATTTCGTTTAGAAGAGGGTAGCTCTGTTTATACTGCAAATCACCTTCGGCGGTGGGCTGCCACACTTGTAGGTTATGATTTTAATGTACAGTAGCGACCCAACGATAATGTTTGTCAGGTGGATGTTGGCTCCAGGCCTATTGGTTCTCACCCTTCAGCGGAAGCAGACACTGTGACTGCGGCCGTAGAAGTCATGAATGAAACTCAACAATCCCTAAGAGATGGCTTCTATGGCTTACCAATGGCTTTTGAAGTTACTGATAAAGACGAAACGCTACGGATCGTTGTTCGGTTTCTCAAGGTTAAGCCGCAAACATCTCAGCACGTTAAAGGCAGTAAACAATATTATCACCGCCGTGACTCACAGCCAGTTTTAGAGTCACGTATCACACTCGGCAGCAGGATTCTAGTGCTGAAGTGTCTTTGACAAAAAGTGCCAAACTACTCTTACAATGGCCATCCAGCTGTAACTAGAATCGAGACCTTGTTGCTCTGCTACACATATTGGCCTAACGCTGGTGAAGAAGTCAAAAAGATGTGTCTAAACTGTTCTATTTGCACTTTTATAATAAGAAGTCCATCAAAGCCTCCTTCACAACCACCGCCGATGATTGAGGCTCCATGGTTAAGAATTTATGTTGACTTTGCAGGGCCAATATGAGGTACAGCGTATCTTATTGTTGTTGACGCTCATGGTAAATAGTGCAAAATTTTCCACGTGCTGCAATGCGTGACAGAAGCTACCATCGCCAAATTGTTCAGTTTGTTTAGCTGCTTAGGCGTCCCCGAAATCATGGCTTTTGATATGGGTACACGGTTTGATTCGATAGCATTTTTCGCTCTCTGCCAACAAAATGCAGTCTAGCACTGTCATCCTTCACCTTATCACCCAAGTTTCCAGGTATAGCAATTTGTGGATGCATTTGTACGTGATTTATTGAAGGGGAAGGAGAAGTGTTGCCAGGCAGTATCATGAACAGATTTGTTGTAAACTAACAAAACGGTCTGTACACCAACATACCAACCGGGAATTTTCCCGCAAAATGCCTGATTGGCCTCTGGAAAAGAACGGTTTTTATCTCTGTGCTGCCTGGAGCTGTGTTACAGTGGGGCAAGTGGGCACAATGAAATAGGGAGTTTCGTCCAGGCGGTAGGGTTATGTCTGGAAAATATCAGGGTAGAAACCTGAAAGAAATGGGAGCAACTGGGCATCAAATCGAGAGAGTACTCTTGAGAAGCACTAGTTGATCCGGGAATCAGGGGAAGACACGCAAGCCATATTGAACCAAGAAGTTATAGTGGCAGTGGAACTGATATTTCCCACAGCTTACCACTCGACCTACTACTGGATAACCCGAGGAAGTTGGAAGCCGAAACACGGTTTCTAAGCAGTAGGAATAATTACCACCACTCTTGTGATCTGAAACTACCGCTCCTTTGGACCATTTACATCAGGAGGTGCATCGAGAGGATCTAAGCGAATTCCAGGTCAAACGGATTCCTGTCCTATGTATGCTTCTTTCTTTAAAGTGAAAGGTTTTGGGGAGTAAGACAGTATCCCCTAGCTTCCTCAAAGAGGTCTAGAACTTCCTGAAAAGCCGCCACAGCTAACCATAGCATGCCAACATTCATGATAAACCACGTGACCATGCATGTGCGTTTTAGAGGGGCTAAGTAACCTTTCGGAACACCTTAAGGCACCAGGGAGACTGAAAACCTGCGTAAAACTTTACTTTTTGTACATGATCTATTCAACAGTGAGCTGCAACACGAGGGCAAAACGCACGCACAAGCGGCAAGCAAGTTCAAATGCGCAGAACAGGAAGCCGATCAGAGTGAACATTATGGGCGAGCAAATAACGGGGTGCATGGTACCCAGTGTCTGTCCGTAGCCCAAATGCACCCTCCTCTCTTTAGAAACGTCCTTCGCTACATAAACCTTTTACTGTTTCGCCGATAATTCAACAACAACAACATCCAAAGTAGATATTGAGAGTAGAAGAAACTCGTAGTTTTTGAGTTCTCGCTTCTAGGTCCTGAGGTTCCGTCCATTTAGTTCGGTTGTGCTCCTTTGGTGGTCGCGGAAGTCCCCGCATTTTTCCTGCCTATAGATTTGGAGATAGTGATTGTCTATCTGAGTTTTTTCTTTGCAAATTTTACCCTGGTTTGTTTTGGTGAGGGGGCGGAAACATGGCTGCTGATAAGATCAGTTAGCCATTTGTAATTCCCATTTTCGAAGCGCCTGCATGCAAGCATTAAGCGTTATTTGAAAAGTGCCGGGAGTAGGGCGGATGAGGAGGGAGAAAAAAGAGTGGAAGGTACTTATGGAACGGAGTGATGCTCAAGGCTGAAGCCTAAGGTTGCTGCTCGAGTGTTCACTCACATGTTTATGTATACATACACATGTATTTATATGCATATATATATATATGTATATATATGAAGTTTATATCATCATGACACTCCTATAGTGGCTGGCCAGAGTTACAGCACAACAAAACATGTAGGGGGATCCTGCCTGAAAGAAAATGTTTACGGGATTTTTAGATGTCAAACCACCGTTCAGAATGCCTTTCAGCAGCCGAGACAGACATTAGAGGTATGAATTTATGACGGTAACACCCAATAAAAAAAGCTAAGCTAGCTTCATAAGATCCAGAAACCGTGAAATCCAAAGGGGAAACGGAGGGTATGGTAATAGGAACTGCAGTATCCCCAACCGTAGCAGATATATTTATCGAGACTTGGAAGCATATGGCTTTATGAAAGTTTGGTCCTCCACCTAAGATGTGGTGGCGATACTTGAATGTAATATCTACGGAGTTGAAATCGGGACATTTTCGACAGTAGGTGCAATGCAGTTCACGTATAAGCTAGGAGATTAGTGCAAGGAATCAGTTATGATGTAACGAAAACGTAAAGAGCAGATTTTGGCTTGGGTAGTGTCGTCTACTGGAAGCCAACATGTTCTGAAAGGTGCCTAGGCTTTAGGTCATCCTATCGGGTGTCAGTTAAGGAGGGTTTAGTGTGATGCAGAAATAATAGAGCTAGAAATTCCAACAGCGAGTCGAAAGACTTAAACATGGAATTAAAAAGTAGTGGAAATTTATGAATATAAATTATCCTTCACAATTTACCAAGAAATGCGTGGGAACTCATTGGAAACGGGGTGATGACGGCAATAGAAATGTGAGTAGCCGTGATATCACAAGTATTGTATCGATAATTGAAGAGGGAACATCGGAAACTTTACACGGAATTCGTCACAAGCCTGCATTCATTGTGGTATTCAAGCCTACAAACCCAATCCAGCATAAGCTTTGGGTGCCTAAGAATCCAAATGCCCAATAAATCATTTCGACCCGCCAAGTACCAAATGATAGCTGCTGGGTCAAGTAAGTGGGCTAAAACGGCGAATTAGCGTCAGCTTGATCACCAAAATATTGGAAGTTATCCAAATGTCAAGTGATAGACCCTAGTAAGAACAATAATCTAGAAAAGGACCTTGTCTATCGCTTTGCCCGCATTAACACACAACCACACATTGGGGTGTGATAAAGCTGCTGTACTTAAGTTCAACATGGTTAACTGGAGAGGGGGGTTGATAACCGAGTCTTCGTTCAAAGAATCAACACTCAGTGCACGTAATGGGGGTGACTTAACACCGATTTCGGAGATGTTGAAAATTTTACTGCTACAAAAGGTATGAGGTGGTAGGACTAAAGAAGTAGCACTTTGGAAGCTGTTATTTCTTTGGTATGGTTGTAAGCAATAATTCATCTTCGGAAAGTTGTCAAGGTAAAATTCTTCTGCACCACTGCATGGCGAATAACTTTCTACCATAGCGCCTAAGCTTTGCACCAATACGAAATGATCACGCCTGTTCACCTTGTATTTTCACGTAGATTATGCCTGAGTAGAAATGTATTATCATGCTATGTACCATATTATGTACCATGTGTTATAATATGACTACAAATGTGCTGTATACAATGCCATATTATTACTTATCGTCCTTACAAAAAGGGCGTAGGACCATGGACCGTTTAAGAATATAGCTGTCTTCACTTCTAGCCATCTTCATGTCTGGTTTTGACAGCTTGTGGTTTGCCATGTGACAGTCACCGCCGTGGACAAACTCGGACAGAAGTGTTATTGTGCTACTGTGAAAGACACTTGATACCAGCTTAAAAACAAAAGGAAGCTAAACGTGTAGCTGCACCTAACCAGTTAGGTAGCTCGAGACAGGAATTAGTCCGACGGAGCGGAAGGAATTTGGGAATGACACTGAAGACAGTTTATTGAGATGGGCAAGCTGTGCTGGCGACGTGTCCAGAAATCCGGAAGTTATAAGCAGGTGAGATCTGCGTTGAAGACTTTTGGTCTCAACCGTAAAAAGGTAACAGGATAGTCGGTAATTGAAGGCAAAAAACTTATTCAGGAAGTTACAGAACAAAGAAGCTAATGCCGCGAAAGATGATGACATGGGGAAACTGAAAAAGTGGAAACTGATGGAACCCCAAAATTACCAAAATTACAGATACACTATCTCACTCGTTGTAATTAGCTCTTGATTTTCCCATCGGGCGCGCGGGTACAAGTTGATGTCCACAGGAACCACAACCATCACTTAAGGTAGCTCTTATCCACCGGTTTTACAACACTTGATCAGCACAAAGGAGACTCGAAATGGCTGCCAGCCGTGAGCGAATACGTACTCGTTAGAAAACGACCAAGTGAATACAAATGGCAGCTGACGCCCCAAATTATCACTTCTCTCACATGTGTTTACAACACCTAGATTTTCTTCTGCCTGGGCTTGAAGTGGCACTATCAAGGCTCACCGCATGCCTATCACATGCTCCTGGGAATCTCATTATTCACTTCATGGCCCAGAAAAGGGCTATTGCTAAATATATAACAATCTAAAAGTATTTACAAGTACGCACTTTCTGAGTACCTGAAGGTCAAGTGATTTGAGCTAACCTTTAGCAACAGTGTAGAGCCAGAATGCAAGTGGTTGGGGACCCATGGTGATACGCATGAGAATCAGTCGCAGCCGCCCAGTCATGTTTGCTCTTTAAAGTCTTCAAAGTCTAGAGCAAGCTTGCTGGTCTTTATTTATTTATGTTTTCTCCCAAAAATTTTATCTGCTACACCATCTTTTCCTTTAGCTCGCTTTTCCTCGCACCTTAGTACAAGTTGCAGCTACGTCGCTTAGGGGCGTTGCTGACATACATTTCAAGATCCCTCATTCAGCAGCTGGAGGAAGCATTCAAGACAGCCGGTCCTCCTAGGAAAACGGGCGGTGCCACGCGTTGGGGGTGAAGCTGGAAGGCACTATGCCTATACTTCGGTGAACATTGATCTCTTTACTACCATTATGTGTGTTCAGCCGCCTATTCCTCGCAGAGATCATGTGGCAGTGATCTTTTCTACGATATCTGAGGAGATTCTGCTACCGCAAACACTTGACAGCTTCCTTTGTTATGGTAAGGTTAACTGTGGCACCATGAGAGATTAGCTCGCATGTACGTCACGGCTTATGAGTTTGAAACTTCCAGTGGCAAGTGGGCTATAGGCGCAAGCGAAGGAAATGGTTTGTGGATCGTCCTGTCAAAGCGCGCCTGGCGTAATATGCTGATCATCAAAGAGAACCTAGTGACTAAGGGTTGAAACAGGGAGGGCCTCGCAATCTGAAAGAATGTCCGGTTCAAGTAACGCTCGTTGCGTAAAGAGTCCGACTTCCCGACCGACAAAAACCATGAGTGACGCAATACCGAAGTATACTGCCACACATTTGGACGACAGCTCGGCCTGGTGGAGAGCCGATAGAATAACGCTAAGGAACCTTATGTATGAATATCGCAGAGGAAACATATGAAAGGGCATTAATCTCATCACAGATTCCAACGGAGACGTATTCAGCAGCTTAGAAATAGTTAAGCCCCCAAGCGTGCTTTAGGCCAAGTCTAGCGCTTCCGGTACAAAGTGAACATCGGTGAGAAAAGACTCCAAACGGGTTGATGAGAGAAAGATCTGCACCATGTTTCCATCCCACAGGACAAGAATATTTTCAGGTTTCCAGTTTTCAACTAAGCAACCTTCTTGGCTCTGATGGTAGTCGTGAAGAGCCTTAGGGAAGCACCTGCCACACTTCTTCAGACACTCGCTGGAGCCGAGCTGAGCCTCGAAAGAAAAGAAGTGCTTTGTTCAATCATCCAGTTACGAGGTAGAATATAAGTAAAATTCCTGGCAATTTCCAGCCGATTACCTCTGTCCTGAAAACGGTTGGCAGTACTCACAAGCCTTTCATGCTATTTGGCATGGCTTTTAGAGCAACCAAACCGATGATTTCCTTGGATGGCTAGATGACCGGTTGAGGCTACAGAAAATCGTTCGCTATTACGCTTCTTGACCCGATTGAAGCGTCTGATTGCCCCGCGCCATACGCCAGTTCACAAATCGCAATGGTGGGCATAAACGAAACCCTTCCTTGTTAGTTTAAAGCACGGTAAAGAGGAAAGTCATTCTACAACCATGTCTGAACGTTATCAGCATCTGAGGCACCCCAGTTAACAGTCCTTCGGCCACTTCTGATTCTGCTCCTCACTCAGAAAGATCCCTCCGCCTCATTAAATCAGGAACAAAGCTGGTGGAGGAGTCAGTCCCAAATTACTCAAAAACGGTGGGCTCCTCCTGGAGCTCTGATCATCATAGAACTGTGTTGGCCTCGAGCTTGAAAAATGAGAAGTGACTACGTCAGAGCCCATTCAGTAAGATCAGATACAAATGAACACTAATGCGCCTGTAGTAACCATGCCGTCACCAAATTGTCAATGCTACGAGTGATGGGCCTCAACTTCCCCGACACCCAAACTAGGTCTGACTGCAAATGAATGGCAGCAAAATCGGATGATGTTTTAAATTCACTGAGCAGGCCGCTTGGTGCTTTTACACGGGATACGTTTCCAACAGTTTTTGAAGCATGTCTTCTACCGCATTAAGAAGAACGCAGCGCGATGTCAACCTGTATTAAAATCCCCGAGATACCTAAGTCTATTTCCTTTAAGTCACCACAAGAACGGAGAAGGTTTCATCATGACATGTAGATCACCCACCTTTCCGGCAATACAATACTTACTACTGGCGATTGCCCCAGGGTAGAAGGTTAAAGAGTTAGCATCAAGCTCAGACTAAACTAAATTTTCCAAGAGCCTATATTCTGTATGGTGCCCAACCAATGAATTAATTACTAAACCCATCAGGAGAATCAGGTAGTGACTGGATGGCCGGACAACTATTTCCGTTCACACCGTTTATCAGCTTTGTAAAGAGGACATTACTGACCTTTCACTACTATCTCCTTTGGATGCGTTTCTAACTGTTTTTATGCTAACTCTTCATTCTAACTCCTGACCCCATCAACACTAATCATACCTACTATTACACTCGAGAAACGTTCCATATGACTTTTGGACCTTAGTTTGTCATTTCTCTCTAATCGTCTACTCAGATGAGAGTTGCAGGAAGACTCTTGGCTTCCAAACCGAATCACTCTACACTTTTGATTACAGATCCTCACACGACAATTTCCACATCACAATTTAAAAAAGAAAGTCGAAGAAACTTAGTGTTCCACTGCAGGTGCGTGGCTGATCAACAAGAACCAAGCCCATGGAGTAGATGAAATAAATCAAAAGACATCAGTTGCGTATACTTGGACTGTTGATGTTGGAGGTGAAAGTGTAGTTTATTAGTGCTAGTATATTAGACAAATATTATCATAAACTTTTGCTCTGGCCTTTAGTTGTACAAGTTGTTTTACCGCAGCACATTAGAATAAATAACATCAACGTATTTTGGAACACTGTTTGAAATTTTTTGCGTATTAGCCTGAGTAATGAACGCAACTGCGTTTGAGAATGCAAGTACAGGGAACGTGACGGCTCCAAATCTAGATTTCACCATGGGTTCAGCCATCACTAATATAGCTTTATTCTTTATGGCTATAATTCCCATCTATATTGGTTCTTTCCGATCAACGAAAAGTAAAAAGTCAACCGAAGAGGTAAGTAACATTTTACTAACTTACCAGCCTAATATTTAGAAGTCAGTTGAAGTTGTTTCAGCCCAGGATGCTGCTCTGTTTCCATTCATTGCTAGTGGAGCACTCTTTGGGATTTACATAATATTTAAGGTTTGCTTGCTTGAAAGTTTCTAAAACGTTGTAAAGTATATTCCAATTCAGTACATCAACTACATACTAAAGCTACATTTTTCCTTCGTGGGTACTTGTGCTATGTCTCGTTTATTATCGTGAGTAGTCAGACTGTGATAACATTGTATTCATAGACCAATCTTCCGACCCTTCATGCCAAAGTGTATAAAGAATGTTTGCTACAAACTTGAATTCTCAAGAAGTTTAGAATGCACTGAAGATAGTTCGAAATCAAAATGGAACGTCTTGAGTGAGTCAATAGTTGCTTTTGTTTCTATTTCAGACAACGTGGATTTTTCGATAGAAACCAAAGATTTTTTGGGCACAGGTTTTGCTGTTTTACTTGGACTTTGGTATTTTATCTCTGGGGTAAGTGCACTATAGTAAACCTAACTTAGTAGCATTGGATGGCCAACAATTTTATTGCAGTGACGATTGCGATTTTAGCTATTGAATTTATTAGACTGAATAAATTTGTCAACGGCATTTTACTTCTCTGTGGACTGTTCGTATACGACGTATTTTGGGTTAGTTGAAGTTCTTACTTTTCAAATAGCTTAGGTTTTTTGGACTGGTGTTATGGTGGCTGTTGCAAAGAATTTGGAGGCTCCCATCAAAGGTAAGTGCTTTTATCTGCCGTAGTTGTTGCTACATAATTCCACTAAATGACTCCATGCCTATTTATTACTCCAGCACATTTAATATTAAGTCACTTGTTGTCTGTGTGGGACTCCGCACTACTGCCTAGTAGTCTGAGTTGTCACACCACATGTCAACACATCAAGATACAAGACAACGAAATCAAAGATGGAGAAATAAAAAGGAAAAGTGTAAATAAAGTCGTAGGAAGTTGTAGGGAGTGTGATCTGACGATTTAAATGGACATAATGTGTGAATGCATCACATGCAGTCTATTCTGAACCATATTTAATAGAATCTTCGTTCACAGACTTTGGTTGTCACACGGACCCCACTAGAAAAGTCTGCACTCCCCTACACGGTTGAAACCAACACCGAAAGGCATCTTAAGCTGATGCCAATTTCCAGTCTGGTCCCTTTTAACCTTTTTCCCAGCCTCAACCTACTTCACTCAACATTTCCCAAATGGACTGACAATGACTAAGCATATATAACACATTTCCCAAATATGAGTCGATGAAAGTTCACAACCTCATACACATGTTACTTCTTTTACGTAAGAGCCTACACCTAACGTCTGCATTGCTAAAGTGGTGGTATTACAATATATGATGAGTTCATCTAGAGCGACGGCAATCGGCTAACTGAAGTAACAGTAGAGCATGTAGGAGAAATAATCGGCTATAAGACATTTAAAAAAAGAATACCTCTCGAGAGTAAGCAAACAAATGCGAAATTAGATGTTTCGAACTTTGGTGGTTAAAAAGGAACGCTTCTCTTTCAGTTACATGGGGTCCATAGTGAGTAGTATGGTGCTGATGCTCCAACCCGTTCTACAAATTCTCTACTGGTACTCAAACTAGTTCAGATTCCAGATGACTGAGATGGAAAATACCGAGAATAAATCATACCTATAAGTACACTATGCATGGTCTGCACAGAACCATTATAACTAGGACTGCAGCAAAACATAACTGAGGATCAGTTCAAGCAATGAAAAGAAGCTAGAATGCTTTGGGCTGTTAATAGAAGGTATTGAAAATTAGTAGTCAGTAATATTGGGCTGAATTTATTTTCTCTAGAGAAGCTTTATTCTTGATGCTTTCCTGTTATACCACTTATACTTCTCTATCTTCACTAGGTTAGGTCGGAAGCCGAACAGTACTTTGAACGTCCTACAAAGTACTTAACAAAGCCAGTCCACAAACTTACATGCCTACACTTCGCTTTTTCCTTGACATAAAACTTTATTGATTGCAGTGAGCATAAGTTCACAAAAGCCTTATCAACAAAAAATTCCTCTGCGAAAAACTACTAAATGATTAGAAACTACCGGTGTAAACTGTTAGCTCTTCTAACCATTTGAAAACAACAGCAGGATTTACAGCTGTAAACGACTAACGCGTTGTTATTACAGATCATATAATTGACTTGTATACTGTCACTTAAGCTCTGTTCTATACGTAAAGTTGTTTCGATTGGTTTAAGAGAGAATGAGTGTATCATTCCCAGTCCATGTTCATTCATCTAAATGTAACTACAAAGGTAATTAAATCCAACATCTTTTTTCAGTTACTTTTCCACGTGATTTCCTTACTCATGGATTTTATGGAAAACAGTTGGCCTTACTTGGTCTTGGTGATATAGTTGTCCCAGGAATATTTATTGCTATGCTTCTTCGGTTCGATACAAAGTGAGTTTATAACCGAAAAATTACTGTTTATGTGTCTAATTTCTTCCGCGACAGCTGCAGTATAGTTGTACTTTGTGGTTTTTTATGTTATGGTTAACACGGATTTTTCACAGCAACAAGTGTAACATTATTTATCACTAGCTAATTATTCTGATTGAAATTATCGTTTGTTGTACTTTCACCAGTCAACTGAATGTGATATATATATATATATATATATATATATATATATATATATATATATATATATACCTCAGAATTGTCTGATAAGGCCAAGGTGCATAGTGATGATCTGCTGGTGTACAACCAAATTGAAGACAGCCGCTTGGAACATGTAGAAGCCGTGCTAAGACTCATTGAAAAGTTTGGATTGTAGATCCATAAGACAATGTCAGTAGGCTATGAAGTTCCGATCTGTAGCTGCTACCTCGACGTGGTGGTTGGGTTTGTATATCATAGTGACCCGACGACGTATGCTGTTGGGACACTTATTCCTTCGAGGTCTTACCATACCAGAAGGTGGTTAGATAAATGCAGTTACCATTATAGTGTAAATTGCTACACTGTGATGGGGGTTTGAGAGAAAAGTCGTACTGCTGACTGGACGGAGGTGCGATAAAAGTAAGATGTTGCCCTTGGATGACCAGCAGTGCAACGTTGATGCTGCCTTCCCTATGGAGACGGAGGGAATTAGAAAAGGTCGATATCAAAAATAGCACACCACCATCACCCCGTGGCATGCCGATGCCTGCGACAAAGATTCATATTTGGATTCGGAAGCTAAAAACCCGAATCTCAAACTTTCAAAAAGGCTGTGACTGGCCTCAAGCAGATGTCCGTTGAGCTCTGTGGTCACGCAGTAACTCTTATGTTCCAGGTACCTGAAGGAGACCTATCCTTCCACAGTGTAGATAGCTGTGAAATATTGACTGTCCTAACAACTCTGTCAGAATATAAGCTCCCTCAAATCGGTCTACCTTCCACATCCATACCTTCTAATCTTCCTTTATATCTCCCAGTCAACTGTCCTACATCTTCTGTAGTTTCTCTCAGCTCTGGAGCCATCAACAACGATCTGAGTTCACAGAACAGCACACTTGGTCTCCTGAAACCGTGCTCTAAATCTCCCATTCAAAAATTCTATTTCTGGACCCTCGGTCGAATTGACGGACAACCTTCACCAACCAGAACCTTAGCAACTCAGGCGATGGATGTGTGCTGTGTTTGTTAAGGCAGGCATATGGGACCCAAGTGAAGTTATCTGCTTAACCCCAGCCTTCCAATATGATGAATCTGCAAAATTCACTCTTCGGGTTTATGGGGATTCAGTGACCGTTTTCGCTATCTTGTGGGTGTAGGTATAGCTTTGAACAATAAAGCAAAAAGTCCTCTGCTCGACTAGATCCCAGTTAACAGTCACCTATGAGTTGTTCGACTGAACGGCACACTAAGGACTAAAATGAATAGTGAAACTCACAGTTATCTCTTTGTAATCTCTACTTACGCACCTACTAACTGCAGTTCTGATGAAGTGAAGGATCAGTTCTACCGAGAGCTGTGTAGCCTCTTACTGAAAGTTAAGTGATCAGACGTGATAGTTGTTGCAGGTGATTTCAGTGCACAAGTGAGCACGGTAAGTCAGGCAGAGAGACACTTAGATTGCATTTTCAGATTCCCAACTGAAGGGACAGATAACGGCGACCGCCTGATGCAACTGTTTGTTTTTAGCCAGCACAAACTACAGACATAAAAAGACATTATCTTACGTGGCACCTACTGACTTGAACTCAACGGTGGACATAGACCATATTTCTATCAGTCATCGCTGGAGAGGGGTGATGAGAGACTACCGCTCCTCCTGATGCATGCATTGGCTCGAGCTCATGTATATCTGTCTCCCAACAGGCGCAGGAAAACGTGAGCAATAAGTCCATTCTGAGTGCAGCTCGACAGTAAAAACACTAAGGTTGCTTTCAGTGAGAAACTGGCTCGAAAGTTATCGCAATAGAAGAATATTACTCATCCAGGATAAGGTTGGCGTTATCGCTAATCCACGGTAAAAACGGCGATGAAGACCTTAGCCGACTCTCAGAAGATAGTTGAAAACAGCCAGTGAATATCAGCAGTTTCTTCTGCATTAGTAGATGCACGCGAACGCATGGTCGTAGGCTCCCGATACAATGGTGAACGAATACGACTCAAACATCGATTGACGAAAAGTCTGCGCAATGACCGTAAACAGCAATTAGCAGCGAAGTCTAAAGAGTTGGAAAAAGCAGAGGTAATAGGTAGCAATAGACAATTACTTAAACTTATTAAGGAAATTGGGGCATAAAGGTCATTGGCTAGTGAAACGACTGAAGAGAAGGATGAGTCTGCGATTCAATCGCAGAGAAAGCGACTGGGACGACGTGCGGAGCACTTCGAGGAACGCTTCAACTGGCTTCCAGCTGCTATTTCGTTGATCTTTGTCCAGTCGAAGCCTAAATAAAACATCGAGATAGGACGCTCAACACTGGGAGAAGTCGCGGGAACAAGGTAACCTGGATCGAGAAAGATCGGCAGAGGCAGACGGACTGTGCATGGTGGTGAATAACTGTTGGTCAAATTGACTGAAGTTTTAACTAGTGTATGGGAGTCAGTTACGATCCCCTCTCAATGATCTCAGTCACTGATTATCCCAGTCTTCAAAACAGGTAAGAAGTCCTCTTGTGATAACCATAGATGAATCAACCTGACGAATGTAGTGTCTAAGATTATAGGTTCTATAGTCGTTAGACGTCTCAGTGGAACTCAGGAACAGCAAACCCGAGAAACCAGACAGACTTCAGACATGCCCGTTGGTGTATCAACTAAATATTCACACTCCGCCAGGTTCTCGAACACAGACACTTACAGACGCCTGTCACTAGCTGTAATCCTCAACTGAAAAGTGACTTTCGATTCCGTCGACCGAGAAGTTTCATAGCAGTGTATCTCAATGAAAATGGTGCCGAGTAAGTACATCACTCTTTTCAAGGCTCCTTACTCGAACACCCGTGAGCATGTTAAATCCTATGGTGATTGGCGTAAGATGAGTGGTATTCACCAAGGATACCCACTCTCTGCATTCCCATTCAATTTTGTCATAGACGTCCTTATGGAGATCTCCCTCTTGCCATCTGACTTCAGAGGGATTGTTTTAATCGCAGATTTATCCTTGGTTGATCTAAAATATACAGATTTTATAGTCTTGTTAGGTGGAGATGTAGAATCTTCTCAACAACTTGAGTGGCGTTTTGAGAATGCTTTGGATACGTTTCTCACCACTCAAATGCAAATTGTTGCTCCAGGACTGACCTTCAACGAAGTCGTATCTAACAAAGGAGAGCGAAGCGGTTGAGTACGTTGATTACTTCACTTACCTGGGAAGTCGGAATAGCCCTCTTGGGTCAATGGCTGACAAAATCTCAGGACAGATACAAATGGCTTACGTGGCATTTAGGAACTTAATCCATCCGTTTCGCTGCTATGATATCGGATTACCTATTAAGGATCAGTTGTACTGTGTTGCAATTCGCTTTGTTCTACTATGTAGCTATGAAACGTGGATACTGAAGGTAGGAGATATGAGAAGTCTTCACGTGTTTGACCGCCCTCGTCTTCGTAGTATAGGCCATGTGTCATGGTGTCACCCCGTGTTTAACGCAGAAGTCAGGTGTAGGATATTAAGTGGAAAAGGAAAGTTAGTTGCTAAGGCTGCGAAGCTTCATCGTCTAAGATTGCGGGAACATATGTTGGGCATGCGTAGTCACCGTCTGCCTCGTCGCGCAATGTTGGCTGAAGTAAGTTCAAGATGGACTACAACATGGCATCACTGCATAAAATCTTTGACTGTTAGTTTGAGCCATATATAGAGATGCAGAGTAGCCGGTTAGGGTACACATGACAACAGAAACCGACGGTTGGAGACCGTGCGATATGTTTCAGAATCGATGTTAGTAGAATAGATGTATCCACACATAATCTTCGTCTTGGCCGTCATTCTGATTTCAGCATTTTCGCATTGCTTCTTCCTCTCCTTTACTGCATTCTAATACTTTTGACCGGTTTTTCTTTCTTTCTTCACCTTTCATCTTACTGCTTTTTACTTGTTGTGGTGATATAAAGTGTGGCAACTTGGACCATTGTGCAGTAATGCTTGGTCCTATGTTGCTATTGACTGATGTTTTCCATTGGGGTATATAAAATTGAAAATCGCGGAGTAAATTCGTTACCTAAGAAATGGGAACTGAAGCAGTTCTGATGGAGGGCGGCATTTTATAACCATCGCGTTAGAGATTTCAGTGACTTAGTAGCACCCCTCCATAAGTTGTTGAGTACACTGGAATTCACAGAAACACAAAAAACATTTGACTACACTAAGGAACTCTCAGACGATCAGGAACCAACTTCCAGACTATTACCGGGAAGACTTTCATGGTCTATACTGATTCCAGTGGTTGCGGAATAGGTGCATTTCTTATATCTATCTATCAGAGTTGTTTGGCACACCAGCTGTGTTCTGGTACATGCAGAATGGAAGTACTTAACCAGTGAAAAACAATGCGTAGCGATAGTTTTGGTGCTAGACAAATCGGGACCTCATTAATTTGGTGAGTGTTTCTACATTGAAACTAATCACAGGTGCCCACAGGAACTAAAGATAGCCAAAGATTATAGAGGAAAATGATCGTGGCAAACTCTACATCTACAAGTGTATAATTTCATCATTGGTTACGCCTTAGGTAAAGAGAATATTATCTGACTTATTGTCAAGACCAAACGAAGCTGGGCTGCCGGTGTTCGCATACAGAGTAAGTACAGCGAAACCCATCAAGACCTGTTTTCATCAAAGGTCAGATCCCACCTTTAGTACAATAATATGGGCGATGGTAGAGGAAACGTTCGAAACAGCTCCCGTCAAATAGAGATTCAACATTATTACTCATGGAGAGAGAACAGTTACGATTAAATTTCTGCAGGCCTCTGACGTACCGAGATAATGATGAGGTCGAGTGTCAGTGATTCCAGGATGCCTACGTCACTAAATGGCGGATGAACACCGTTGTTGGCATGTACGACTGTTGAAAAAAGTTCATCCAGGTGTGAAAGATGAAGCGGTGAGGTTTGTGCTGGCTCATCTCACAGGCAGACTTAATCGACTTACAATCGTGCACACAAGTACATCGGTCTAAGCTGCCATACACAAGCTGTAGTACACAAAGAAAAGGTGGATAAAAAAAGACTGTTATCAAAGTAGACAAGGTTGTGTGAGAAAACGAACCATCTGAAGATAAAGGTTAGTGCGAATATTCAAGCTTTAGAAGACATCAAGAAGTGAACACATCTGTGCCATTGTGACCTATATCCAACCATTTCACCAAGAGTCAGTCCTCAACCACTGATTCCTTTTGTCTCAGGGATCCGAACCAGGTAGTCTACATCTCCCGGGCTACACGGCTCAGACCAAGAGTCAGAGACTTCATTGAGTTATGCCAGGCCTTGATCTGACTACCCTGAACCTTCTTTCAACCTAATCCAACTTCCTCTAGCATGGTACGTCGAGGTAGGTGGTGGCTCGGCATGCACAGCATATGTCAAAGCCATCTCAGTCCACTAAAGTTTATAACCTCATGAATCGACTTGGCTGTCTCGCCTAGTACCCTTCGCTTGACCTCAACATTGCTTACACGATAATTCCACCGAAGGTGAGCGAAGCTTTGAAGACACCTGTGACCAAAACCCTATACCCACTTAATATCTTTTACTTAGAACGGCCATGTTTCAACCGTATAACAGGACAAGACAGATTTCAGTGCTATTTAGTTGTCCTTTGATAGATATTTGGATATCTCGCTATTTGGCGCCACAGATGATGCGAATTGGCAAATGCCAAACGAGCCTTCTTAATCCCAGCTGGGATTTTGTCTGCAACCAGCCCGTTCAAGCCGATGCAACTCGACAAGTAAATGAAGTGATCGATACATTCCACTACTTCACTCCCTATCTTTAAACTGGGAGTGGTTGCAGATCAGTCGTTGAGCATCATCTTACACTTAGCAGGTGCCAGTGAAATGCATGTCAGATTTCTGCTTAAGGCGTTGGAACGGCCCTGGATTTTGTCAGCGTTTTCACCCGACAGAACAATGTCATCTTCATACTCCAAGTCAACTAGGTGACCTCCAGGGAGTAGGTCAATTCCAGTGAAGTGATACGTACCTAAAGTTATCTCCATTAGTAGATGTATGACGAAGTTACATAGGAACGGTGACAGTGGACATCCTTGGTGAACACCACTAGTTGTCGTCAATTCAGATGACAACTCTCTGTAAGCCTTTACACGGCTGCGTGAGTTTGAGTTGAGAGCTTTGATAAGCTGTTACATACTTGCTGGGTACTCCTTACACAGTCAGACGTTGCCACAATACCTCATGGTCGACAGAGTCAAATGGAAGCTTCTGCGTGCATTTTGTCGGTCTGTCTATCTGTATCACCCACCCACAGAGTTATAATGCAACGAAACGGGCAATCTAATTCAACTAAGTATTTTAGTGTATTGTGTCCTAAACGAGTTTTTTTTAATACTTTAAACTATGTTTAAAACGTAGTATTATTTCGTGTGATTTCTGTTTCGGAATATGAATATAGTAACTAGTATCCCAGCTAAGTTAGTGTATTGTCAAACTATCGTTACATTTTCACCAGTCAGGTGGTTTGTTGGCAAGTTATCAAATGTAAAATAGTTCTTATTCTTAACTGACATATACTAACTAACCATTCTCAATTAGAATATGCATTGCCTTTATAAGCTGCTTGTAATGGTTTGAAACTTTAAGTCCTACAGCACAACCTCTCAGCATTGTTACAATTCATCCAAGTTTGTTAAATATTTTCACACTGTAAGTCATCCACTCATCAGAATACCAAAGAACGCTATAGAAAATGTTGCACATAGGATTGTTGAAATCGACCACCACCCACACTTTGTCCGGAAATACCACCTGCAGCCGCAGAACTACAAGTGAACACAAATCCCCCAACAAAAGTGGAAGTCCTGAACGCCATAAAGCCACTGAAATGCGGAGAAGCAGCAGGACTAGATGGAATCCCGCCAGAAGCACTGAGAACAGACGCAGAGACAACAGTGAATATGCTCACACCACTATTGCAGAAGGTGCGGAAGGGAGGGAAGGTACCTGGCGATTGGAAGAAGGGTTACCTTGTCAAACTCCCGAAGAAGGGAGACCTCAGTGTTTGCAAGAACTGGCGCGGAATCACGCTCCTGTCCACCCCAAGTAAAATATTAAGCCGCATCATCCTGGAGAGATTAAACGATGCACTGGATTCAAAACTACGACCGAAACAGGCCGGCTGGCTGGATTCAGGAAGTACAAATCATGTGCGGGCCAAATTGCAACGCTACGATACGCATCATCATAGAACAGAGTATATAACGGTGGACAACCCTCTACCTCAACTTCATCGACTTTGAGAAGGCGTTTGACAGCGTCGACCGAGAGGTAATTTAGAAACTGCTTCAACACTACAGAATACCGCAAAAGTTTATCAGCCTCATTCGACAACTATATGAAGATGCCACATGCCAAGTAATTCACAATGAGAAGCTCAGTGATGCTTTTGAAGTGAAGACAGGAGTGAAACAAGGTTGCCTACTATCTCCCATGATATTGCTGATTGTGGTGGACTGGATCATGCAGCAAACAGTGGGGAGCGAGAAGAAGGGGATACGCTGGACGGCGGAAAAGATCCTAGAAGATTTGGATTTCGCCGATGACTTGTGTCTAATGTCACACAAACTTGAAGATCTACAGGCGAAAACTAACAAGTTGACAGAAGAGGCAGGGCGGCGGAGACGGGACTTCCTTCAAGTGAACGTAGAGAAGACAGAGGTAGAGGTGATGATGATTTCTAACCAACACCACCACCACCAACAACAACAAAATCCAATCACCATGAACGGGAGAAACTTAAAGGAAGTAGTTTCCTTAACCTATCTAGGCAGCACTGTTTCAACTACAGGCGGCACAAACGAGGATGTGAAGGTCAGAATCGGAAAAGACAGGCGTTCATTAACCTGAAACCAGTGTGGAGATCTTCTGCACTGCACTCAGCATGTGGAACAAGATCCGGATTTTCAACACCAACCTCAAGTCAGTGCTTCTATGTGATGGCTCATAGACTTGGAGCGCTACGAAAGGGATTTCCAACAAACTACAGACATTCATCAACAACTGCCTACACTTGCTTGTTACTGAAGATCAGATGTCCAGAAGGAATAAGCAATAAGGAACTCTGGTCTGCTAAGGAACCAACCAAGAACCCATCGCTCAACAAATATGCATAAGGAAGTGGAGATGGATTGGGCATACACTGAGAAAGCCGACTAGGGACATCATGCACCAGGCCAGGTCCTCAAGTTGAACCCCGATGGGAAGCGACGAGTTGGGCTTGTGAGGTGTGGATGACTTGGAGGAGATCGTTGGAGGAAGAAATGAGTGCTTGTGGGCTGTCGTGGAACCAGGTTCAAAAGATTTCAGAGAACAGAGCGCATTGGAGACGTGCTACTGAAGCCCTATGTTCCATTAGGAACCCAAGGGACAAATAATAATAATAATATTAAGATTGTTGAAGGTGTATGAAGTGAATAAGTCATAAGTTTATCTAAAAACTACCAATGTATGTGTAAAAAGTAGTCATGTTGTGTTATAAATTCTTGCACAGCTTAACCTATTCAGTTATGCATGGATTATATACCCACTTAGAATGGTGCTGTAACACAACCTTCAGAGTGTAAAATGCCTCTTATCATACGTGGTTCTATATCCATGGGAGAGTTTTAAAATATTGTACCTCAGTATGTTTTGAATAAGTTGACGTCGATTTCACATTGTCTCAGTCAAGACAATAATTTCTTGTCTTCGTATTTTTATAGACTTGGGCGCAAGAATAGCTATACTTACTTTTATTGTGGTTACATAGCCTATATTGCTGCTATCCTAATGACTTTTGTCATGATGCACGTATTCAATCATGCTCAGGTGAGTAATTGTTTTTTCACTAAAGTAAAATTAAGTGAGCGTATTTTGATTATTATATCAAGCAATGTGGGGTGGTTTATTTAAGACTATTTCTTAATAAGGAAATCTTATTGAAATGCTCAATAGGCAAATGAAAAAAACTGAGCAAGTTTAATCAATTTTTAACAGTCTTGCAAAGCAACAATGCTTTCTCATTACAGGTATGTACACTATTCGAAAAGAGCTACGGTAGTAATTGTACCTGCAAAACAGTGAACTAAATCACAGATGGAGATTTTGACTGCCAATAACAACCTTGTGTCATTAGTTACTTGGTTTCTGTGCAAGACGATTATTTATCATTGTTTCAATGACTATAAACTTGAAAATGTGTTTATTAACCTTTACGTTTAATTTGTTTATAGTTGTTTATAAATGGAGGGGCGTAAATGTATTGTATCCTGTTTGGTTTCTTGTCCACTCATATGTATGTCTGTTTGAATTTCCGTTCGCTTAGTTCCTGATCAAATTTAGCATTTAGGCACTGGGCTATCGCGATCATCAGGTGCTTAGTGGTAACGTGACTGATATGAATTTGAATCCCATAGGGAACATCAGTTCCTTTGAGGTTGCAAATATGCCTTGCTGATGAGTGCCAAGAAGCTCGAAACCTAGGTTAAGGGGGCTCCCCACCGATTACCTCCAACCAACGTCTTTGGCACTATTCAGCATTTGTGTACCGCTGTTCACTGAACAAATGAAATATAGAAGTACTATCTGTCTCAGTATTAAAGTTTTTCACTTATGTAATTGAATTTAGCTATAACAGTCTTCGCTTTTGACGACTATGTAAATTAAGCTTTTGGTGTTCATTTAATGTAGTTCAGATAATTACGCCAACAAATATGAACTACTAACATGTTGATTTTAGTAATATCTTACCACCAAGAAGTTTTTATAGCGTTTGGAACTTAACATACCAAGGTACGAATCTCTGACTGCTGTCTAAATGCAGAATTCTTCCTCATACAATTGATAACATATATGCATATCTTACAGATGATGTCATCAAGGTTTCGTTACTGGTTGTCTATTGAACAAACTCCTCGTCAGTATTTCTGTTCTTTTCCGTTATTTCGAGTGTTGTCAAAATCAAGAAAATGGAAATGTTTATTGAAACATTGGTTTGATCATTTGAATATTTTGAAAGCATGTAGAAGAGATATATACATTATATTTCCAAGTAACTTTTAAAAGATTACTTGGTAGTTCCTACCAGTGGAATTAACAACGCGTGTTTCGTCTTACTTATGACTCGTCAGCTGCATGTACATGCAGTGGGTGATGGTGTCCTCACTGCAACTTGAGCCTAGTACTCATCGTTTCAAACGCCAAGTCGTTGGATACTAGGCCACCGAGGCACGAAAGCAAACTTGTGCAACAAGTAAAAGTAGTTGTTTACTGGTACTTGTAATCTCCCGTTGGTATGGCGAGTTGAACTGCTCGACCTCCGTTGGCAAATATCCTCCTAGACTGATGCCTCGATACTGCCTGAATATTCATTATGTTGTAGTTCATTTGGTAGTTGCTAGCGGTGGAGCCCAAAGCGCATATTTCGTCCTATCTGAGACTCACCAGCTGGATGTACCTGCTCTCTAGTGAGTGCGATCCAGGATTATCGAAGCCTCCGCATAGGAGCTCATTTAGCAACGGAGGTCAAGCGATTCAACGCAGTATAGCAACAGCAAACTGCAAGTATCGATAAATAAACTTCTGAAGAGGTTTTTATCACGGGGTCATGGTTGCACACTGCTGAGAAGTCTAAAACTAGAACAAACCAGGTGTCCAATGTTCCCAAGATTCTAATGATTTTTCCAATTGACATCAGTCCATGATGTGTACTACATTGAAATTAGTTAATCTCCTAAAATCACCAACTGAATATTTCAAGGAGTTAATATGTATTATGTCTTTTGTATACATAAACTTGTGATATTTACAAGTGTTACTTGTGAATTAACTTGTTGCGAATCAATTGTGTAGATATGAATGTTTGAACCAACTAATTAGTGTACGAAATCTCCACTGTAGAGTCTTTCTGTTTTCTATGAATATTATGCAAGTTGTAGTTAACCCATTGTAGTTTTTATTTGATACATGAAAGATAAGATAACATTGAAGACGTTCAGATGCTACTATACATTATTCGTTTTCTTCTTTGTCCCATTCATCTGTAGGACTTTTATGATAATTATTTTACGTCATATTGATAATTTGCTGATGAAGATATTTACTAAGAAATAATGAGATTAACTTTATATTGGTTTTTATCATTTTGTGTCTTTTATAGTTGTAAGAAAAAGTTGAACATCAAAAATGATTTTAACGTAAGACAATAGAAGCAGTGAAAACAGCATAGGAATGTATCACACACAGGAGTAAATTATTCCTAATATTCCATTTTGAAAAGCATCTAGTTTAAGAAAGTAACATGAAAACCATTTCAACAACTAGATGAGCTTTTTATGAAGAAAAAGATGCGTTGAATATAGTCTACAACATGGATTAGTGTCTGCTTACTCAGTAGTAGTCATTTTACAATGGGAAACTCAGTGATGATTTTGAAGTAAAGACAGGAGTGAAACAAGGTTGCCTACTATCCCCCATAATATTCCTTATTGTGGTGGACTGGATCATGCAGCAAACAATGGGCAGCGAGAGGAGGGGGATACACTGGACTGCGGAAAAGAACCTAGAAGATTTGGATTTCGCCGATGACTTGTGCCTGATGTCACATAAACTTGAAGATCTGTAGGCAAAAACTAACAAGTTGACAGAAGAAGCAGGGCAGCGAAGACGGGACTTCAGGTGAATATAGAGAAGACAGAGGTGATGAAGATACCGCACCATCAACAACAACAAACTCCAATCACCATGAACGGGAGAAACTTAAAGGAAGTAACCTCCTTCACTTATCTAGGAAGCACTGTTTCAACTACAGGCGGGACGGACGAGGATGTCAAAGTGAGAATCGGAAAAGCAAGACAGGCCTTCATTAGCCTGAAACCAGTGTGGAGATCTTCTGCACTGCACTCAGCATGTGGAACAAGATCCGGATTTTCAACACCAACCTCAAGTCAGTGCTTCTATGTGATGGCTCATAGACTTGGAGCGCTACGAAAGGGATTTCCAACAAACTACAGACATTCATCAACAACTGCCTACACTGGTTCGTTACTGAAGATCAGATGTCCAGAAGGAATAAGCAATAAGGAACTCTGGTCTGCTAAGGAACCAACCAAGAACCTATCACGCAACAAATATGCAGAACGAAGTGGAGATGGATTGGGCATACACTGAGAAGGCCGACTGAGAACATCACGCGTCAGGCCCTCGAGTGGAATCCCCATGGGAAGTGATGAGTTGGGTGTCCGAGGTGAGGGTGACATGGAGGAGGTCGTGCGAGGAGGAAATGAGAGTTTGTGGGCTGTCGTGGAACCAGGTTCAAAAGATTTCAGAGAACAGAGGTCACTGGAGACGTGCTACTGAAGCCGTATGTTCCACTAGGAACCCAAGGGACTAATAATAGTAATAATAATAGTCTGATTTTCTTTTCTTTCTTTTCCAAGAGTCTTTCATCAACCTATTTTCCATGCCTGATAAACTTGAATGTGATAGTTTACACTGAAAAACGGTTATTTGCTAAGGTTTGTAGAGCCAAGTAGTATCATTAGCCTTCATGCAATAGATGTGACTCATTGCCCAGTGCATGAATGTGTATATGGTTGTTGAGTGAGTTTCAATGGATTCATCCATCAAGTAGTTAAGTAAACCAGAAGATTGCTAATCTCCTGTACATTAAACTAATTTCAAAACAGAAATTTTATAACAGTCTAGTTTAGGTGATTTCAAGTAATTAATGTACTAGGAGATTTAACAGGTCTATAGATTCATCAATCATAAATTGATGCTGGAAAAAACAAGTGGAATTGAGTACGGGAAAAAACTAATGAATATTAAATGAAGTTAGAATAGAACCATGAATTATGAATATCCGGCAGTATTGATGCGTTCATATAAGAGCTCATCTGCTAACAGAGATGAAGCAATTCGATCCACTATAGCAACGAGACATTAGAAATATAGAACAGCAACCGATACGTGTTGCACAAGAGATGGTTCTCATGTCCCAGTGGATAACATTTTAGCGTTTAAAGTGAATGGGTAGTGAGTTTGAGTCGAAAATAAGACGAAACGTGCGTTATCACTTCTACTACTAGTTATCAAGATGAATAGAATCATGAAAATGTCGAGGCAAATGTATGAAAAAACAACACATGTCCAAATTTGTTGAGTTATTTTTCATATGAATTGTCCGATCTCTACCTTAACTAAAAGTCACAGAAAAATAATAGAGTATATGAACTCCTAGTGCATAAAAGGGTGAGGCTAAAAGTTATCCCCAAGTGTTATCGTCCTCGCTATAGGTTGTACGGTTGTTTGCAAAAATACAAACATTTTCTGTGTTAGTGTTATTGCTTGTATGATACCGTCGTTGATTGGACCGAATTGATCAGTCTCTGTTGGCATATGGGCTCCTGTGCAGATGCCTCGATATTGCCTGTGTTTTAATTATGTATAGTAATAATAGGCAGTGGAATCCAAGATGCGCATTTCGTCCTGTTTGGGACTCGTCAGCTGGATGTATCTGCCTCCCAGTGAGTGATGTTGTTCCCGAGTCCCGGTAGGAACACTGCTAGCCACTGCCCATCATTACTATAATTTTCTGTGTTCTTTATGAATATTTTACCTAACTGCGTAGTTTTTACAATACCGCCTGTCATTGAAACATGTTTTAAACTGTTTATTCATGTGTAAAGTGTTGGCTACACTTGCATTTCTTAAGTACAATTATTCAAGATGAATGATACTCACACATCATAATGAGTAGGTTGAGGCTTCAAATTACACTCCAAAAGGATTTATGATTGCAGTTTTCACTTCAGAATATATGCATACATAACACACACAAAATATTTTTTTCAGACAGAATGCCTATAACACCTGGGGATAACTTTTAGTCGCACCTTGCATAAAATATTCATAATTTTGAATGTGATGGCACAAGCAATTCACGGAGTTAAACATGTAGTCTGCTATAATAGTGTTGTGACCGAGCGGTGGGGTTACGCGCGTGGGTATAATGAATACTGAGACTTAATAGACACCTCAACCGAATACCCTTACGACTGACCTCCCTCAGTACCTTCTGCCTCACTGAGCAACGAAGAAGTCAGAAGACAAAGACGAACTGTGATTGCAAGAACAACGACAACTTTAATTAAGCAAATCCATGACAATATATGTATTTACAAAACTCTCAGAAAGTGAAGCCATAAATGAACCAATCCGATTTCTTGTATGAGGTCGAACTTCTCCAATCAGGTTCTGATGTCAGTGCTTGCATAAATCACGACCTGAACATGATTTGAAAACAACTCCCCTATTGGCTACCTTCTTGTCGCTACGTATCAGATAGACATTCAGATATTTTATATAAGTATCTAAGATGGTGAAGTTTTGTGTCGAGTAAAGTACTCGAAATTTTTTCTTCTTAATGATACAATAGACCTACTCCGTTTATAGTATCTTGAGTAAATAAATCTTTATTTCCCTATCAGTTCAGTTCTATATTACAATAAGAATGGTAAATGTATATTATCCTCTGTTAATTGAAATTGTTTTTCTATTTGTATGCAACTGATTTCTATGATTTTGTCTTGTATCTAGCCAGCATTACTTTATCTGGTACCGGCTTGTTTAGGTGGTCCATTGCTTACAGCTTTGGTGAAAAATGATATTAGTGCAATGTTCAAGTAAGTCTTTATTTTCATTTATGAAAGTATGTTATGGTTACCTCGTGTACGTCGACATAATTGCAAGCAGCAAAACATAACCCACTTTCAATGACCATTTTTTTTACAACTGCTTACCAGTTGGAAGTTATTAAAAGTTTTAGTATTCAGTTCTCTTAACCTAGTCAATAAAGGCTGTAGATATCAATTAATAAGAAAAATGATAAACGATAGAAAGGTTAAGCAGAGGAACAGCCAACAGTCAAAGGAAACAACCAATCACAGACCACTTCATCATGACAAGCTACTAAATCCCTCATTGATGAAGAGATATTGACAACTCACTTAATATTGAGCTAATGATATCGTCCAGAAAGACGATGAAAGCTTCACGATTAAACAACCCAGGTCAGAGAGAATATACAACTTACTTTTAAAGGAAATCTTATAAAATGAATGGGTATTAGTAGTCTTTGAAAACATAAGAATGTTGCTACACAAAGCATCTTTAGTATAAAATATCTCGTTAACTATTCACCTGAACGTTTATACAATTTGAAAATAGCGGAGAGAATTCATTCACTGAAATCAATGTGATCCATAACATAAATGAATATGACTACTACTGACCTTGACTAATACAATTGATGATTATGTCCTCTTATATACTACAAATGTTCTTATCATCACATTTGTTGCTAAGGTCACTAACTACTAATTAGTCGGATTTAAAGAAAATCAATAGACTAGAATGGTTATAATAAAAGGGTATCACTTTTAGACTTTATCATTTTCACTGTGAATCAATTTTACACAACCCCCCAATGTATTGTATGTAGACGAATTTCTATCCTATTTAAATATATCCTACCTTGGATATACATGAGACTGTCAGTAGTACTGAGAAATTGTTAATATCTATGCGACTTGTTTATATATATATATATATATATATATATATAGTTTCATCACTGGAAATACTTTTCTCGATATCATTAGGATTGTATGAGAACAACACAGGTATATATTATAAGGGGTATATTTATTAGTTTCACTATAATAACCAAGTCTATACACGATATTACTATTTGTTGATATGCTTATGGTTTTCTGTTGTTATACTGGATCGAATTGTTCTACGTGGATGCTTTGATATTGCCTGAATATATTTATTATGATAATTTACTTGGGTACGAGGTTCAATTCTCAATATGGGAACAACATCATTCACTGGAGTGCAGATACATCTAGATGACAAGTCGTGAATAGGATGAAACGCACATCCTGGATTCCTTTGCCTAGCTACAACCAACTAAATTATCTACTCACCATTTTTCAAGAAAACTTGAATAGTATAATTTTGAGATGTAGGCTAACATCAGCTATTTTTTGAGGGAGTTGTGGAGATTTGGAATTATTTCAAGTTGTTATTCATCGTAGATTGGCATCAATTGAAGGAACAAAGGAAACCTGGGAGCACTGGACAGCTGTTTCGTCCTAGTATGGGACTCCTCAGCAGTGCGCACCCACGACCCCATCAGCTATTATTAGAAAAACCTATTATATGCAGCTAATCTTATTATTGTGCAAAAAAACAAGATACATTCTTCACCATAAATCTAAACACTTCATGAATAACTGCATCATATCCCACCGTGTTTACCAGTTTACATATGTGTATGGTCATGCATACATAGGGAGAAGTAATTCAGCCAATCCAGTTGAAGTTAAGAGAACATGAACCCAAATAGATTTAAAAACATATGGGGTATGAAACTTTGATAAACATGAGTTGGGAGATGACACTCTTCATCTATCCCTAAACATATTATAGAAATGGGTCAAAAATAATGTTCAAATAGCTTTCAATGTCTTGCATAGAAACTATGAGGGATGCATACTGAGGTTTGTGGAAACGATAACCATACACAGATTGAAACCACCATTTATGTGTAAAAAAAAGCAATATTTTCTTACACACTACACCTACTTTGTTTTCTTACAAAAATTAGGACCAACTAGGTCACTCTTTGTTTTCATCTTTCCTAATGTTAACCCCATGTTAACTTAATTGTTCTATTTGTCTTCCCATCCTTTGGTTTAATATATATAAATTGACTTGACAAGTAAATGCGTGATCAGATTGTTCAAAGTGTTCTGCATAAATACATCATACACATTGTTCCTATAAACTTCATCTTCTAATTACACTATGTAAATTCATAAAAGGGATTAATTATTACAAAATAATAAGTTGCCAAAATAATTCTGTAATCCTTTTTGTAGGTAGGATAGAATTACGCGTACGGGTTAATCGTGACCCGAATAGCTCAGTGATAAAGTCGCCAATGACAACACTGGGCGTCGCGGGTTCGAATCTCAGGTGAGACATCATCAACATAGGACCAGGCATTACTGCGTAACGGCCCGAGTTCCAACAGCTCGGTGCAGTACATCAAGTGGAAAGGTAGTGAGGTGAAGGATGAAGATAAGAGAATGCAGTCAAAAGAAGAAAGGAAGAATGACAAGATGGTGAGACTCGATATAGCGTCGTTAGGATGAGGATAATGTGTGTATACATCTGCGCCACTGATATCGGTTCTGAGCCATGTCTCCTAGAGTCTCCAACCACTGGTTTCAGGTGAGACATCAGTTCCGTCAAGCTTGCAGATACGCCTTGCTGACGAGTGCCAACAAGCATAAAAACCCTAGGCCAGGCAGACCTTCCTACCGATTGCCTCCAACCAACTAGAGTCTGTAATTCTTTTTGTAGGTAGGATGCAACTACGCGTCTATGATTATTTGTCGACCCCATAATCCTACGATTTTACAGTATCTCTACCTTTCTTCAGTAATAATTACTACCTTGGAGTCATGTAAACCGCATGTTAACTGGCATCTGATACTGTTGATCCAGTGGAGTTTCCATTGCATCCCTGGTAATAATAGTAATTTCCTCTCATAAATTCCTATCTAGTTGAGTGTTACAATCAGCTTCCCAGCATAGGTTTTATATCACTATAAAATTTTAGAAGTACAGATAGACCAGTCAATCATTTTCATCTTTTAAGGCATCAGTTAGAGAAGCATTGGAAACCTTCGAGTAATAAAGAGCTGTTTCGTCCTAGTACGGGACTTCTCAACAGTGCTGTATAGTCCTAATTAGTGAAATGCTTCGAAATAAATCTCCCGAGGTTCTAATAAGAAGCGGTGACCTATAGGGTCAACCAGTCGGAAGTGATGCGGATGCCAACTGAAAACCTTGATGAATAGTTGCACTGTATCGCGAATTGATAGAAGTAGGAAACTGTGGACCACTGAACTCCGACTAAGTAACTGGATGGTTGACGCGTTCACCGTGAAGCTTGTGTCCGATCCCTGCCCAGTGGGGTCGTGGGCGAGGAGTGATGAACAACCCATATTAGGACGAAACAGCTGTCCAGTGCTCCGAGGTTTTCAGTGGCTCCAATTGATGTCAATCCGTGATGAACACTACCTTAAACTTCAAAATAAATTTCATCTTTCTCGTCCCAACCATGCTTATGCTATAATACATAATTGCTAGTTGGCTTAATTCAACCTCCGATTGAATGAAAGTGAGAAATTCAAAAGTCTTTCACTTGATTATAATTTCAATTCGATAACTGAGCCACACTTTCAAATGTATGTTATGCGACTTCAGTCTCGATGATTGTGAGTGATTAGTCGGAGAATAATGAAGAGGATTTTCATCGTTTCAACTTGCTTATTACCCGGGAATTGAGAGATTTTTATCAATCAAATTTCATGCATTTTCTTCGTGCTACTAAGTACTCTTTAGATTCATTGTAAAGGTTAGATTAACCTCTGTAATTTTTACTGAAGCCTAATGGAGGCAAAACAAATTCAAATCTTCACAACTAAGCCTAATTAGTAGTTTCTTCTGATGTTCTTATCAAAATTGGATGAGTGATTACTTCCATACTTCTAGTCATTTTCCTTCGACTGATTCAAGGAAACGGTCTGACTATATAAATGTGAAGCAGTGACCCTTTGGCTACGGCAGTTGACTCTCAACTAAGTGGGTCATGGGTTCGGACCCCGCTCTTACTGAGTTTTGGGCAGCCAGGCAGTATCACCACCCCTCCCCTCCCTCATTGGTTACTGCACGAGGTTGCTGAAGCTTACATCTGATCACCACCATAGTATAGAAACAGTAGTTTATCACTGTTTATTTGTAAACGTTAGCCATTCGTAAAAACGTCACTGAATACTATATGATGTATGGCAACCTTTTATTGTTATCTGTTCACATTTTCTAGTTATGAAGATGAACCAGAATCTGAGAAGACTACTGAACAACAAGACAGTCAAGTTGTAGTTGATCCTAAGAAAACTGAGTAATGTTATCAATATTGAACTTAAGGTAGTGTGACCTGTGAACTATATTCACCTCAATGTATGTGGCAGATATTGCGCTGCATAATCAACTTTTTAAATTTAATTTTATCTTCTGTGTAAATGTATTTTGAACATATTCAATTTTGTTTGCTTCTTGTGGTTTGTTGTAAACAAACCTGTGATCTTGCTTATTTTATGTGAGATGACTTTTTCTCTTATACATTTTAAAGATGCTTAATTCTTGTTATTTGTATCATGATTGTATTTTATTCAAGTGAATAACTGTGGAAACTATTGTTGTCTTTTTATGCGTAAACTGTTATGAGTGTTGTATCTTAAGTTTCATTTTTATTGATTTATTAGATAATATCATACAGTGAAGGAACAGTATTGTTTACTGGATTACATTCCGGACATAATTTATTGACCATAGTCATGCCAAGCAGGATGACTGCACAACTTTGCGATATCCTTTATATAGTCCTAATTTCGTCACCTCCTTTTTTATCCGGAACAGGTACTGAGTCATTCCTGTTGCATATATTTCGTGCTGATTCGATGAACAAAGATTCAGTTGTCAATTTCTTCTTCCTTCCTCTGCCTGGTTACCTTTAAAAATCTTCACTCTGTTTCATCCTATTATGTGGTTCTATGTAAACCTCTTATCTTATTGAAACCTACTAATCTTGATTTCGCTAAGCTTTTGTACTCTGTTGATGTAATCGACTCTGGTCGACTACTTTGACCTATTTATGTATTTCCCTTCGCAACCATTCATTGCCAGGGTTTTGGTAAACTAAGTTATTCTGCCTAATTTGATCAATGGGATCTTTTAACCTACAAATCTTGTTTCTAAGCGATTTTGTTGGTTTAAACGCCATTTTAATCCCAGACAGCCTTATTGAAGGCTCTACGTAGTGTTTTTGAGGTGCCTTTTTTGTGTGGTAATACTGTTGGGATTTTGAATTCTCTCTCCACTATTATTACTATAATCAGTAACTGTGTGACTGATATTTTCCTTAGGAACCTACAAATTCACTCAGAAATAAGCTTTGTAGATTGAAAGATTGTATTGGTGATCGAATTAGGCAGAATAACTTAGTTTACCAAAACCCTGGCAATGAATGGTTGCGAAGGGAAATACGTAAATAGGTCAGAGTAGTCGACCAGAGTCGATTACATTAACAGAGTACAACAGCTTAGTGGGATCAAGATTAGTAGATTGTAATAAGATAAGAAGTTTAGAAAAAAGCCTGACTATAGCTCTGTACGCAATTACAGTAGTATAGGCCGTATCCTGTGGTGTCACCACGTGAGTAACGCAGAAGTCAGGCGTAGAGTTTTAGGGAGATTAGGTAAATCAGTTGACACGGTTGTGAACCTTCATCGGCTGAGACGGTTGGGACATGTGTTACATATGCCCAGTCGCCGATTGCCTCGTCACACAATGTTGGCCAAAGTAAGTTCAGGCTGGAAAAAGGCTCGAGGCGGCCAGACTAAAACATAGTACCAACGTATAAAGTCGTTGACTGTTAGTTTGAGCCATATGGGGCGATGCAGGCCAAGATAAATCAGTGGTTGGAGACTCTAGGTGATCACATAACTGAGAAACGATGTCGGTGGTGCAGATGTATCCCCATACACATTATCCTTATCTTAACGCTATACCGAATCTCACCATTTTCTCACTCTTCCTTTCTTTTAGTACATTATATTTCTTTTGACTGGATTTTCTTTTCTTCATCTTGCACTTCACCGTCTTTTCACTTGATGTACTGATATGAGGTGTGGCAACTCGTACTTTTATGTAGTAATGCCTGATCCTATGTTGGTTTAGATGGATAGATCTTCAATATCCTAGTAGTAATGTAGCGTTACTAACCGCCACCAACCTATTGCATTAGTACTGTTATTTTCAGATATTCTCCAGCTTCATACCCCACATTCGTTTACTAAACCAGCTTCTCTGGTTAGACAGGGGCAGACACTAACAATTATTGATTCGGATTGAAACATTACAAAGGATAGATTTGCAAAAGCAAACACTACAGTGAAAAAAGCACACTTAACCTGCGAGTGTCGTCAACGGGATATCTTATGGTGTTGTTCCTTGTCGTAAGGAGTATGTGAGTTCGTGAATCTAGACCACCGTTGATCTCGACAGGTGATGTTAGATTGAGTTTTTTTTTTTTAGAAGAAAGCTAAAAGTGACCAAAGTAAGACATAATGGCAGTTCATAAATTCGTTGATAATAAAGCTTCAGCTATACCGATTTCCCGAGGTTTGCGTGACAACTCAATTTAAGGAATAAAGGTTATATGATTCGTTATCGATCACACTAGCACAGGTGCATTCACATACTATTGCCATATCAAAAATGGTAACATGTAGTCGTATCTTTTCTGTATCGTAGAATTTTTCACAACTCATGCTATTTGCCCTTTTTAATCTCTTCCCGTATCCAACTTTATTATGGACGGTAACGCAGCTATCCTGGGTTATATATTGTCCCTAGTTTAGGCATTAGACTATCAACTAGTAGGCCACATGTTTGACTCTTGCTCCACCTACCGTGGTTTTGGCAATCAGGTAGCATCATTGGCCCTTAAGAAATTGATGTAGCTGATTGTCTGCTGCACAATCGTGCATGTGGTTACTGAGTGTATCTAGATATACTGTCCTTTTATCGGTTTCCAAAGACTGTGATATTAACCGTTTGCTAAAACCTAGAACTATACACCTGACCTTTCAGAGCTAGTGTGAAGGGACCTACAACACCTTAGGTGTTTCTCAAACCGCTTCTAATGTGCTTACACACTAAAGGATAGTATCAGATGTAGGACGAAAGCGAGATTACCGACTGAATACCAGCCGGTGCATTTTCGACTGAATGATTGATACGGAAAGATGTGACGTGATACCATATAAATGAGTCATCTGTACATGTCGAAGTTTGAACAAACGAGACGGATATAAGTAGACAAAAGTGAATAGTCAACAAATTTGGATGTTTCAAATCTTAAGGAATAACTAAGAATGAGTACATCTATGCTAAGTTGACCAATTTTTAACTGCTACTCAGGCTTCGTAAGAATGAGTTGCAACATATGCAGAGTTTGGACCAGCAGGCTTTTACTATCTTCATCAGTAGTCAACAAATTTCGGAACTACGTGTGATGCTTCAAGTATGTGCTTCGAAAGCCTTTCGCTTGTTAACATTCCCTTACAAATATTAAACGTAGGTTAATGTTTCCTCCTGTTATAATCTGATGAGCCGTGTGACTTATTATTCTGAGGATAACTTTCCATCAGTGGGTTTCAACCTCATAAAAAGACACTTAAGGAACATTTCTCCTTCTCTCTAATTGTGTATTTGTAAGGTACATCTCGAAATGTAGTCTTTTTATATGAAGATGATGTCAGATACTTTTCCCAATACTGGGAATAACAATTCACAGTTTCTTGTATTTCAATGTGAATTTTTTTCACGACTAGTCTGGAACACCGCCACGTCTGGCAATAAGAGAAGTGACTGAAGATGTTGATTAATCCACTTATGTACGGCGATGCATCAGTTCTGGCGAAAGAGATACTTTAATAGTTATGGCCGTGGACTTTAGTTGACTGAAGTGGCCAGGTTATATGCTACCTTGGAAAAGAACACTTATGTGTAGCAACAATTAACGTACAAATCCTCTACACAGGCGCTTTTTCACAAGGAAGGAACTTGCATAAATCTTTTACACTATTTCTAGAAGTGTTACATTTTATTGAGAAATTTACTGATATAATGGCGATGTTTTCCATCATAATTAATTAAAACGAATTAGTAAGTGTTATTAGCATACTATTTTCATGTCTTAAGCAAACCTGATGAACGTATCAGTACGAAATCGTGTGTAGCTTATTTAGCAGTTATCTAGTCTGGTAAACGTCCATGAAGCTCCTGAAGAACAAGCGAAACACTATTCCATAAGCACATCACAACTGAAGTTGCTTCAACCTTTGAAAATATCAGGTCATGGAGTATGAAATATTCGGTAGTACAATCTAGAAATCTTTATCTAAAGGAGCTTAGCTAAAGACAAGACAGACATAATCAATGTACAACCTAGCACAGAAGTAAATAGGTCCAAGTTGTTACACATCGCAGCAGAATCCAAAGAAAAAGTGGACAGAAAAATTGATATCAAAGTAGCCAGGTGCATGGAAAGAGAAAGAATGTGAAAATCAAAATTAATGAGAATTTTTAAACCAACAGTCAAACGTTTAATGAACCCGAATGATAACTGCTACCTTGATGTGGTGGTTAGGCTCGTATACCACAATGACCCAACTGTGGTAATGGAACGCTTGTTCTTCCGAGGCCTTACCATACCAGAAAGGGCTGTTGGATAATGTTTAGAGAAAAGTCAGTTACCATTGTAATGTAGATTGCTACGCTGTGGTGAAGGTCAGGGCGAAGTCGTACTGCTGTCTGAACGGGGTTGTGACAGCAGTAAAGCTTTTCCCCTCGGATGACCAGCAGTACCGCGCTGATGCCGCCTTCCTTACGGAAAAGAAGAGCTGGGAAAGGTCGACCCCAAAAATCGTACATTCCCCACTACCCCGTGGTATCCCGATGCCAGCGACGGGAATTCATGGTCGGATCCGAAAGCACAGAACCAAAATCTCAAATTTAAAAAAATCCATGCGTGATCGGGCTCAGTGAGATATCACTTGGACTTTGTAGTCACGCACTAACCCTTCTTTTTCAGGTACCTTACGAAGAAAGAGTTTACAATGTAGGGAGCTGTTAACCACCCTCACAACTCTATCACCACTCAAGTACCCTCAAAATCACTGTCCACCTCCCACATCCTTACCTTCTAATGTTCCTTCACACATATTAATCAACAATCCTGCATCATCTTAAACTTCCTCCAGCTCTCGACAACGATCTGAGTTCACTCAATAGCGGCTCCTAGAACTTTAAATTTCCGCACCCTCTGTCAAGTCCGTCAACAAGCTTTATTAGCCAAAACTCTAGCAACTCGGGCCATGGATGAGTTTTGTTTGTGAAGAAGGCATACAGGACCCAAGTGCAGTTATCCACTTAACCGCAGTCGTCCAATATGGTGAATTCGCAAACTTTACCCTTCAAGTTTCTGGAAATTCGATGGTCAGTTCTTGTGGTCTTGCAGGTGTAGGTATAACATTCAGCACAAAGTTCACTGCTTGACTGCATTCCAGTTAACAGTCTATGCGCTGTTCGACTGGAGGGCACAAAAAGGACTAAGACAATTAGTGAGACTCATAGTTATCTCTTTGTAATCTCTACTTACGCACCCACTAAGTCCAGTTCGGATGAAGTGAAGGATTAGTTCTAATGAGAGCTGTTTAGCCTCTTACTGAAGGTTAAGTGATCAAACGTGGTGGTTGCTGCAGGTGATTTCAGTGCACAAGTGAGCAGGGTAAGACAGACAGAAAGGCACTTAGACTGTATTTTCAGAATCCCAACTGAATGAACTGATAACGGTGATCGCCTGCTGCAAATGTGCTCAGACGACCACCTATTTATAGCCAGCATAAACGTCAGACCTAAAGAGACATTATCTGACATAGCATCCACTGATTTCAACTCAGTGATGGATATAGACCACATTGCTACCAGTTGTCGCTGGAGAGGGTTGGTAGAAGACTGCCACTCCTTCTGGAGCACGTGGTTGGATAGCGACCACGCATTGGTTCGAACGCGTGTATAATTGCGTCTCAATAGAAGTAGGAAAACCTTAGCAAAAAGACCATTACGACTGTAGCTCGATAATAGAAGCACTAAGGCTGCTTTCAGTAAGAAACTGGCTCGACAGTTATCGGATCGGAACAATATCACTAATCCAGAATAGGTTCGGCGTTATCTCCAGTCTACCGTAAAAACGGCGATGAAAGCCATAGCCGACTGTCAGAAAGTGGTTGAAAACAGCCAGCGAATACCAGCAGTTTCTTCTAAATTAATGGATACACGCGAAGGCAAGCTTCTGGTATAATGAGGAATGAATGCAACTAAAACATAAACTGACGAAAAGTCCACACAACGACACGAACAGCAAAGGTTTAACAAATGGAAAAGGCAGTGGCGATAGCTAACAACAAACGGTCTTTCAGACTTGTTAAGGAAACGGGTGAAAAGGCCAGTGATTAGTGAAACTATAGCAGAGAAGGACAGGCCAATGATTGACTCGCAGAAGAGATGAATGATATGATGGTAAGAGCACTACAACTAGCCTCCAGCTATTCCGTTGCCCTCTATCCAGTCGGATCCTGAATGGAACATTAAGACAGGACCCACATCACTTGCAAAAGTGGAGAAAGCTGTAGGTAACCTGTGACGACGAAGAATAGCAGAGCCATACGGACCAGTTCCAGAGGTATTTAAGGACAGCGGTCAAGGATTTTTAGTCAACTAAACTGCTAACTAATGTGTGGGAGTCAGTTACGATCCCCTCTCAATGATCTCAGTCACTGATTATCCCAGTCTTCAAAACAGGTAAGAAGTCCTCTTGTGATAACCATAGATGAATCAGCCTGACGATTATAGTGTCTAAGATTATAGGTTCTATAGTCGTTAGACGTCTCAGTGGAACTCAGGAACAGCAAACCCGAGAAAACCAGACAGACTTCAGACATGCCCGTTGGTGTATCAACTAAATATTCACACTCCGCCAGGTTCTCGAACACAGACACTTACAGACGCCTGTCACTAGCTGTAATCCTCAACTGAAAAGTGACTTTCGATTCCGTCGACCGAGAAGTTTCATAGCAGTGTATCTCAATGAAAATGGTGCCGAGTAAGTACATCACTCTTTTCAAGGCTCCTTACTCGAACACCCGTGAGCATGTTAAATCCTATGGTGATTGGCGTAAGATGAGTGGTATTCACCAAGGATACCCACTCTCTGCATTCCCATTCAATTTTGTCATAGACGTCCTTATGGAGATCTCCCTCTTGCCATCTGACTTCAGAGGATTGTTTTAATCGCAGATTTATCCTTGGTTGATCTAAAATATACAGATTTTATAGTCTTGTTAGGTGGAGATGTAGAGTCTTCTCAACAACTTGAGTGGCGTTTTGAGAATGCTTTGGATACGTTTCTCACCACCCAAATGCAAATTGTTGCTTCAGGACTGGTCTTCAGAGATACTTTGCCTGACTACAGAGAGTGGAGTGGCTGAATGCTTCACCTACCTGAGAAGTCGCATTACCTCTAGTGGGCCATTGATCGACGAAATCTCGGTGCAGATACATGTGGCTCGGTTGGCTTTTGCGGACTTACGCCATCTGTGGCACCACCGCGATATCCGACTTCCTATCAAGGGTCCAGTGTACTGTGCTGCAGTTTGTTATGAAACATGGCCATTGAAGGTAGAAGAAATTCAAAGGTTTCTGGTGTTTTAGAACTGTTGCTTTCGTAGTACAGGCCATGTTTCATTATGTCACCATGTCAGTATTGCAAAGTCAGGTTTGAGTTTTAAGGAGGAGAAGAAAGTCAGTTGGTGCGGTTTTGAACCTTCGTCGAATAAGATAGGTGGGACATGTGTAACGCATGAGTACTAACCGTCTGCCTCATCGCCCAATGTTAGCTAAAGTAGGTTCAGGCCAGAATGCTCGGGACAGCCAAACTAAATCATAGCATCACTGCATAAAATCTTTGACTATTTGTTTGAGCCATGTAGGGAGATGCAGACTAGTCGGTTGGGGTCCATGCAACGACAGGAACCAGTGATATCAGACTATGTGATATGGCTCAGAATCGATGTCAGTGGCCTAGATGCATCCGCACTTTACTTTTGTTTTAACCGCCGTTACTGTATTCAACATTTTTCCATTGCTCGTTTCGACCGATTTTTTCTTCTTTCTTCATCTTTCATCTAACTGCTGTTACTTTTTGTGCTGATATGAAGTGTGGTTACTTGGACCACTGTGCAGTAAAGCCTAGTTCTATCTTGATATTGATGATGACGGTAATGAAAGAACCCCAAGTCTTGGTCTGGTCATCCTGCGTATTCTTTCAACACAACCAAACTCCGGTTAGCGCTGCATGTCAAGGTAAGCGGTGGTTTGGAATGCGCAACACATGTCCAAGCTACCCCAGTCACTGAAGGTTAACAAATTAATCGACTGACTGTTTTTTTAACAGAAACAGCGGACATCCTAGGCATACACCACTGGTTATCGTCACTATAGATGACAATCATCCATGAAACATTAGGCAGTGATGCGACTTCAGGTAGACAACTTTCATTAGCGTTACGTACTTGCTCGATACCTCCTTTACAGTGTTCAACTAAAGGGAAGGAAATAGTGTTCACTGGAAATATGCCAACGGTAGTTTTATAGAGTGAAAGCAAAGAACCCATGGAATTAGTGTTTTCTTCTTAGGATAACCTTCTGTTCCTTCTCCAACTGGGATCTGTAGGCTCCAAAAAGAGAGGTCTATCAAGGAAGACATATGAAAGTATCCAAGGTAATCTGAAGGTCCAAAAGAATCTGGGCATCGCATAAATGATATCCCTTGTTTTGACATTTATATCTCTTGAGTAAAACGCAAAGCAAGGTTATTTTTACTGATGTTTCGTTTCGTACTAATGGCTTGATCGAACCCCAGTTTGCCATTACTTTAATGATACTATTCGCAGTGAATAGTAAAACGTTAGTTAAACCTATTTGTTCTTCAACTGTTGGCTGATAAAAATACGAAAGTAATTCTCACACTTATGTCACAAATACTGACTTCATAAATGCTTGTTACGTTTTTAAACCCACCACTTGTTTTCTTATCCATTAGATAGAAATTCATAGTGGTTCCAATATATCGCAAAACACAATTCTGCGAAAAGTTTTACTTCTGCCTAGTCCTTTTTAACAGCTACACAATCTCGTTTATAGTCTTAACAAGCAACTTTATTGTTAGCTGACAGATGTGAGCTAATGCAGTAATCCGGCCTACAGCTAGTATCGATTCCTGAATTAGTTCACCGTAAATCAAACAAGTGTCCTATGGAAAGTGAAAAATACGGACAGAATATTTGTTTTACAGCATCAGAGGAATAGTTTCACTTATCTAACCTACGAAAAAGTCTGTATTTGGCCGTTAAAGACAATTTTTAGGGTTTTCTCTGTGCACTTAACTCTGAAAGCAACGGAAAACTTTTTACTGAACCGGGTTAATTGATTTTAAACTCAATCCAGATAGTTAAGCAAGTGTTCCTGTTACACATGAACGCTGAAAGATCTCACCAGGAATTTCTAAAGGAATAAAGCAGAAGTGTCTGAAATTTATTTGAGTAATAAATAAATGAATATTCGTAAACTGTATTCAATCAATCTTCTTAAGTGATCAGTAAAACTGGAAGTCTAAATGAACCAGACAAATTAGATACGGTGGACTGCCTTATAAACAATTTTAAACCAAAAAGTTAATCAAGGCAATCTAAAAAGTGTCATGAAAATCCAAGATTCAGCACTGTTTTGTAGCTTCATGACATCAAAAAAATGCTAGAGAAGCTCTAGACTGAGACTGGCTATTTCCAACTTATAATAAATCGACAAGCCTGTTGATGAAAGTTGAATTACCTTGGAAAATATTTCTGTCACAAACTGAATAAATACGTTGTCTCAAGATTTCTCCAACTCATAAGTATAAACAACTAAAAACAGTTTCAAAAGAAATTTTATTCAGTTTTGCAGAATACTTAGATCAAAAGACAAGATTACCTTACCTAATGCACAAGACTCATAAAGTTTGTGTAACTACTAATGAATTCATCTATTATTATATATCACATACGCTTGCGTATGCGGTTAACTGAGTAGGTTTAAATCAACTGTATTGAGCATACATAATTCTGTTTTATTGGGAATAATGATGTCTGAAAAATGCAACGGAAAGTAAGTAAACTTACTTGGCAAGTCTCCCCACTTGATATAAACCAGTTAGAGCTACGAAGGCATTTACGCTTAGTAGGTTGTAGTTCTTAGGGATGATGACAACTGAATAACGAGACCATATTAGGCCTGTTGCTGCAAGCGCCGTACTCTGATATAGACTGACGTTTTCTACTGGTCGGTTAATGTCTGCTAAACCAGCCGCTACGAGGAGCTTGAAAATATTAATATTCTTTGGTTAATCGATCTAACAAACCCATTTGAAAGTGGGAGCCCAAAAGAATATTGTTTTAGGTCCTGCTGGATGGTTCCACAATGGTCTTAGTCGGGTAGGAACTACTTTATCCCCAGCTGCAACAACAGCCTTGTATATAAAAGACATCTGACTGGTTTCTAACGCGGTAGAGCCAGCAGATTTTAATGTCCTTCATTAGCGACAGTTGTAAACAAATGTGACCATCAATATCCAATATCCAATATTGATAGTGCGAGCGTAGAAAACTGGTAGTTTTTGATCTCTCGCGTCTAGTTCTTAGGGCTTGGTTCCAGTTGTTCGGTTTACTCCTGCAGTGGACGAGGAAATCCCTCTGCTTTCTTGCTTTTAGCTTCGGTGAGGTGGATGTTTTGTGGGTTAGTAGGTTGTAATTTGTAGAGTGATTAGGGAGCTACGGGTTGCTGGGAAGTTTAGAGAACTGCCATGACTCCTGTCTGTGTAGGTACCTGAAAGAGAATAGTAAGGTAGTGGTAAAGGAATGAAGAGAGAATAAAGAAGAGAGTGAAGTAGCACCATAGAGACTCTGGGAGCTGGGTTAAGGCCGTATCGCTAACCATCCTTGCCTTTAAACAGGAGTTTACGTAGATAGCCACTCCCCCTCCTGCTCTATGTTCCCTGTCCCTGCGGAAGAGTTCCATGCCAGCAACACGCATCCGGAGATGTCCGATGAGAGCCAGGATTCGGTGATGAATATGATGTCGTAGTGCTGATGTTCACGCAGCGTCCTCATTTTGCTACCTTCCCTCTTAGCCCCCTAACGTTGCTGTACATACATATTAGAGTGTGCCTGATGAGAGGGGAGGTCTGGATGTGTATTTTCGCAGGATGAGCGCTTACGTGGTTGATTTAGCCTCGCCAGTCCTCATAGGACTGGCATTGTTCCGTTTTTTGTGTTTTGTTCTTAACTTGGGTGGGGGCTGTAGCAGTGGTGGCTTCTTTACTTGATGTATCTAACTCACTGGTCAGCGCCTGTGTGACGACCACTGACTCCAGAGGTCTTGGTGGTTGCCGTCTCTCCTCTTGCCTTGTGGGTCTAGGCTTACTTTCACATATACGTATTGAGCCACCCATGCGATCTTTCGCATTATACCATGCGTGCAGAACGTCTGTGAGGGAGGCATATGAGTCGAACTGGACGGCAAGTAGTCTGGGATTGGGTATGGTCTTCAGGTGCGCTGGCCTTGGCAGTCTACTGACGCTGTTGGCCGGTATACTGTTGAGACCAACTTTGGTTGAGAGCCATTGCCATTGTTGGACGTCGTGAAAGTACCGATCTTTGACCGAGCTGTCACTTGGCAATTCTGGAATCCCATGTACAACTATAGTGTTGTTTCTGTTGGGATTTCCAACCGCTGACTTTCTCTCCTCCTCTCTTATTGACCATGGCTTGTCAGGCCTGGCCCGAATTTTACAGGCATTAACAACGTCCGGTTGTCGCGAGAGGAGGAGTGTGTCTTCAGCCTCTTTGGCGGTATTTAGGGACACACGTAAAGGGGGTGGCTTATCTCGGGGTGCATGGCTTCCTCGAGAAAGGCGACATAAAGTTGCAGGGAGGGGAGGGAGTCCCAGCATCTGACAGTAGTCGGTCCACATTCGGCTGTCAAATTGTTCCCTCTCGACCAACAATGAGTCTGTCGATACATCGACGTTGAACAAAATGATCGAGTTGGTCCTCCTGTGACCTGGGTTCGTTGTGGGTGGCACGCCCGACTTCCCAATGGGTTTGAGTAATTCCACTGGTTGTTTCTCAGTCACGGTGTGTGGGGTGTTCGGAATGGGTTTCGTAGAGGCTTCGGCGGTCGATGTCTTTGGCCATGCGCTTGACGTCCCCTGGGGCCGGGTAGGGGTATGGAGACTTGACCTAATATGGTCCCCACGCGAGGTGGCGTGCCCACAGCTGGAGCTCTAGGTCTGTTTCCAGGTCTCTCTGTGTTATCCTTTGGTGTTAACCCTACTTATTCGAGGATGCTGGTAGCTTTTGCGTGGCGGAGAGCATCTCCTTCAGGCTTTCTGTGCGGAGTGCGGGCATTTTCCTGCACTCTGGACAGATGTACCAGAACCACTTGCATGGTTGTCTCTTCATCAGCTTATAGTATTGTCGGGGGACTTTGGTATCGCAGTGGCAATGCGCCCATCGTTGACATAGGTTGCATGCAAATGCCTCATCGACTACCGAAACAACTTTGGTGCAAACACTGCAGCCATCGGGTGTCGTAATACAGCCTTCCTTCCATGAATAAGGTGCTACGGATTGTGGCGAACTGCTTGTGGCTGCCTTGTTCTGAAGCCTTTTACGTCGTCTTCTATTTCAGGCATGGTATGATCCTTGCTCAAGATAGGACTAGTTTGTGACGGGCTAGTGCTACTCTGTGTCACCTGTCTGATGGCGACTGGAATTCTAGAAACATGGGTTGGCCACTTCTTCAGAAGTTCGGTGTTCTGCCCTACCTCTGTTTGTCTTCTAGTACAGACTAGTGTGTTGTTTAGGGTGTTATTGGCCGTTTTTGTGCACGACCGCGTTATCCGTGTCAAAGCTTCAGACCTAGCGTTTTGGGCAGACATGTCGCTATGATATAAACTTCTTGGGAAAACAAGTAGTTAACAACAATAAGAGGGTTGAAGACTGAATGCAGCAAAAGGACAGAATAGAAAAGGGAAGATAATTTATGTTGGCTCACCTTCAGACACTTGTCACTTGATCCTCTGCTCTTGACCAACGAGTTTAACCGTAAGCTCCAGATGCGTATGTATAACCAGGAAAGATATTTCCTGGGGAATGACCTCCGAGGAGAACCGAGAGCTAAGGCAGTTTGGCAGTTGAAACGCCCAAGAACCACTGACAGGAGGTAGACCGGTTGGTTCAAAGGAATAATAATGCCAATTTTCAACTGTTGAGGAGTGAGCTGACGAATGCGCAGGGGTGAGGTGCGTGGACGGACAGAAGTGCTGCAAACGTTCGATGTTTTTAGATTGAGTATTGCAAGTGGGAGTTTTTCATTGTGGAAAAATCCAAAAGCTGAGAGACGAGCGAAACACGTCACTACTCAAGGAGCGCGCCAAGTCGGGACTATCCACTATCCAATATCTTTTTAACGAGCTTGTGTAAACCAATTGATTTCTTCATGCTCGCTTCTTGGTCTTGCGGAACGGCTCCAGATCTTTAGCGGATTCCGATGCAGTAGGTCCAGCCACTCGTCTGCTATAGCTCTGATTTACAGAACAGGTAGTTAAGTGTTGGTTTGTTTGCCTTGGACTGTGGTGAAGTTGGCTTCTTCAGATGTCTAGTTGCCAGATAGTTGTTAGGACTGGTCGCTAGAGAGGGTTGTGGATAGTGAAGAGAAAACCTAGAAAGTGTTTGTGTGAGTAAAAGAAAAGAGGAACAGTGAACTAGTGGAGTAATCTACTTACACCCAAGCAAGGTGAGTAGGGGTGCAAAGGTATGAAGAACTTAGGTAAGTGAGGCTAACTTATGGCAAGTGGAGGGGGTCAAAGGGGCTTAAATGGTTACAATAAACAGAAAACTGGGTGGGGTGGCTTGACATCACTTCGTGTTTCAGCTATGCGTGGGTATACCGTGAGTCTCTGCATGACTGTCCAGCCTCTTCTTGAAGCTTTCAACAGTTGGGGCGGAGACCTCCTCTGCTGGTAGTGCGTTCCAGTACCCACAGACTCGGAGGGAGAAGAACTGTGAAGCCACGTGCGTTTTTGACCTCTGGTGTGTTATTCTATTGGGGTTTCCTCGAGGATCTCCGTGGTGGCCACTCGGTAGGACTCCTCTCTTTGGGTGACTTGGGTTACTCATTATTTTGCAAGCCATTATTAAGTCGCCACGTATCCTTCGATAGCTAAGGTAGTATAGACCTAGGTCTCTGAGCCTATCCTCATATGGATTTCGTTGCATTCCAACAACCCCTTTTGTGGCTCGCCTCTGTACTTTCTCCAGTAAGTTTGCGCCTCTTTTCAGCTGCGGTGGAGCGAAGACGTCGTGGACCTCTAAGTGGGGCCGCATGTAAGTCTTGTAGAGCTTCAGAAAGAGTTCTGGGGTGAGGGCACCCAGTTGTCTACGCACGAAGTGTAGTACCCCACATGCTTTTGAGACATCACCTGGGTAGTTGGAACTGGTGTCCAGTTTCTCCGTCACCGTTAGACCCAGGTCTTTTTTCTACTGCGGTATGGGATAGGCCTGAACCACAGGGATAGTAAGATGTTTTCTGGGGATCAGGAGTGTGGGAAAACGTGGACCGGCACTTATCCAGATTAAATGCCAGTTCGTTATTAGTTCCCCATTCCTCTAGTGTTCTGAGGCCATTCTGTAATGCCATAGATTCTGTCTCGCAAGTTATTGCCCTCCATAACTTGACACCACCAGCGTATAGGGGAATCGGGGAGCTGATATGTTGCGGCAAGTCATTTACGAACAGTAGGAACAGCAGTGGGCCCAAGATTGCTCCTTGTGAGACACTGGATGAGGATGTTCTCCAAGTTGAGTAGACCCTGTTGACTTTCGTGCAGAACTCCCTGTTGTCCAAGTAGTTCTGCAGCCATGATAGCACCTGGCTGCGAATACCTAACCCAGCTATCTTATGTACTAGGATATGGTGTGAGATGGTGTCAAAGGCTTTGGTGAAGTCCAGAAAAATTACGTGGACCGGGACCTTGCAATCCCAGCATGCTGTCCAGTGATCATGGGCCGTCAGGAGGTTGGGGGCACAGGACTTATCCTTCCGGAAGCCATGTTGAGCGTCACCGAGTGCCCACTTGGTGTCCAGATATTCTCTGATGCGGTCGTCCATCACACTTTCCATTACTTTTGATATTACTAGTAGAAGCGCTATGGGTCTATAACAGTTGGGATTCTGTCTGTCTCCTCCTTTGGAGATGGGAGAAAGGGTAGCCCGTTTCCACCCTCGTGGGAGCTTTCCGTCATCCAAGGAGTGTTGGAAGAGGCTGCAAAGTGAGCCACTTAGGGTACTCGCACATTCTTTCAACACAGATGGGCGAATGTCGCCCCACCCTGGGCATTTTCCCGTGCTTAACTTTGAAGGCTTGTCGAGAACAACAGCGCGAGTTGTTTGTACTTCGTGTAACTCAGTAGCATCGGGTAACGTTGGGGGCCGTTCGTGCAATTAGTAAGCGCACTCTCTTCATGGAATGTTGAGCTG